CAAAGCCTGCAGCGCGGAGTTCAGAGAGAGGTCATTTGGGATGAACAAAAACAGGTGCACCCGACGCCTGACGTAATGTAGCACCCTATGTAAACTTGCCTCGATGGGGTCAATGTACTTGAGTTTGAAAACGGTTGGCCAATCATCCACCCGGATTTCTGCAGTCTTGAAGTTTTTCTTCTGAATGCCCAGCTTCTCCAACGCGTATTTGTCAACCGCGTGTTTGCCGTTCCAAGTGCGCAACTCTTCAAGGCAAAAGTCCGGATCCTTGATTAGCTTGAAAAAGAGTTTGATGTCACTTCCAAACATGCCGGCGCCTTTGTTGCACATAGTCAAGAACCGAAAAGTCTCCCTTTGGGTGTCAAACCGCCGGTGCGATAGCGTCTCCTCCATCTCGGCAAAAAACGGGTTAAAATCGGCAGGAACATCAGCGCCCTCGACCGGCCTATCCACATAAATCGGTGGTGCACCAATGTTATCTTCACCTGATGGGGCGGATTGGTGATCGATCGGTGGTGGGAGCACGGGAGCATCTGCAGCTGCTGGTTCAGCGAGAACACCAGGTCTCGGAATAGAACCATGGTCGTGGCGAGGCCTTTTGTGAGGGCACGATGCTATTCCACGCTCATGATTCACAAGCGCGGACTCTGAGAAGAAACTTGCAGAGCATCTGCACTGGTACTGCGCCATGATCTATCCAGACAAACCGGACATTAGAACAGATGTGTATGGGCATGTGACAGTCTATATCATCACAACTGCAATTAAACGGATCCACGTGGCTTAATAAAGAGTCAAATAATCAGCAGCAAACACACTCACCGAGGAAACCCAGAGAGCGACGACTACTAATTTGCCCAACAAAGGCACCATCATATTGTAAACATTCACCAGCATGAAGCACGGGCGCAGCACATTGGTGCGCGTGTGAAGCTCAGAGTGTGTGTGTGACTTGAGTTTGAGTGCCAGGTGCTGGTTTTGCTTGGGTGTGGTGTCGGGGCTGGAAAACGATGGGAGCAGAATCACCACCACGGGGTGACATTGAGTGCCGTGGCATCGAGTCGCATTAGTCGAACTTGTGCCAGCGAGGTGATTTGGCTTGTATGGGGTACATATTCAAAAAACAAAACTCACCTGAACCAAGAATATGCAAAACATGTATCAATGGTACATACAAACTACATAACCTTAACATTGGTAAAACAATCGATTGAAAAGGGATTCAACTAACTCAACAGAGGCAGTAGATCTGGTTTTTGCCACAGGAAACTGCTTCTTGATAGGAAAACCACTAAAGGCTAGCCTCCAGTGTTAACGTTCGTGTAAAACCAACCCTGTTGCAGATAGTTATGGCATCCTAGCCTGTTTGATACTGGTAGCAACGTTTAAGTTTAATGCCCAGCCCAGTCTGTCAGAACACCACTCAATGTAAAGTGAATACAATCCCTGCAGCCAGGAAAGATGACATAAATTAGTTTAGACATGGTCCCTAATCACACAGGCTGTTCAACAATAGATGCAAAGGTACTTCAACCAGCATGCAGGATACAGCAATATATTTCCGTCTCTTTTTCTTGTTTGTGTATGGTACAAGCACAGCACATCAGTTCATTTACTAGTCCTTATATCAATGCGTGAACGTACCGCCGCGCTAACCTCAGCGAGCACCATGTCCGACCGTTCCTTCCAGAGATTGGTTAGGTGCAGATCGACAAGAGCAGCACGTTCTTTCTGACGCCTAAAGATGCCTTCCTCGCGCTGATGAAGCCAGTCGTTCAAAGCCGCGTCCGAGATTAGAGGCGAATCGTCCTCTTCAGCCATCTTCTTAAGCATGAGGGCAGCGTCCTTATTCCATTCGCGTAGCTCCAATGCATCCGCCCGAACCACATCTAAGTACAGTGCATCTATGAACCGCGAATCTCTTAGCTGTGTTAGGTGTTTAGCCTCAGCAGCAGCTATTATGTCGTCTAGCTCGCGCTGCGAACCCGGCCAGGCGGACCAATCGTGTCGAACGGCGTCAACTATGTCTGCAAGGCGCGCCTTGTAGTTGTTCACGTGATCGCCAGGTACGTCAGCCATAAGAGCATTCACCTCGACTCTGAAACGAGGAATGTTTGGTGCTGTCTGGTACTCTTGGGTGGAATTCGTTCCCAGTTTGTATTCGTTCGCTGGTTGTGGAAGGCTGTGATGGATGACGGTTGTGTTGAGTTGGGCGATCACGTGTACGGATAAGTAAAAGAAGAACCAATCACGATTCAGATTCAAATTTGCCACGTCCATGCACGTTTGGATGCGATTAGGTCAATCCTCGGTTCAAGTAACGTGACAATATGCACAAAACCAGTTGCAGGGAATACATGTTTGTGTAACCGCTGAAAGAGACAATCCAGAGACTCTGGGTCCAGACGGATGATGCTCAATTCGTAGCGTATCATAAGGTGTTATTCAGCCCCGACGGATGATGCTCAATTCGCGGAGGGAAAAGTCTCTGGACCCAGAGTTGCAGGGAGCTATTTTGCTGCCTTGGCTTGGAGAGGAATGGAGGACAGGGAGCCCTGCCACGTCAGCGCACGAACGTTGAAAGTGGTCAACGATGACCTCGTCCACGGAAAATACAGAATGGCCTGTAACTGCCATAAACGTTGACGCCAGGTTGAATAATCTGGGAAACGGTCAAGGGTGGCTGTGAGGGCGGCTCGCTCACGCATTGTGGGCTGCTGCACTCGTCTTCTTCCAGATGTTCGCGTTTGAAGCTGCGACGTTATATTGAACAGAGTTATATACAAAATGTGGTGGCTGTTTGCAAATCCCAAGCTTTCTAGTTGCGAAAGCGTCAGCGACAATCGCAAACTATCTCGCTAACCAGTCGTGCACACTTGGGAGGACACCTCATTCAAACTTTACTCGAAACGACGATTGAGCTCAATCAACCCACCCAACTCCCCAAGATTTCAAACTCGCTGAGCCCAAAATCTGAAATTGCTCCATCGCACGCCGAAAGTTGTGAGTGACGAATCGTCTGCTTTTCTTTCGCTGATGCTGTTGAAGGTGTCGAACATGGGTTGCCTTCGCAAAAAGCGCAACCACGAGTAGTCTTGGCGAGCGTCGTCAACGGTTACGGTTACCAACCTGGGTTGCAAAATCCAAACTGCATACTGGGTTCTGCGCCCTTAAAGCAACAGTATACTTTTGCAAGCGGGGGTTTCAAAAACCTTAGGAACTTGAAAAACTGGTTACGCGATTACAACCCCAACCCCCCCTTGTTGAGAGGCGATTGAGTCCCCAAACGCCCCACGTCCGGCTCCCCGCACTCACAGTTCAAAACCTTAGGAATTGCAAAAGGAAACTGAAACTGCGGTAGTGAGAGGATAGCCCACACGCTCCTACTTCAGTATGTCATTCCGCGTAGACTAGGCAGCATTCTAACCTAACAGCTAGAATTAGGGACAACATCTGTTACTGAACCACGTAACGATGTTTCCTCGCATGCGCGGACAAATCGCCACGCCTACGCACTCGCTTAGGCCACGCCACCTTAGACAAGGCCACCCCACGCCTCCTCTCGCTACCTCACCGCAAGGCCATTAGCGACAGCGCCTCCCCTCCCCACAATGTCCCGTTTAGCCTCGACGCGCTAGCATCTACATCCCATCCCTTCCTCCACTTCTAGCTCGCCGTCCGCCGTTCGCCGCGCGCGGTGAGCCGCTGCTTCCCGCTCGCCGCTCGCGTGTCCTCCCTTTCACTTTCGCCGTCCGTTGTTCGCCTTTCGCCGGACGACGTCCGGATTGAGACTCCTCTCGCCGAACCACGTTGCCTCGTTCTTTTCTGGTTTATACCCATTCGCGGCTGCACGAATGCTTCTTTACCAGCTCGGTTCATCGGACTGGGCTCGTGTCTCCTCACGCGGCCCCATCGCGACCACCGCCACGCCATCTCCCCTTCCCGCCACGAAAACTCCTCTTCCCGCCACGTCATCTCCCCTTCCCGCCACTCCATCCCCCCTTCTCGCCACATCATCCCCCCTTCTCGCCACGCCATCTCCCCTTCCCGCCACAAAAACTCCCCTTCCCGCCACGTCATCTCCCCTTCCCGCCACTCCATCCCCCCTTCTCGCCACGTCATCCCCCCTTCCCGCCACGCCATCTCCCCTTCCCGCCACGAAAATCTCCCCTTCCCGCCACGAAAATCTCCCCTTCCCGCCACGTCATCTCCCCTTCCCGCCACTCCATCCCCCCTTCTCGCCACGTCATCCCCCCTTCCCGCCACGCCATCTCCCCTTCCCGCCACGCCTACTCCCCTTCCCGCCACGTCATCTCCCCTTCCCGCCACTCCATCCCCCCTTCTCGCCACGTCATCCCCCCTTCCCGCCAGCCATCTCCCCTTCCCGCCACGCCTACTCCCCTTCCGAGCACGCCCTCATTTCCCCTGCACGCCCTCGTTTCTCCCCCTCGAACGCCCTCATTTCCCCCTTGCACGCCCTCATTTCCCCCTTGCACGCCTTCATTTCCCCCTTGCACGCCTTCATTTCCCCCTTGCATGCCTTCATTTCCCCCTTGCGCGCCTTCATTTTCCCCCCTGCATGCCCTCATTTCCCCCTGCACGCCTTCATTCCCCCCCCTGCACGCCCTCATTTCCCCCTTTTCCCCATCTCCCCTCCCCATTTCCTCATCCCACCACCTCTCCCTGCCTTCCCATCTCTTCTCTTTTCCAGGGCCTGTTATCCGCAACCCGCCCTCTTCAAACTGCTCCTCAAGCGCTGTCCTCATCAGCACCACCACTCTACCTCCCGCTCTCTGTGCCTCTTCCCTCCTTTGTCACTGGTCCACGCTTTGTCTTGCTTCTTGCTCTTCACATCCCCTTTTCCTTCTTCCTCCAGATCGCCCCATCCCTCTCTCTCGCTCCCAATTTTTCCTCCATGTCTCCCCATGTTATTTTCCTTCCCACCGCCCACGGGTTTGGGACGAGGCCCGTCTGCCCTCTCACACTCGCCATGCCTCGCCATGCACTCGTCCTGCCATTCTGACTCAACCTGCAATTCTCACCGCCATCCCTCCCTGCCTTTCCATCACACCTCCCTGCCTTTCCATCACACCTCCCTGCCTTTCCATCACACCTCCCTGCCTTTCCATCACACCTCCCTGCCTTTCCATCACACCTCCCTGCCTTTCCATCACACCTCCCTGCCTTTCCATCACACCTCCCTGCCTTTCCATCACACCTCCCTGCCTTTCCATCACACCTCCCTGCCTTTCCATCACACCTCCCTGCCTTTCCATCACACCTCCCTGCCTTTCCATCACACCTCCCTGCCTTTCCATCACACCTCCCTGCCTTTCCATCACACCTCCCTGCCTTTCCATCACACCTCCCTGCCTTTCCATCACACCTCCCTGCCTTTCCATCACACCTCCCTGCCTTTCCATCACACCTCCCTGCCTTTCCATCACACCTCCCTGCCTTTCCATCACACCTCCCTGCCTTTCCATCACACCTCCCTGCCTTTCCATCACACCTCCCTGCCTTTCCATCACACCTCCCTGCCTTTCCATCACACCTCCCTGCCTTTCCATCACACCTCCCTGCCTTTCCATCACACCTCCCTGCCTTTCCATCACACCTCCCTGCCTTTCCATCACACCTCCCTGCCTTTCCATCACACCTCCCTGCCTTTCCATCACACCTCCCTGCCTTTCCATCACACCTCCCTGCCTTTCCATCACACCTCCCTGCCTTTCCATCACACCTCCCTGCCTTTCCATCACACCTCCCTGCCTTTCCATCACACCTCCCTGCCTTTCCATCACACCTCCCTGCCTTTCCATCACACCTCCCTGCCTTTCCATCACACCTCCCTGCCTTTCCATCACACCTCCCTGCCTTTCCATCACACCTCCCTGCCTTTCCATCACACCTCCCTGCCTTTCCATCACACCTCCCTGCCTTTCCATCACACCTCCCTGCCTTTCCATCACACCTCCCTGCCTTTCCATCACACCTCCCTGCCTTTCCATCACACCTCCCTGCCTTTCCATCACACCTCCCTGCCTTTCCATCACACCTCCCTGCCTTTCCATCACACCTCCCTGCCTTTCCATCACACCTCCCTGCCTTTCCATCACACCTCCCTGCCTTTCCATCACACCTCCCTGCCTTTCCATCACACCTCCCTGCCTTTCCATCACACCTCCCTGCCTTTCCATCACACCTCCCTGCCTTTCCATCACACCTCCCTGCCTTTCCATCACACCTCCCTGCCTTTCCATCACACCTCCCTGCCTTTCCATCACACCTCCCTGCCTTTCCATCACACCTCCCTGCCTTTCCATCACACCTCCCTGCCTTTCCATCACACCTCCCTGCCTTTCCATCACACCTCCCTGCCTTTCCATCACACCTCCCTGCCTTTCCATCACACCTCCCTGCCTTTCCATCACACCTCCCTGCCTTTCCATCACACCTCCCTGCCTTTCCATCACACCTCCCTGCCTTTCCATCACACCTCCCTGCCTTTCCATCACACCTCCCTGCCTTTCCATCACACCTCCCTGCCTTTCCATCACACCTCCCTGCCTTTCCATCACACCTCCCTGCCTTTCCATCACACCTCCCTGCCTTTCCATCACACCTCCCTGCCTTTCCATCACACCTCCCTGCCTTTCCATCACACCTCCCTGCCTTTCCATCACACCTCCCTGCCTTTCCATCACACCTCCCTGCCTTTCCATCACACCTCCCTGCCTTTCCATCACACCTCCCTGCCTTTCCATCACACCTCCCTGCCTTTCCATCACACCTCCCTGCCTTTCCATCACACCTCCCTGCCTTTCCATCACACCTCCCTGCCTTTCCATCACACCTCCCTGCCTTTCCATCACACCTCCCTGCCTTTCCATCACACCTCCCTGCCTTTCCATCACACCTCCCTGCCTTTCCATCACACCTCCCTGCCTTTCCATCACACCTCCCTGCCTTTCCATCACACCTCCCTGCCTTTCCATCACACCTCCCTGCCTTTCCATCACACCTCCCTGCCTTTCCATCACACCTCCCTGCCTTTCCATCACACCTCCCTGCCTTTCCATCACACCTCCCTGCCTTTCCATCACACCTCCCTGCCTTTCCATCACACCTCCCTGCCTTTCCATCACACCTCCCTGCCTTTCCATCACACCTCCCTGCCTTTCCATCACACCTCCCTGCCTTTCCATCACACCTCCCTGCCTTTCCATCACACCTCCCTGCCTTTCCATCACACCTCCCTGCCTTTCCATCACACCTCCCTGCCTTTCCATCACACCTCCCTGCCTTTCCATCACACCTCCCTGCCTTTCCATCACACCTCCCTGCCTTTCCATCACACCTCCCTGCCTTTCCATCACACCTCCCTGCCTTTCCATCACACCTCCCTGCCTTTCCATCACACCTCCCTGCCTTTCCATCACACCTCCCTGCCTTTCCATCACACCTCCCTGCCTTTCCATCACACCTCCCTGCCTTTCCATCACACCTCCCTGCCTTTCCATCACACCTCCCTGCCTTTCCATCACACCTCCCTGCCTTTCCATCACACCTCCCTGCCTTTCCATCACACCTCCCTGCCTTTCCATCACACCTCCCTGCCTTTCCATCACACCTCCCTGCCTTTCCATCACACCTCCCTGCCTTTCCATCACACCTCCCTGCCTTTCCATCACACCTCCCTGCCTTTCCATCACACCTCCCTGCCTTTCCATCACACCTCCCTGCCTTTCCATCACACCTCCCTGCCTTTCCATCACACCTCCCTGCCTTTCCATCACACCTCCCTGCCTTTCCATCACACCTCCCTGCCTTTCCATCACACCTCCCTGCCTTTCCATCACACCTCCCTGCCTTTCCATCACACCTCCCTGCCTTTCCATCACACCTCCCTGCCTTTCCATCACACCTCCCTGCCTTTCCATCACACCTCCCTGCCTTTCCATCACACCTCCCTGCCTTTCCATCACACCTCCCTGCCTTTCCATCACACCTCCCTGCCTTTCCATCACACCTCCCTGCCTTTCCATCACACCTCCCTGCCTTTCCATCACACCTCCCTGCCTTTCCATCACACCTCCCTGCCTTTCCATCACACCTCCCTGCCTTTCCATCACACCTCCCTGCCTTTCCATCACACCTCCCTGCCTTTCCATCACACCTCCCTGCCTTTCCATCACACCTCCCTGCCTTTCCATCACACCTCCCTGCCTTTCCATCACACCTCCCTGCCTTTCCATCACACCTCCCTGCCTTTCCATCACACCTCCCTGCCTTTCCATCACACCTCCCTGCCTTTCCATCACACCTCCCTGCCTTTCCATCACACCTCCCTGCCTTTCCATCACACCTCCCTGCCTTTCCATCACACCTCCCTGCCTTTCCATCACACCTCCCTGCCTTTCCATCACACCTCCCTGCCTTTCCATCACACCTCCCTGCCTTTCCATCACACCTCCCTGCCTTTCCATCACACCTCCCTGCCTTTCCATCACACCTCCCTGCCTTTCCATCACACCTCCCTGCCTTTCCATCACACCTCCCTGCCTTTCCATCACACCTCCCTGCCTTTCCATCACACCTCCCTGCCTTTCCATCACACCTCCCTGCCTTTCCATCACACCTCCCTGCCTTTCCATCACACCTCCCTGCCTTTCCATCACACCTCCCTGCCTTTCCATCACACCTCCCTGCCTTTCCATCACACCTCCCTGCCTTTCCATCACACCTCCCTGCCTTTCCATCACACCTCCCTGCCTTTCCATCACACCTCCCTGCCTTTCCATCACACCTCCCTGCCTTTCCATCACACCTCCCTGCCTTTCCATCACACCTCCCTGCCTTTCCATCACACCTCCCTGCCTTTCCATCACACCTCCCTGCCTTTCCATCACACCTCCCTGCCTTTCCATCACACCTCCCTGCCTTTCCATCACACCTCCCTGCCTTTCCATCACACCTCCCTGCCTTTCCATCACACCTCCCTGCCTTTCCATCACACCTCCCTGCCTTTCCATCACACCTCCCTGCCTTTCCATCACACCTCCCTGCCTTTCCATCACACCTCCCTGCCTTTCCATCACACCTCCCTGCCTTTCCATCACACCTCCCTGCCTTTCCATCACACCTCCCTGCCTTTCCATCACACCTCCCTGCCTTTCCATCACACCTCCCTGCCTTTCCATCACACCTCCCTGCCTTTCCATCACACCTCCCTGCCTTTCCATCACACCTCCCTGCCTTTCCATCACACCTCCCTGCCTTTCCATCACACCTCCCTGCCTTTCCATCACACCTCCCTGCCTTTCCATCACACCTCCCTGCCTTTCCATCACACCTCCCTGCCTTTCCATCACACCTCCCTGCCTTTCCATCACACCTCCCTGCCTTTCCATCACACCTCCCTGCCTTTCCATCACACCTCCCTGCCTTTCCATCACACCTCCCTGCCTTTCCATCACACCTCCCTGCCTTTCCATCACACCTCCCTGCCTTTCCATCACACCTCCCTGCCTTTCCATCACACCTCCCTGCCTCCCTGCCTTTCCATCACACCTCCCATCCTTTCCATCACACCTCCCTGCCTTTCCATCACACCTCCCTGCCTTTCCATCACACCTCCCTGCCTTTCCATCACACCTCCCTGCCTTTCCATCACACCTCCCTGCCTTTCCATCACACCTCCCTGCCTTTCCATCACACCTCCCTGCCTTTCCATCACACCTCCCTGCCTTTCCATCACACCTCCCTGCCTTTCCATCACACCTCCCTGCCTTTCCATCACACCTCCCATCCTTTCCATCACACCTCCCTGCCTTTCCATCACACCTCCCTGCCTTTCCATCACACCTCCCTGCCTTTCCATCACACCTCCCTGCCTTTCCATCACACCTCCCTGCCTTTCCATCACACCTCCCTGCCTTTCCATCACACCTCCCTGCCTTTCCATCACACCTCCCATCCTTTCCATCACACCTCCCTGCCTTTCCATCACACCTCCCTGCCTTTCCATCACACCTCCCTGCCTTTCCATCACACCTCCCTGCCTTTCCATCACACCTCCCTGCCTTTCCATCACACCTCCCTGCCTTTCCATCACACCTCCCTGCCTTTCCATCACACCTCCCTGCCTTTCCATCACACCTCCCTGCCTTTCCATCACACCTCCCTGCCTTTCCATCACACCTCCCTGCCTTTCCATCACACCTCCCTGCCTTTCCATCACACCTCCCTGCCTTTCCATCACACCTCCCTGCCTTTCCATCACACCTCCCTGCCTTTCCATCACACCTCCCTGCCTTTCCATCACACCTCCCTGCCTTTCCATCACACCTCCCTGCCTTTCCATCACACCTCCCTGCCTTTCCATCACACCTCCCTGCCTTTCCATCACACCTCCCTGCCTTTCCATCACACCTCCCTGCCTTTCCATCACACCTCCCTGCCTTTCCATCACACCTCCCTGCCTTTCCATCACACCTCCCTGCCTTTCCATCACACCTCCCTGCCTTTCCATCACACCTCCCTGCCTTTCCATCACACCTCCCTGCCTTTCCATCACACCTCCCTGCCTTTCCATCACACCTCCCTGCCTTTCCATCACACCTCCCTGCCTTTCCATCACACCTCCCTGCCTTTCCATCACACCTCCCTGCCTTTCCATCACACCTCCCTGCCTTTCCATCACACCTCCCTGCCTTTCCATCACACCTCCCTGCCTTTCCATCACACCTCCCTGCCTTTCCATCACACCTCCCTGCCTTTCCATCACACCTCCCTGCCTTTCCATCACACCTCCCTGCCTTTCCATCACACCTCCCTGCCTTTCCATCACACCTCCCTGCCTTTCCATCACACCTCCCTGCCTTTCCATCACACCTCCCTGCCTTTCCATCACACCTCCCTGCCTTTCCATCACACCTCCCTGCCTTTCCATCACACCTCCCTGCCTTTCCATCACACCTCCCTGCCTTTCCATCACACCTCCCTGCCTTTCCATCACACCTCCCTGCCTTTCCATCACACCTCCCTGCCTTTCCATCACACCTCCCTGCCTTTCCATCACACCTCCCTGCCTTTCCATCACACCTCCCTGCCTTTCCATCACACCTCCCTGCCTTTCCATCACACCTCCCTGCCTTTCCATCACACCTCCCTGCCTTTCCATCACACCTCCCTGCCTTTCCATCACACCTCCCTGCCTTTCCATCACACCTCCCTGCCTTTCCATCACACCTCCCTGCCTTTCCATCACACCTCCCTGCCTTTCCATCACACCTCCCTGCCTTTCCATCACACCTCCCTGCCTTTCCATCACACCTCCCTGCCTCCCTGCCTTTCCATCACACCTCCCTGCCTTTCCATCACACCTCCCTGCCTTTCCATCACACCTCCCTGCCTTTCCATCACACCTCCCTGCCTTTCCATCACACCTCCCTGCCTTTCCATCACACCTCCCTGCCTTTCCATCACACCTCCCTGCCTTTCCATCACACCTCCCTGCCTTTCCATCACACCTCCCTGCCTTTCCATCACACCTCCCTGCCTTTCCATCACACCTCCCTGCCTTTCCATCACACCTCCCTGCCTTTCCATCACACCTCCCTGCCTTTCCATCACACCTCCCTGCCTTTCCATCACACCTCCCTGCCTTTCCATCACACCTCCCTGCCTTTCCATCACACCTCCCTGCCTTTCCATCACACCTCCCTGCCTTTCCATCACACCTCCCTGCCTTTCCATCACACCTCCCTGCCTTTCCATCACACCTCCCTGCCTTTCCATCACACCTCCCTGCCTTTCCATCACACCTCCCTGCCTTTCCATCACACCTCCCTGCCTTTCCATCACACCTCCCTGCCTTTCCATCACACCTCCCTGCCTTTCCATCACACCTCCCTGCCTTTCCATCACACCTCCCTGCCTTTCCATCACACCTCCCTGCCTTTCCATCACACCTCCCTGCCTTTCCATCACACCTCCCTGCCTTTCCATCACACCTCCCTGCCTTTCCATCACACCTCCCTGCCTTTCCATCACACCTCCCTGCCTTTCCATCACACCTCCCTGCCTTTCCATCACACCTCCCTGCCTTTCCATCACACCTCCCTGCCTTTCCATCACACCTCCCTGCCTTTCCATCACACCTCCCTGCCTTTCCATCACACCTCCCTGCCTTTCCATCACACCTCCCTGCCTTTCCATCACACCTCCCTGCCTTTCCATCACACCTCCCTGCCTTTCCATCACACCTCCCTGCCTTTCCATCACACCTCCCTGCCTTTCCATCACACCTCCCTGCCTTTCCATCACACCTCCCTGCCTTTCCATCACACCTCCCTGCCTTTCCATCACACCTCCCTGCCTTTCCATCACACCTCCCTGCCTTTCCATCACACCTCCCTGCCTTTCCATCACACCTCCCTGCCTTTCCATCACACCTCCCTGCCTTTCCATCACACCTCCCTGCCTTTCCATCACACCTCCCTGCCTTTCCATCACACCTCCCTGCCTTTCCATCACACCTCCCTGCCTTTCCATCACACCTCCCTGCCTTTCCATCACACCTCCCTGCCTTTCCATCACACCTCCCTGCCTTTCCATCACACCTCCCTGCCTTTCCATCACACCTCCCTGCCTTTCCATCACACCTCCCTGCCTTTCCATCACACCTCCCTGCCTTTCCATCACACCTCCCTGCCTTTCCATCACACCTCCCTGCCTTTCCATCACACCTCCCTGCCTTTCCATCACACCTCCCTGCCTTTCCATCACACCTCCCTGCCTTTCCATCACACCTCCCTGCCTTTCCATCACACCTCCCTGCCTTTCCATCACACCTCCCTGCCTTTCCATCACACCTCCCTGCCTTTCCATCACACCTCCCTGCCTTTCCATCACACCTCCCTGCCTTTCCATCACACCTCCCTGCCTTTCCATCACACCTCCCTGCCTTTCCATCACACCTCCCTGCCTTTCCATCACACCTCCCTGCCTTTCCATCACACCTCCCTGCCTTTCCATCACACCTCCCTGCCTTTCCATCACACCTCCCTGCCTTTCCATCACACCTCCCTGCCTTTCCATCACACCTCCCTGCCTTTCCATCACACCTCCCTGCCTTTCCATCACACCTCCCTGCCTTTCCATCACACCTCCCTGCCTTTCCATCACACCTCCCTGCCTTTCCATCACACCTCCCTGCCTTTCCATCACACCTCCCTGCCTTTCCATCACACCTCCCTGCCTTTCCATCACACCTCCCTGCCTTTCCATCACACCTCCCTGCCTTTCCATCACACCTCCCTGCCTTTCCATCACACCTCCCTGCCTTTCCATCACACCTCCCTGCCTTTCCATCACACCTCCCTGCCTTTCCATCACACCTCCCTGCCTTTCCATCACACCTCCCTGCCTTTCCATCACACCTCCCTGCCTTTCCATCACACCTCCCTGCCTTTCCATCACACCTCCCTGCCTTTCCATCACACCTCCCTGCCTTTCCATCACACCTCCCTGCCTTTCCATCACACCTCCCTGCCTTTCCATCACACCTCCCTGCCTTTCCATCACACCTCCCTGCCTTTCCATCACACCTCCCTGCCTTTCCATCACACCTCCCTGCCTTTCCATCACACCTCCCTGCCTTTCCATCACACCTCCCTGCCTTTCCATCACACCTCCCTGCCTTTCCATCACACCTCCCTGCCTTTCCATCACACCTCCCTGCCTTTCCATCACACCTCCCTGCCTTTCCATCACACCTCCCTGCCTTTCCATCACACCTCCCTGCCTTTCCATCACACCTCCCTGCCTTTCCATCACACCTCCCTGCCTTTCCATCACACCTCCCTGCCTTTCCATCACACCTCCCTGCCTTTCCATCACACCTCCCTGCCTTTCCATCACACCTCCCTGCCTTTCCATCACACCTCCCTGCCTTTCCATCACACCTCCCTGCCTTTCCATCACACCTCCCTGCCTTTCCATCACACCTCCCTGCCTTTCCATCACACCTCCCTGCCTTTCCATCACACCTCCCTGCCTTTCCATCACACCTCCCTGCCTTTCCATCACACCTCCCTGCCTTTCCATCACACCTCCCTGCCTTTCCATCACACCTCCCTGCCTTTCCATCACACCTCCCTGCCTTTCCATCACACCTCCCTGCCTTTCCATCACACCTCCCTGCCTTTCCATCACACCTCCCTGCCTTTCCATCACACCTCCCTGCCTTTCCATCACACCTCCCTGCCTTTCCATCACACCTCCCTGCCTTTCCATCACACCTCCCTGCCTTTCCATCACACCTCCCTGCCTTTCCATCACACCTCCCTGCCTTTCCATCACACCTCCCTGCCTTTCCATCACACCTCCCTGCCTTTCCATCACACCTCCCTGCCTTTCCATCACACCTCCCTGCCTTTCCATCACACCTCCCTGCCTTTCCATCACACCTCCCTGCCTTTCCATCACACCTCCCTGCCTTTCCATCACACCTCCCTGCCTTTCCATCACACCTCCCTGCCTTTCCATCACACCTCCCTGCCTTTCCATCACACCTCCCTGCCTTTCCATCACACCTCCCTGCCTTTCCATCACACCTCCCTGCCTTTCCATCACACCTCCCTGCCTTTCCATCACACCTCCCTGCCTTTCCATCACACCTCCCTGCCTTTCCATCACACCTCCCTGCCTTTCCATCACACCTCCCTGCCTTTCCATCACACCTCCCTGCCTTTCCATCACACCTCCCTGCCTTTCCATCACACCTCCCTGCCTTTCCATCACACCTCCCTGCCTTTCCATCACACCTCCCTGCCTTTCCATCACACCTCCCTGCCTTTCCATCACACCTCCCTGCCTTTCCATCACACCTCCCTGCCTTTCCATCACACCTCCCTGCCTTTCCATCACACCTCCCTGCCTTTCCATCACACCTCCCTGCCTTTCCATCACACCTCCCTGCCTTTCCATCACACCTCCCTGCCTTTCCATCACACCTCCCTGCCTTTCCATCACACCTCCCTGCCTTTCCATCACACCTCCCTGCCTTTCCATCACACCTCCCTGCCTTTCCATCACACCTCCCTGCCTTTCCATCACACCTCCCTGCCTTTCCATCACACCTCCCTGCCTTTCCATCACACCTCCCTGCCTTTCCATCACACCTCCCTGCCTTTCCATCACACCTCCCTGCCTTTCCATCACACCTCCCTGCCTTTCCATCACACCTCCCTGCCTTTCCATCACACCTCCCTGCCTTTCCATCACACCTCCCTGCCTTTCCATCACACCTCCCTGCCTTTCCATCACACCTCCCTGCCTTTCCATCACACCTCCCTGCCTTTCCATCACACCTCCCTGCCTTTCCATCACACCTCCCTGCCTTTCCATCACACCTCCCTGCCTTTCCATCACACCTCCCTGCCTTTCCATCACACCTCCCTGCCTTTCCATCACACCTCCCTGCCTTTCCATCACACCTCCCTGCCTTTCCATCACACCTCCCTGCCTTTCCATCACACCTCCCTGCCTTTCCATCACACCTCCCTGCCTTTCCATCACACCTCCCTGCCTTTCCATCACACCTCCCTGCCTTTCCATCACACCTCCCTGCCTTTCCATCACACCTCCCTGCCTTTCCATCACACCTCCCTGCCTTTCCATCACACCTCCCTGCCTTTCCATCACACCTCCCTGCCTTTCCATCACACCTCCCTGCCTTTCCATCACACCTCCCTGCCTTTCCATCACACCTCCCTGCCTTTCCATCACACCTCCCTGCCTTTCCATCACACCTCCCTGCCTTTCCATCACACCTCCCTGCCTTTCCATCACACCTCCCTGCCTTTCCATCACACCTCCCTGCCTTTCCATCACACCTCCCTGCCTTTCCATCACACCTCCCTGCCTTTCCATCACACCTCCCTGCCTTTCCATCACACCTCCCTGCCTTTCCATCACACCTCCCTGCCTTTCCATCACACCTCCCTGCCTTTCCATCACACCTCCCTGCCTTTCCATCACACCTCCCTGCCTTTCCATCACACCTCCCTGCCTTTCCATCACACCTCCCTGCCTTTCCATCACACCTCCCTGCCTTTCCATCACACCTCCCTGCCTTTCCATCACACCTCCCTGCCTTTCCATCACACCTCCCTGCCTTTCCATCACACCTCCCTGCCTTTCCATCACACCTCCCTGCCTTTCCATCACACCTCCCTGCCTTTCCATCACACCTCCCTGCCTTTCCATCACACCTCCCTGCCTTTCCATCACACCTCCCTGCCTTTCCATCACACCTCCCTGCCTTTCCATCACACCTCCCTGCCTTTCCATCACACCTCCCTGCCTTTCCATCACACCTCCCTGCCTTTCCATCACACCTCCCTGCCTTTCCATCACACCTCCCTGCCTTTCCATCACACCTCCCTGCCTTTCCATCACACCTCCCTGCCTTTCCATCACACCTCCCTGCCTTTCCATCACACCTCCCTGCCTTTCCATCACACCTCCCTGCCTTTCCATCACACCTCCCTGCCTTTCCATCACACCTCCCTGCCTTTCCATCACACCTCCCTGCCTTTCCATCACACCTCCCTGCCTTTCCATCACACCTCCCTGCCTTGCCTCCCATGGGTATAGGGCCCCATTATTTACCGCTGTGACACCAGGTGTCATTCAACCCGTACCAGGCGGGTATGCATATGCAAAGCTGCCGGTTTTGCGTCCAAGTCAGCACCATATAAGTGTGCCAATTCCCTCAGCTCCAGCGACAAGCACGACAACGCCTGGGCCAAGCGAGCTTGGCAGTGTGGAGGGGCATTATGTTGCAGGAGTGTGTCGTGGCATGAACATGACACCAAGAGTATATCGCTGTTTAGTATACTTAGAGATGATTGTATGTGTACGTACGATACAACTCATTGTTCCTTTTGGACATCATTGCTGTGCTCATTTTCAGCTGTAGAGATGGCTTATAGAAAGAGAACAGACACCTGAAAGACATGTGGTACATATCAGATGCATGTGAACAACATTTGCAATAAAATTGTGATGTAACATTCAACTACTTTCAACACACAGTGGGAGCACATGCAAGCCTAGACTGAAGAGGACTGGTCCATCTTGTTCCATGCTGCACTTGAGATCCCTCAGTATGGAAAGGGAAGGCGGTAAACACGGTACTGGTGGTGAGGGTAGAGGGGAAGAGAGAGGGTAAGCAAAGGGAGGAGGGAGCATAAGCAGGGTAAAAAGGGAGGACAGAGAATAAGCAAACTCGAAGGAGCTGATTGGATTGTAAGGGGGTGGAGAGGCATTGCGGCAAGCAGAGGGGGAAAATGAGCGAAAGGAGGGTGAGAAATAGGGGAAGCAGGTGGGGAAAGGAGGGGAAGCAGGGGGGGAAGGGAGGATAAGCATGGGGGGAAAGGAGAGGAGGCAGGGGGGGAAAGGAAGGGAAGCCGTGGGGGAAAAGGGGGGAAGCAGGGAGGGAAAGGAGGTGAAGGAGGGGCGGAAAGGAGGTGAAGCATGGGGGTGAAGGAGAGCAAGCAAGGGGGGGAAAGCAGGGGAAAACAGGGGATGCGGGGGGAAGCGAAGAGAAGCATGGGGGGCAAGGAGGGGAAGCAGGTGGAGAAAGGAGGGCATGCAGGGGGGGGAAGGAGGTGAAGCATAAGGGGAAAGGAGGGGAAGAAGAGGGGGAAATAAGGGGAAGCAGAGGGGGTAACGAGGGGGAGCAGAGGGGGAAATGAGGGGAAGGAGAGGGGGGAACGAGGGGGAGCAGAGGGGGAAAGAAGGGGAAGGAGAAGGCGGAACGAGGGGAAGCAGAGGGGGAAACAAGGGGAAGGAGAGGGGGAACGAGGGGGAGCAGAGGGGAAACAAGGGGAAGGAGAGGGGGAACGAGGGGGAGCAGAGGGGAAACAAGGGGAAGGAGAGGGGGGAACGAGGGGAAGCAGAGGAAGAAAAAGGGGAAGCAGAGGGGGTAACGAGGGGAAGGAGAGGTGGGAACGAGGGGGAGCAGAGGGGGAAATAAGGGAAGGAGAGGGCGGAACGAGGGGGAGCAGAGGGGGAAATAAGGGGAAGGAGAAGGCGGAACGAGGGGAAGCAGGGGGGGAAACAAGGGGAAGGAGAGGGGGAACGAGGGGGGAGTAGAGTTGGAAATAAGGGGATGGAGAGGGGGGAACGAGGGGAAGCAGAGGAAGAAATAAGGGGAAGGAGAGGCTGGAACGAGGGGGAGTAGAGGGGGAAATAAGGGGAAGGTGAGGCGTTAAGCGGTGAGGCACTAAGCGGTGAGGCGCTAAGCGGTGAGGCACGCAGCGGGGTATTAGGAGAGACGCGGGTGACGCGCTAAGAGGGTGTCGTGAGCTGCGGGTTCGGCGATCGAGCTGCGGGTTCGGCGATCGAGCTGCGGGTTCGGCGATCGAGCTGCGGGTTCGGCGATCGAGCTGCGGGTTCGGCGAGAACGTCGCCGGCGACGGGAACGCATGGAATGCGGCGCTTAGGACGAAGGCTAGTCCTACATCTATCGCGAGGCCTTTGAACGAGTCTATTCATGAGAGAGTGAGGTGTTTGTAGAAATGCTTTCTAAGTAATCTCGCGAGCCAGCCTTGTGACACTTGTCGCCTCGACACCAGCGTTTTTTTTTAGTGCCAGCGCTGTTCCTCGCCGCCCTAGTTGCCTATTGTGTAGTTGTATCGAAGGCCTTTCCTAAAAATGTCGCTCCGTTGGTCTGCTCGTGTCACTCCAAGGCTTGGGTTGACGGGAGACTTTCTCGTGTTCGCAACAATCAGCCATCCAAATTTTCGCCGATTCTCTCGCCAAGCCCATTCGTTTTTCGTTTGGGTTTGCTTTTGGTAGATACTGTTCCAAAACAAACAGTAATTTCAAATGTATACCGCCGCTTTAACTCCCTTGGAACAAATTCAGATCTAGCTGAGTACTACTGGCTAGTCTAACCCATAGTTTTCGCCATTGCGGTTTGTAATCGGCTCGCGACCGCGTTAACTGGCCACTAGTACTTACTTCTGGTTGCCCAATCGATAGCAGTCACATAGGAGCCTCGCGATTGTACAGAAATAACGCCCAATCACCATGGTTGACGCACCCGATGCAGCAGCAGCCGGAGCAGGAACCGGAGCAGATGCGAGCGAGGTGCAGGATCCGAAGCTCGTGCTGGCGCAGAAGCTGTTCCTGCTGCGCCTGCCGTCCACGTCGGATCTGGATAAGACTCGGATAAAAGAGGAAGTGCTTGAAGAGATTTTCCGCGATGGTACGGTGCCTGTCTTTCGAGTCGGGATAAAGAGTACGTCAGTAGGAATAGCAAGTGGTCGACGGAATCGTTCGCGATCGTACGGTGCCCGCGCATCGGTCTCGCTAGTGAAAAATAGGAGAGAAGGGAACTGAATTCTGCGGGTAGAGACATTTTGTCACGACTACTGACGCGTCTGATGATTGGCGAACTTTCGTCCTTCTATGGCCTCGGATGTATTTTAATCCATGTTCTTATATCGATCTAGCATGATTACAAGGAAAGTCTCCTTACTTCTCCTACCTTCGTTGTTGAGCGGTTATATCTTGGCGTAGATACTCGTGTGAGATTCTTTTTGAGTCGACTTAGAAATTACGAAGGTTTGTATTCTGACGTGGATACGTTCATGTCAGATTCAGGATACCATTGGCATGGTTGATTTCCTGTTGCGGCTCAGAGCTTGATTCTTGATCGTATCGTCTCAGGCTATCTCGTAGCAGCGGGCTCGTGATTTATGATTCGTAGTTCAATGCCGCTGAATTTGACCTCCCTCCCTTACCTCAACATTCCTATTGGAATATGCAGTCGAGTTTTGAGTCGACTCAAAACTCCCTCCCTTACCTTAACATTCCTAGTGGAATATGCAGTCAGGCAAGGGTTTCCCCTTCCTCCCCACCCTCTCCCCCGGTCCCTACTTCCTGCTCCCGCACCCAAACCCCCCCCTCACCCCCCTCCCCACTTTCTTCCCGTAACAGACCTGGTATCGTTGCACGTCTCAGGGAGCAGCGAGTAGGGACGGGAAGTCATGTTTACCCCCCTCCACCCTTCGCCCTTCCCTTGTCCCCCACTCTTTGTCACCAACAGACCCGGTACCGCTGCACGTGCCAGGGAGCAGCGAGTACGGATGGGACGTGCAGTCATGTTTTACCCGCCCGCCTCCCCCCTCCTCCCCTTTCCCCCGCCCCCCCGTTCCCACGCCCGTCCACCCCTCCCCAACAGACTTAATATTGCTGTACGTGTCAGGGAGCAGCGAGTACGGGTGGGAAGCAGTCATGTTTACCCCAGTCATGTTTACCCCAGTCATGTTTACCCCAGTCATGTTTACCCCAGTCATGTTTACCCCAGTCATGTTTACCCCAGTCATGTTTACCCCAGTCATGTTTACCCCAGTCATGTTTACCCCAGTCATGTTTACCCCAGTCATGTTTACCCCAGTCATGTTTACCCCAGTCATGTTTACCCCAGTCATGTTTACCCCAGTCATGTTTACCCCAGTCATGTTTACCCCAGTCATGTTTCCACCCCTCTCCCTTTCCTTGTCCCCCACTCTCTCTCACCAACAGACCTGTACGTGTCGGGGAGCACGAGTACGGTTGGGAAGTGCAGACATGTGTATCCTCCTCCCTCCCCATCTATCTCTCCCCGCCCTCCCCGCCCTCCCCGCCCCCCCTCCTCCCCGGCCTCCATGTCCCACACCCTTCCCCAACAGACCTGGCATCGCTGTATGTACGTGTCAGGTCAGGCAGCAGCGAGTACGGGTGGGAAGTGCAGCAGAGCAGAGCAGACGTATGAAATCCATGCTTCCCTCTCCTGCTCCCCCCCCCTCCCCCTTTTTCTCTCCCCTCTCTAACAGACCTGGCCTCGCTGTACGTGTCAGGAGCCAGCGAGTACGGGTGGGAAGTGCAGCAGGAGAAGGTTGATGCGATGCAGACGCGGATATCAGAGGAGGTGGTGAAACTGGACGACAAGTGAGTGGTTTGAAGGGGAGGGATGGGAAGGGAGAAGGGATAAGGTTTGTGGGGAAGGAGTGGTTTTGCTTGGTTGGAGGTGCAGCAGGAGAAGGTCGATGTGATGCAAACGCGGATATCAGAGGAGGTGGTGAAACTGGACGACAAGTGAGTGGACTGAAGGGATAGGGGAAGGTTGGGGGGAAAGGAGGGAGGACGGGTGGGGCATTTTCGGGGAAGGAGTGGGTTGCGGCGATGCAGACGCGGATCGCAGAGGAGGTGGTGAAACTGGACGACAAGTGAGTGACGGGTCGCGGAGAACCTGGGGGATAGCGAGGTACATTGATGAGCTGATCTGATCCGATCTATTTTGATTCAATTGTATCTCTTTTGTGCAGCATCAAGGGCGCGGAGGAGAACCCGGGGGAGAGCGAGGTGCTGGAGTGATCCGATCTGGTCCGATTTTATCAAATTTGATTCGAGCTTCCGTTCCTGCGCAGGATCAAGGACGCGGAGGAGAACCTGGGGGAGAGCGAGGTGCGCGAGGCCATGCTTGCCAAGGCGCTGTACTTCATCCGCGTGGGGGATAAGGTGCGGTGGAGAGGGATAAGGTGCGGTGGAGGGGGATAAGGTGCAGTGGAGAGGGATAAGGTGCGGTGAAGAGGGATAAGGTTGGGGAGAGTGGGGGGTGAGGTGCGAGAAGCCATGCTTGCCAAGGCACTATTTTCATCCACGTGGGGGATAAGGTGTGGTGGAGAGGGATAAGGTGCGGTGAAGAGGGATAAGGTTGGGGAGAGTGGGGGGTGAGGTGCGAGAGGCTGAATCTGTCTCTCACTCCGATCCAGTGATAACGAGATGTACGACTCAGAGCCAGAGCACGAATCAGAATACGACTCCGGTTCAGCCGACGAGGAGGACCAGTCAGAGACGGTAAGAAACTGGAGGAGAGAAAGAGGTTGATCGACCATTGTAGAGAATTTGAGCATCCTCTTGGGTGCTAGGAAAGAAGTAGTAGGTAAGGATGTTTTTACAACCATTATGCTTTTCCATGTCGTGTGTGTAGAGAACGGATGTTTGAAGTGATTAGTGGGGTCGACACACACGCACGCACGCACGCACGCACGCACGCACGCACGCACGCACGCACGCACGCACGCACGCACACACACACTGGCTCTCGTGCCGCGTGCTCTCCCTCTCTCCCAATCCAATCCAGGGATGGACGAGTTTTACAGCGACTATGACTCAGACTACGACAACTAATCAAACTATGACAACTAATCAGACTACGACTTTGGTTCGGGCGACGAGGACGAACGTTCTTAGGCGGAAGTGAAGAGGATGACGGAATGTCGACAAGTTGGTGATTGGGACAGCTCGCATTGGTCGAGCTCGTGCTGTCACATTCACCGATTGGCCAACATTCAGTCATCCTCTTTACTTCTGCCTGGGAACGTTCCTCCTTGTCGCCCGAAACGAAGTGATAGCCTGATCAGTTATTGTAGACTGACTCATAGTCGCTTAAAAATTCATCCCACGCACGTCCACTCTCTGAGAGTCGCCTTCTTCCACCTCGACTTCCCTTCCGTGTTCCCTCTTCTCTCACCCCTCTCCTTCCCATGCAAGACAAAGCACTGGGAAATTTGGAGGCGACCAAAGCCAAGACGGTGGCTGTCAGTCTGGAGATGGACCTTGTGTTTCACGCTCTGAGGGTCACCTTCCTTCACCTCGACTTCCTCTCGTTCCCCCCTCCATTTCCCTCTCCGCCACCCACAATCCCTCTTCCAGGACAAGGCCCTACCACAGCTAGAGGCCACCAAGGCAAAGACGGTGGCGGTGGGGCTGAAGATGGACCTCGTTTTTCACATTCTGAGAGTCGCCTTCTTCCACCTCGACTTCCCGCTCACTGCTCCCCCTCTCCCCCTTCTCTTTCTCTCTCTTTCCCACACAGGAAAAAGCTCTGGCACAGCTGGAAGCCACCAAGGCAAAGACAGTGGCAGTTGGACTGAAGATGGACCTCGTGTTTCACGCGCTGAGAGTGGCCTTCTTCCACCTTGATTTCCCCCTTATCTCCTCCAACCTTGACAAGGCCAAGAAGTGAGTGCGTTGTGGGTTGTGGGTTGTGCGTTGTGGATTGTGCTTGTGTTGTGAGTCTGGCTGGTGTTGATTGTGAGTGCTTGTGGCACTCAGGCACGCGCCCACCAACTCGACTTCCCGCTCGTCTTCTCCAACCTTGACAAGGCCAACAAGTGAGTGCGTTGTGGGTTGTGGGTTGTGTGTTGTGGGTTGTGGGTTGTGCGTTGTGGATTGTGCTTGTGTTGTGAGTCTGGCTGGTGTTGATTGTGAGTGCTTGTGGCACTCAGGCACGCGCCCACCAACTCGACTTCCCGCTCGTCTTCTCCAACCTTGACAAGGCCAACAAGTGAGTGCGTTGTGGGTTGTGGGTTGTGCGTTGTGGGTTGTGGGTTGTGCGTTGTGGATTGTGCTTGTGTTGTGAGTCTGGCTGGTGTTGATTGTGAGTGCTTGTGGCACTCAGGCACGCGCCCACCAACTCGACTTCCCGCTCGTCTTCTCCAACCTTGACAAGGCCAACAAGTGAGTGCGTTGTGGGTTGTGGGTTTGAGTGGTTGGGTCTAGTATGGACGTGGAACGAGACGTGGAGCCAGTTGCATTTTCCTTCCCTTCCACGTGCAGTGAGGGTGTTTTTGAGACGTCTCAAAAACACCACTGTTTCAGGTTGCTGGAAGAAGGTGGGGACTGGGAGCGAAAGAACCGCCTTAAGGTGTTCAAGGGGCTCTACTGCTTGGAGTGGAGTCAAATACGCACCTCTTCCCTTGCTCTTCGCTGAACCTTGCCTTCCCACCACTGTTTCAGGTTGCTGGAAGAAGGCGGGGACTGGGAGCGAAAGAACCGCCTCAAGGTGTACAAACGGCTCTAATGCACCTCCCTCCCTGCTCATCCTTTGCACTCCCTTGAATCCCCCTTGCTGCCCTCTTGCACTCCCCTTCACTATTTCAGGTTGCTCAAGGAAGGGCGGGGAGACTGGGAGAGGAGGAACCGTTTCTAGGTGTACGAGGGGCTCTACCGCCTGGCGTCTTATAGCACCTCCTCCCTCCCCTGTTCCAATTGCTCTCCCCTACCCGTATCCTGGTTTCCCCAGGCTTCTAGAGGAAGGAGGGGACTGCGAGAGGAAGAACCCGCTCAAGGTGTGCTCTGAGACTCAAGGGGCTGTACTGCCTCGCGTCTCGCGACTTCTCTCCTTCCTCTTCCCCACTGTTGTGTCACTGCCATCTTTCCGTTTTCCTCACATTTCCAGGTTGCTCGTGGAGGGGGAGATTGGGAGCGCAAGAACCGGCTCAAGGTGTGCGAGGGCCTGTACTGTCTCGCCTCTCGCAACTTCTCCCTCTACTTTTCCCCTGCCCTCGTCCTGCTTTCCCCCAGGCTACTCGAAGGAGGGGACTGGAAGAGGAAGAACCGCCTCAAGGTGTACGAGGGCCTGTACTGCCTGGCGTCGCGCAACTTCTCCCGAGCAGCGTTTTGAGACGTCTCAAAACACTTCTTCTCCCGAGCAGCGTTTTGAGACGTCTCAAAACACTTCTTCTCCCGAGCAGCATTTTGAGACGTCTCAAAACACTTCTTCTCCCGAGCAGCGTTTTGAGACGTCTCAAAACACTTCTTCTCCCGAGCAGCGTTTTGAGACGTCTCAAAACACTTCTTCTCCCGAGCAGCGTTTTGAGACGTCTCAAAACACTTCTTCTCCCGAGCAGCGTTTTGAGACGTCTCAAAACACTTCTTCTCCCGAGCAGCGTTTTGAGACGTCTCAAAACACTTCTTCTCCCGAGCAGCGTTTTGAGACGTCTCAAAACACTTCTTCTCCCGAGCAGCGTTTTGAGACGTCTCAAAACACTTCTTCTCCCGAGCAGCGTTTTGAGACGTCTCAAAACACTTCTTCTCCCGAGCAGCGTTTTGAGACGTCTCAAAACACTTCTTCTCCCGAGCAGCGTTTTGAGACGTCTCAAAACACTTCTTCTCCCGAGCAGCGTTTTGAGACGTCTCAAAACACTTCTTCTCCCGAGCAGCGTTTTGAGACGTCTCAAAACACTTCTTCTCCCGAGCAGAGTTTTGAGACGTCTCAAAACACTTCTTCTCCCGAGCAGCGTTTTGAGACGTCTCAAAACACTTCTTCTCCCGAGCAGCGTTTTGAGACGTCTCAAAACACTTCTTCTCCCGAGCAGCGTTTTGAGACGTCTCAAAACACTTCTTCTCCCGAGCAGCGTTTTGAGACGTCTCAAAACACTTCTTCTCCCGAGCAGCGTTTTGAGACGTCTCAAAACACTTCTTCTCCCGAGCAGCGTTTTGAGACGTCTCAAAACACTTCTTCTCCCGAGCAACTTCTCCCTCTACTTTTCTGGGAGCCATCGCCACCTTCTCCCCTGCCATTCCCCTCTCCTTCCCCCCCTTTCCGTCCGTTTTCTTAATCCAGGTTGTTGGAAGAAGGCGGCGACTGGGAGCGCAAGAACCGCCTCAAGGTGTACGAGGGCCTGTACTGCCTGGCGTCGCGCAACTTCTCCCGTGCAGCGGACCTGTTCCTGGGCGCCATAGCCACCTTCACAACCTACGAGCTGCTGCCGTATCGTTCCCTTGTCTTCTACACCGTCATTCTCAGTGTGGTCGCTCTCGACAGGGTGGCGCTCAAGCAGAAGGTGCGTGGTATCTGTTGTTGTGCTCGATAGGGTGGTGGTTGTGAGGCAGGTGGTTTTTGAGGCGCCTCAAAAATTGTTGTTGTGCTCGATAGGGTGGTGGTTGTGTGGCAGGTGGTGCTCAAGCAGAAGGTGCATGGTATCTGTTGTTGTGCTCGATAGGGTGGTGGTTGCGAGGCAGGTGGGCCGCCATCGCCACCTTCACAACCTACGAGCTGCTGCCGTACCGCTCACTTGTCTTCCACACTGTCATTCTGAGCGTGGTTGCTCTTGATCGAGTGGCGCTCAAGCAAAAGGTGGGTTATGCAGCAGGTGGTTCGAGGTGAGTGTTTGAGGCCCCAGAATGGTGCTGCTGTACCGCTCACTGGTCTTCTACACCATCATTCTCAGCGTGGTGGCTCTGGACCGAGTGGCTCTCAAACAGAAGGTGGGTGGTGCTGAGTGGCGCCTAGTGGTGGCGAGTGGTGCTGAGTGGTGAGCCAGCCAGCCAGCCAGCCACACCCACCTGTTTCTGGGCGCCGTTGTCACCTTCACCACGTGGGTACGAGCTGCTGCCGTACCGCTCGCTCATGTTCAACACCGTCGCTCTCAGTGTGGTGGTTCTTGACAGGGTGGCGCTGGACCGACTGGGTTGCACTTAAACAGAAAGTGGGTTCTGCTTCTACAGCAGGAGTGCAGGTTGTGAGGCTGTGAGGCTGTGAGGCTGTGAGGCTGTGAGGCTGTGAGGCTGTGCGGCTGTGAGGCTGTGAGGCCGTGCGGCTGTGCGGCTGTAAGGCTGTGAGGCTGTGAGGCTGTGCGGCTGTGAGGCTGTGAGGCTGTGAGGCTGTGAGGCTGTGCGGCTGTGAGGCTGTGAGGCTGAGGCTATGCGGCTGTGAGGCTGTGAGGCTGTGAGGCTGTGAGGCTGTGAGGCTGTGAGGCTGTGAGGCTGTGAGGCTGTGAGGCTGTGCGGCTGTGAGGCTGTGTGGCTGTGAGGCTGTGAGGCTGAGGCTATGCGGCTGTGAGGCTGTGAGGCTGTGCGGCTGTGAGGCTGTGAGGCTGTGAGGCTGTGAGGTTGTGAGGCTGTGTGGCTGTGAGGCTGTGAGGCTGTGCGGCTGTGAGGCTGTGAGGCTGTGAGGCTGTGAGGCTGTGCGGCTGTGAGGTTGTGAGGCTGTGAGGCTGTGAGGCTGTGAGGCTGTGAGGCTGTGAGACTGTGAGGCTGTGAGGCTGTGAGGCTGTGTGGCTGTGAGGCTGTGAGGCTGTGAGGCTGTGAGGCTGTGCGGCTGTGAGGCTGTGAGGCATCCCTCCACAACCCCGCCCCCCTGTCCCCAGGTCATAGGCGCACCTGAGATCCTCACAGTCATCGATCAAATCCCCCATCTAACTGCCTTTTCTCACGTCCCTCTTCTCACGTCCCTCTTCTCACGTCCCTCTTCTCTTGTCCCCCCTCAGTCATTGATCAGATACCCCCCCCTGGCTGCCTCTTCTCTTGTGCCCCCTCTACCCGCCACCCTCCTCCTCTCCTTCCCCTCTCCCATCCTCACCTTCCTCTCTGCCAGGTCATAGACGCCTCGGAAATCCTAACAGTCATCGACCAAATGCCCCACCTGACCTCAACGACTGGCATGTCCTACATCCCGCCAACTCCCCTCTCCCATCCTCACCGTCCTCTCACCACGTCATAGGCGCACCGGAAATCCTAACAGTCGTCTTACATCCCGCCAACTCCCCTCTCTTGCCTTTCTCCACCCCTCTCGTCTCTCTGCCAGGTCATAGACACCCCGGAGATCCTCACAGTCATTGACCAAATCCCCCACCTCGCGCCTTTCCTCAACAACCTGCACGCGTGTGACTACAAAGCCTTCTTCCGTGCCTTCTGTGAGTAGCACTTCGTTGGGTGAATGGGTGGGTGTGCATGTGGGTGGGTGTGCGTGTGGGCGGGTGTGCGTGTGGATGGGTGTGCATGTGGGTGGGTGGGCGTTTGGGTGTGTGGTGTCTGTAACTGGTAGACATTTCCCCACCTCGCGCCCTTCTTCAACAACTTGCACGCGTGTGACTACAAAGCCTTCTTCCGCGCATTCTGTCAGTCACATGCGTGTGGGGTGTGGCTGTGTGTGTGTGGGTGTGTGGCTATGTGGGTGTGTATGTGTGGGTGTGCGGGTGCGTGGGTGTGTGGGACCCTAGACCTGTAAGGCTGAAACCTTCGACCATCTCTCACCATCCCTCTCAACCTTGCTTACATCCTCCTTTCCCCCTTTGTTTCTCCTCATTCCCAGCCGGTCTGACCAAGCCCATAAGGCGCCATCTGCTGCACCGCACCGCACGTGCGCTTGATCCTGAGGGAGGGGCTCTTACACCCCCCTTTTTTCCCCTCTGTTCCACTCACAGCTGGCCTTACCGAGCCCATAAGGCAGGATCGCTACCTGCATCCACACATGCGCTTCATCCTGAGAGAGACACTCCTAGCAACCTGTTTTATTGAAATCACTTTTGAGAATTCTCAAAAGTGTTTTCCCCTCTCTTCCTGGTCTTCCATCCCCAGCCGGTCTGACTGAGCCCATAAGGCAGGATCGTTACCTGCACCCACACATGCGCTTCATTCTGAGGGAGAGACGCTTGCACCCCTTTCCCCTCTGTTCCCTTTCAACACCTCCTCCCTCCCAGCTGGCCTAACGGAGCCCATAAGGCAGGATCGCTACCTGCATCCACACATGCGCTTCATCCTGAGGGAGGTGCGAGTGGTGGCATACTCGCAGTTTCTGGAGAGCTACAAGAGCGTCACTGCTGACGCCATGGCCCGCAGCTTCGGGGTGTCTCTTGACTTCATTGACAGGTAGGCTTTGACTCCGTTGACTGGTGGGTTGACTTGCTTGTACTGGCCAGACCAGTTGTCAGTGGTGGGTGCGTTGACTAGTGGATTCAATAAGTGAGGACCTGAGTGTCCCTGTCCCCCTTGCCTTCTCACCCCATCTGCTCCCGTTTTTTCCCCTTCCCCTTTCCCATCCCCAATTTCGGTTTCTCCTTTTGTGCAGCGAGCTGTCTCTCTTCATAGCCAGTGGGCGACTAAACTGCAAGATAGACAAGGTGGCAGGGGTGCTCGAGACCAACCGGCCGGACGCACGCAACGCTCAGTACCAATCAGTGCTTAAGCAGGGGGATCTGCTGCTTAACCGCATTCAAAAGCTGTCACGAGTCATTGATGTGTGAAGGCAACTGGTGTTGAGTTGGAAAATTTGTTGCACATGTCAAATTTATCAATTGCATGATACTAAATATTTTCTGCCATAAACAAATATGTATGAATCCGGTACCGGTACCTTCTGCTTGCAACCATTCAGCAGTGTTTCAAGGTCCCATAACCTGGGACACCCATGATCACGCATATTAGACCAACTATCACGTACACTTCATCACTCTCCCCTGGTACAATCCCAATCTGCATATCACATAACGGTGCAATCACTACTCTCTGCATTGTGACACCAGTCTGAGCGAAGGCTGGCCCGGCCAGACAATCAGTCATGCTGGGATGAACCCACCACAGTGCAGCCTAACGCCGCTACACTGCACCGCCCTCAAATCTTCCCTCCACTGTTCAGGTGTGTTTTGAGTGTTCACTGTGGCAGGGAGCATGAGCGTGTTCACCCACGCGGCTACCCATCGCCACCAAACACAAATGACAGCACAGCCGGGTCGGCACCACTAGCAGGGCCGCATGCATACCCCCGTGCCACTGCGCTCTGTCTGCCTGCTCTCGGCTCTCCCCACCGCCTTGTTCCCATCGCAGCACCACTGGCGGGGCATGTAACCGCCAAACACAAACGACAGCACAGCAAGATCACCGCCACTCGCAGGGCTTGCATACCCCCGTGCTACCGCATTCTGCCTGCCCACACTCGCCCTCCCCACGGCTGCCCGATGCATTCCCACCAGCCTATCTGCCATCTCTACTGTGCTCTCCTCCCTCTTCCTCTTCCCCTTCCCCTCCTGCTTCCCACTCTGTTCGTCCTCTATCCCGTTTTCCTCAACCTTCTCCTCCTTCCTCGTCGCCTCCTCTTTCCGCTTTTCCTCCTGCTGCTCTTGCTCCTCCCCAGGCCTCCCTCTCTCCCCCTCGTCATCCATCTCATGCCTCTCATCCTCCTCTTCCTCACTCCCCCCCTCCAATCGAGCCTCTTCCTCTTCCACCCGCGCCATGCCCTCAACAGCACACCTCTCACCAACACCCCTCTCACCCTTGCCGACTAAACCCCATCCTCCCCCTCCTTCCCCTCCCCGCCCTCCTCCCACTCCTCCCACTCCTCCTTTGTCTCCAGCATTCCCTCCCTCCGCACCCCACCATCTAAGAGCATCCCACGGCAAGCCATCAGTAGGGAAGCCCTCTCTAAACTGCATCAGCACACTTGATCTCACCTCTCCCTCCCCATCCACCACCCCTGCTGCTCCTGCTGCTGCGGCTCGAACTGCTGCTGCAAAGGCTGAAACTGTTTCTCTCTTGACTATCCCCAGTGCATCAGCAGCAGCACTGCCTGTTACTTTCTCTCCCCTGCGTGCTGCAGCTCCAGCTCTAGCAGCAACACCCACACCATCAGAAGCTTCTACCTTCACAGCATCTCCCCCAGTAGTAGAATCATGAAGCTCAGCAGCCTGGCCCTGAAGCTGTTCTCGTAATCGTGCAAGAGGAGCAGATAGCTGTTTCAGGGCCCTGGTGTCGTGCCGCTGTGCCAGTGGCAGGGGGAACGGGAATGGGAAGGCCGGGGGGTTTTGCAGAGGTAAGGACAGCGCCAGGTCAAAAGCACTCGGGATTTTTCCTCTCACTCTCCCTGCCCTTGCTGCTGCTGCTGCTGCTGCGGCTGCTGGAGTGGCCGCTGCAGTGGCATCATCCTCGTTATAATACTCATCGATATCAGTGTCAGTTGCAAGAGCCTTTGGAGTAGAAACTGCTGCTGGTGGGGTCATGGTGGTGGCGATGTGGGAGGGAGCAGGAGGAGCAGCAGCAGGAACAGAGGAAGCAGCAGCAGCTCCAGCAGAAGCAGCACGAGGAGCAGCAGTGACAGTCACACCAGCGGTAGTAGCAGAAGCAGCAGCTGTTGCTGCTGGCCCCTTGATCAGAACAGGACGGAAGTTGCCACCCGTGTTTGCTACTACAGCTTGATTCTTCCTGTCAACAGCACCACCACCCATGGTTACTGTTGCTGCAGCTGCAACTGGTGCTGTTGCGGCTGCTGGTGCAACAGGTGCTACTGGTGCTGCTGCAGCTGGTGGTGCTGCTGCTCGCGTTATCCCTCCTCCCTCTCTTCCTCTAACCCCTCCTCCTCCTCCTCTGCCTACCCCTACCCCTGACCCGCTTCCCATTGCTGCTACAGCCCCTGCTGCAGCCGGCACCACTGTCCCTGTCGCTGCTACTGCTGCTGCTGCTGCTGCTGCTCGTCCGCCTCCTCCTCCTCCTGATGCTCCTGCTCCTCCATGCGACACCATTGTAAAAGACACTGGGACGGGAGGTAGTGCCGAAACAAGCCGCCCAGCTCCCATTGCTGTTGCATAAGCTCCAGTCCGACCTGCTGCTGCTGGAACTCCTGCCACAGCAGCAGCAGAAGCAGCAGGAGCAGCAGCAGGAGTAGCAGGAACAGTTGCAGCACCAGTAGCGGCAGCAGCAGGAGCAGAAGCTGGTGTGAGTGAGGGAGATGAGGCACGGGGATTCGAAGCAGCCGCAGCCACAGCAGCAACAGCGGGAGGGGGAGGAGGAGGAGGGGTAAGGCGCTGAGGTGGAGCGGTAGGCGGGGGTGTGGAGAGAGCAGGAGAAGGGGCTAACGCAGTAACAGAAACGGGTAACGAAGAGGCTGCAGTGGGATGGTGAGGTGGGATTCCCGTTACCCCGCTCCCTCCTCCCCCTCCCTGTTGGGAAGCGAAAGCAGGAGAAACCAATGGATTCTGGGCTGCTGCTGCTGCTGCTGCTGCTACTTCTCCCCTTCCTTTTCCTACCGCTGTTCTTCCTCCCCTGCCCCGTCCTCCCAGTGCTTTTATTCCCCTGCTTACCCCAACCCCTGCCCCTCTGCCTGCTCCCCTTCCTGCTCCTCTGCCTGCTCCTGTCCCCCCTGCTACTTCGCTTTCTCCGCCTGTTCCTGATCCTGTTGCTTGTGAAGTCTGCTGCTGTTGCTGTTGTTGGTGCATCATCTGAAGCCGCTGCTGCTGTAGCTGGAACTGCTGGTGATGCTGCAGCAGATGAGGGGGAATCGGCTGCTGCTGCTGCTGGAGAATTAACTGGCGCTGCTGCTGCAGAAGCATCTGCTGCTGTTGTTGCTGTTGCTGTTGCTGCTGCTGCTGGTACTGCAAATGCTGTTGCAGGGATGGGTTTGATGCTTGGGAGGATGGCAGTCGCCTGTGGATTGGTAAAAACAGAAACATGCAAGGAACAAGTGGGAGGAAATTTATTATTATGACGATGATAACAAAAACAATAAGAACGATAACTTAATGATTTGCAATAACAACAGTAATAACGATAATAAATACAGAGCCAACTCTGACAATGATTTGAAACAATTAAAAAAACAAAAAACTCAAGCAGGATACTCCACGCAATTGTACAACAAAGTGAAGTCAAGCGATACTCACGCAGCACTCGCAGCAGCAGCAGCGGCTGCACTAGCAGTGGACGGGAGAGCAGCAGCAGCTGCAGTGGAAGGGAGAGCAGCAGCGGGAGTCCTGACAGCATACGGGGAGACACCCACTGGCACCTGCATGCCTGCTCCTGGCAGCAGCGGGGTGAGGGACGGCAGAGAGGAGGCTTGGCCGGGGGATGGGGCATGGAAGGGATGAGAGGGATGGGACGAAGGAGCGTGCATGCCTGATGAAGGGGCATGCTGCAGGATAGGTGAGGGTGCGGAGAGATGGGCAGTGGGGAGGGATTTCGGAGCAGGTGAGAGGTGGTGGGCGGTGGAGGGGGACTGGGGAGCGGGTGAGAGGTGGGAGGGGTGGTGGGAGTGAGCGGAGGAGGATGCGGGAGGGGGTGTGGGGGAGGAAGAGTGGGGAGACGTGTCTCCGGTGCTGCTGGTGGTGCCGGTGGTTGTGCCGGCTGCTTGCTCTTCTGCTAGGGCTTCTGCTGCGTTTCGCTTGATCTCCTCTATAGTCATGCCCGATGCAATCTGCGGTGGGGGAGGGAAAGGGGGGGGGGGAAGAGGGAGGGAAGGGGGAGGGACCTTTGAGACGTCTCAAAAGCTTCCTGCTGCGTTTCGCTTGATCTCCTCTATTGTCATGCCCGATGCAATCTGCGGTGGGGGAGGGAAAGGGGGGGGGGAAGAGGGAGGGAAGGGGGAGGGACCTTTGAGACGTCTCAGAAGCTTGCTGCTGCGTTTCGCTTGATCTCCTCTATTGTCTTGCCTGATGCGATCTGCGGTGAGGGAGGGAAAGGGAGGGGGGGAAGAGGGAGGGAAGGGGGAGGGACCATTGAGACGTCTCAGAAGCTTGCTGCTGCGTCTCACTTGATCTCCTCTATTGTCATTCCCGATGCGATCTGCGGTGGGGGAGGGAAGGAGGAGGGTGGGGGAGGGAAGGGGGGGTGACCTTTTGAGACGTCTCTAAAAATTTGCTGCTGCGTCTCGCTTGATCTCCTCTATTGTCATGCCTGACGCAATCTGCTGTGAACGGGGGGGAGGGGGAGGTGTGGGGGGGGGAAGGGGGGAGGACCTTTGAGACGTCTCAAACGTTTTCTGATGCGACCTGCTGTGAGGGGAGAGGGGAGGCGAGGAGGGGGTGTAACAGTGGCGAGCAGAAAAGGGGAAGGGGGGGTTCACCGACAGTACTAAAAAACAGGAGAAGCAGAAGAATATGACAATACTATAAAACAGGAGGATACAAAAATTGCTATTGTGAAATGGAGGGGAATGACTTACTTTTCTGAAGGGCCACTTGGGTATGCCGTTTTCGCGGCATATCTTCTTCAGAAAAGCAGTGCTTACGCCTAAAGGATTGGGACGGAAAGGGAGGCGGGATGGGTGCGGGGATCGGGGGGGGTTGGGGGGGAGGTGTGGGGGGGAGAGGGGGGAGAGAAAGGAAGGTGGGGTGGGGAGGAGGTTATGGCTGACTTTTGTAGGATGACTTGAGGGAAAATCCCACCTTAAAAAATACAGTGAGGATCAGTGTTGACGGATATGATGCGTGACCAACCTATGTTTCTCCAAGCACAGTGCACAACGCTTCTAAGGCAATTTCCTTCCCCTTTTCTTTCTAACACTTAACCTTCGAGTTGACTTAAAAGCGGTGTCGAAGGAAGAGCGGAAAGGTTGCGGTTCAGAAGAACTGGTGCAACTAGCAACGATATGTTTGCTAAATATTTCCTAACTTGAAAGCAACAACGCCAGACGGCACGCACCCAGACGAGCCGATGCGTCGACAAGCGTCGACGTAAAGTGCTTAGAAACCTCCTCATACGTCAACTGCTCTTCTCGCTCTCGCTTCGCCATTCTTCTAATCCTTGCTTGCTACTATGATTGAAACGTGGGACACGCAGTGGTGCACTGACACTAGCTGTTTCCACAAGTGGTTGCAGCGGTTAGTCTACACCTTGGTCGCCAAGCTGGTTCAAGGTGAGCAGCAGAACATTCAAGCCTGTGGGTCCGTTAGGAGGTGCTTCAAGAGCGACTCGAGATCAGAGTTCCCTAATTAGTTGTCTTTAACTGACCTGATAACATAAATGGCGTGAATGTTTTTGGACGGAGAAAGATTGGAAACGCATCCAAACATTTGAAGGTCTACCCCACTCTCTTACACATTTGCCTTGTGCACAAACAGTGACTACATGTATCGCGTACAGAGCAAATGGTTGTGCCAGCTTCCGCCAATCGCGTACGGGTAATGGTGGTGTGCTGTAGATATTGCAGAAAGGTTTCGTTGCCCTTTTCCTTCATGGTTGCATTTCAAACAGGCAGATCCGCCGACCTTATGCTTCCATTCAAACCTTTTTCTCCGACTATCTCCCGTGGCAGACAACGATCTCGAGGCTGGTGATCACAGCGTACACGACTATGACGAAGCATACTCGGGAGCAAATTAGCTACGTGGACGTAGAAAAGCATTTCAACCTCCCAGTCCTTGAAGCTGCGGCACGACTCGGTCGGTTGATGTACCGTCACCGGTTTATTCATTCATTCAGGGCGTAATATGTCTTACTCGTTATGGTTCCGTCACCGTAACGTCAGAAAATTTCTAGCGGTGCGGTCTTCTGGCCGTTGTCGACGTCCTGACATGGTTCTGTTACAGGTGTATGCAACGCCACTTTGAAGAGGGTATGTCGTGAAAACGGTGTTCCTAGGTGGCCCTACCGAAAGGTACGCGCAACTGCAGTTTTCCTAACTGCCTTGCGGTGCGCTCTTTCAACTTAACTTGCCTCGACATGGTTACGTTTTCAACTTACTTATTCGCATGTTCTCTCTTTTCGCACCGGGCCGCGTTTTCCTAATATTTACCAGCTAATGGCTGGTAAAACACTGGATGAAATCAAGCGAGATGCATCCCTATTGAACGTGCAAGACGTTGTAACGCCATTGTCATCCTCAAAATCCCAGAGCCCAGTGATGCCCAGCGCTGATGACTCGACACCTTCACCAAGCGTCACCTTAGCGCATGACAGTCAACAAGCTGGCGATGCCTCTGCATTGCTGTATGTGAACGATCTATCGTTTTTCTGCACACTTCTAAGGTAAGTGGCTGACGGTTGCTGAATATCATATTGCAACATTTTTTTTCCTGTTCACTTGGATATGCTGCAGATCAACACCTGTTTTGCCTCTATCATGTGGAGCCCCGGGGCTTGTTAGCTGGGACAAATCAGGGACCTCCAAACGAGTTGCTGAGGTTGTCACAGCTTTAGGCAATTATAACGGGACCATGCATGGCAGAAGTTTCACAGGCCCAGGTACCTTTGGCCATAGAGATGGGCTTCATGCTGGCAACACTAGGTGTGCAAATGGCCATATTGCTGACAATAATCGACTTAAGCAGCAAGAACAGGCAACAGCAGTGCCATGGCTGCTAAGAAACTACATAGCATAGTGTGAATTGTGATAAGGTGTTCCTTATGTCAGCAGCAGTACTCTTCCCTGATGCACCATGGTGAGACCAGCAGGATGAACAGACAGCAGTAAGCTAAAGATGTGAAACGTATTTTACAACAAACAAAATCTATCACAGGTTATGAGAGGATCCCCCTTTCCTGTACAAAGTCACGTACACGCGGGTGGTACGCCATACCAGAATTCCAGTGAACATTGCTCCGATCCAGCAGACCCCCATCATGATTGTGAAAGTCAGCCGGAAGCAATGGGCCCCCGTGCACTCAGTGAACTCTGACGAATCAAGTCTCCACGAGCTGAACGCCTGGACCAGTGATTGTTGCCAGGGGCTCCCCATACCTTTACCCTTATGGGCCTCATAGTCGTAAAGATACCCCGCAATCAGACTTGAGAACAGGTACGAACCCACTGGAGTGGCAGCTGCCACTGCATTGAATATTAGGCCGAAATTCTTCAGGCCAAAGAGCTCACTCACGGTTGCAGGCATCACAGACCAATGAACACCATAACAAAGCCCGACAATGAGTGAGCCAATGTGCAAAGAATATGGGAAGGCAATGGCGTAAATGGCATGACCAGCCGACATGACAAGCTGTGCCACGAGAAGCAGCAGCGGCCTTGGAAGGAAATAGGTCCTGCAAGCCAGAAGTAAGAAATGTGAGATACGAGACAATACATTAAATACGCTATGCAACCAGTATCAGGCGATGCACTTACTTGACAAGGTGCTCCGAGCAATATCCTCCTGCAAGGCGGCCAATGAAGTTCCACACGCTAACCAGCGACACGAACAGTTGCACCCGGCTGTAGTCCTGGGAGGATGCCATTTGAGCCAGGTTGTTAATCGCAGTCAGCCCAGATCCACAGCCACAAATGTACGATAACACAAGGAGCCAAAAATCTGCCTTTCGGAGAGCTTCAACTAGTGTGAAGTCTTCACCACGTCTGGGTCCCTTCCTTCTCGTTCGTATAGCACCTTCTCCCACTGCTAATAGGATCTGGGAACTCCTCCTCCTGTTCAAATGTCTGTGAACAGCTTCGTCCAAACCCCTATGATGAACATCCAGGACTGGGTGAGCGTTGCTAGTCCTCTCCTGGTCAGGCATCAATAAACCTTTCTGAGAGTGGCTTAGGTCCCCTGACTCTTGATCAATCATCTCTGAGCTTAAATGAGCATGTGGACTCTGTACGAAACACACACGATAACCATTACGAACTTGGAAACGAGGCACTCAGGATCCATTCCGGACGTCAACGAAGGTGTAGACTCACGCAATGTAGAGGCTGGTTTTCTTTGTCATCGTAAGCTGGTGTCTCAGATGGACTGAAGTCGGAAAATATGGAGTCTGTGCTTAACACTCGATGAATCAGGGGTTGAAGTTTGTCATCAGCCTCGCTTACATCCACCTCTCCATCGCACTGTTCATCTTGTTTTGAGGTATGGCTTAAATTAAGGTGAAGCTCTTCAAACAAGTGAGCAGCCGGGACAGCCAAAGGGGTAACCAGAAAGAACAGCATTCCAGCAAAAATCCACGCCCGAATCTGCTCAAAACGGACAAGTGAAGCTTATCATAGAATACCTATATTCGAAAAAACGCATCAAAGCACCTGAAACGTTAGTCACATCTGACCTCGCCTCAACGCACCTGAGATGTTAGTTCCATTTGATCTTCAACACAGATTGCAACAAGAAGGTAGCACGCCAGCCCCGTGCAGGACATGACGACTTTCTCGAAGCTCGTTTTCTCCTCAATATCATCGTACAAGACCCGATTTTCTGACCTGCACAAATACGGGATTAAGGATTTTGATCCATATTTGTGAACTGCCATTCTAAACAAAGACTGTGTACCTGACAAAGCTCATGGTCGGAACGGCAACTGCCAAAGGCACAACCGCAAGGACCAAGAGAAATGACGGTTGATTGGGAGCTAAAAAAGCTGAGTAAGCTTGTGAAAGAATGGCATTCGATAGGCCGACCAGTCCTTTCAGAACGCCGACAACTGGTCCTCGAGATCTCGGAGAATTGCGTATGCAGGTCACGAGAGCTGCTGTGTTGAACCAGGCGGTCCCTTGAGCTCCAACTAAAATCAGCGAGCACATCTGCGAAAGAAATGCGCAAGGATCGACCTCGGGAGTATGTTACGAAGTCAAAGCAATTCGATTCGCATTAATAGTGGACTCACCTGCCAGAATGGTAGCGGCTGAATGCGTTGCGAAGCTACGAGCCATAGACTACCAAATCCAGTCAAATAGTGCAGTGCACCAACCAGAAGCATAAGCCATCCTGGTAGCCAGTCGCACAAGATACCCGCAACTAGACCGACACTTTCTCCCACATCCTTGGCAACGGCCAACGCCTGAATGTGCTTCTGATCATAACCTGCTACGGCTTTCAGGACGGGTGAGTAAATGGCGAATGTTCCTGACGTTCCTGCTGTGGAAAGAATCCACATGCAGCAAACGAAGCATAACCACTTCGCAGCCGCCATGACGAGACTCTGCTGTACAGCGTCTGTGTGTGGGCTGTATCAATGTCTAAAATACCTGCGAGCGGAAAAAGGCGATAGTATGGGATGTAGGACGGACATCAGGTTGTACGACTTCCTGGTATGCTCACTGCGGTCAACTTTGTTTCGTCACGGTGCAAAACGGTAAACCTGCAGAACCGCTCTCCACAGTGTGGAACCGTCCTGGGCCACTGACGTAGCGCTGAGTGTTGGTGGCTCCATGACCCTGGACAGATATTCGCCTACCTGGCCAGTACAGCCCTCGATTGGCTCGGAAAAGGTCCCCTGCTCGAGGGAGCAGCTCCTTTTCCTTGGTGCCTGTCAGCCGTCAGGCCTCTCAGGGCTGGCTGGGCTCCATTGGGTCTGGAATGCGGATCGCTTCATGAATGAAAACTCGAGACTCGCTACGGAGTTTCACATGGTACTAAACATGTTTAGCTGCAGTCGTCAGAAACTCATAAGAAATTTTTAAGAAATTTATTCATAAACTACAAGTACAGAAATTCAATGCAAATTTATAACGTAATGCATTCATATAAATCTACAATTTTTGATTTTTTATTCATAGTATAATGCAATCTTCTCTATGGCCTATTATGTCACAATCTAGATTGCTAAGTACTTCACTTATGCATTTAAAAGATCTTATAATCGTAGAGTCTAGTTGGATTGTATAGTTAGAGTGTGCTTCGGATAGCGAGTATGGAGTTGTGGCTCGCAGCTACTTTCACTTTCAATCTGAGTCATCAGTTTAGGGTTTCGAGTCAGACAGCATTTTTCAGTCAATCTTCCCGCCATGGCTGCGCGACGCGCCTTGCTATGCCATTGCCAGCCGTTTCAATAGTTACATCGACTATTATCGTCTGTCATCATTTATTCTCGCGTCTTGCGGCCGGCTTGCAAGCCCTTAAGCCTTAGAACGCTTGCATCACCGTCACACAGATTCCCGCTTTTTTCAAGTGTCTGTTGAAGACACCATTGTCGCCAATCCGTGTCCGTTAGCGCGAGCCGAATCAAAATACCCTTATATCGCTTACGCTAGTCCGTAACGCGTATGTTAGGATTCGTAGCCAAATCCATGGATCGCCAATACGACTACTTGCAAGACCAGGAGGGTGGCGGCTTTGCATCAGGCTGGCCTGCCACCGACCAAGTGCCAGGTCAGCAACAGCCACATTCGTCGCTGCAAGGTCAGCAACAATCGCAGCCCGGCGATCAAGGGTTTCTAGACACCAGTAACGATCGGCCAGCTGGCCAGGAGGGTCCTGGCCTCTCGGGTCGACCAGCGGGGGGAATGATTTCCGCGGAATTGGCGGATGAGGGGAAACCAGGGGGAGGCGGAGTCGGCGCGGGCGGTTCCGCCGGCGGAACCGGTGCAGGTTTCGCGGGGAAAGGCGTTGCTGGGGGAGCGTCCGCCGCAGGGGGAGGCTCCGCTGCTGGCGGAGGTTCCAACTCTCGTGGGGAATCGTCTCTCGCGCGCATTCTGTCGCTAGAAGAGCTCTCTACCGGGGAACTACGGTTCGGGAAACACGCGGAGTTGGATTCCGCAGTGGGGAAGGCGCGGGAAGGAGCCTCGGGGGGAGCTGCGGGGGGACTGGGGGAAGGGGGAGCGGAACAGGCGGCAGCGGGAGGCTTGCCTGTTGTGACTGTAACGGGGGATGAGCGGAAGAGGATGGTGGCGGCGCTGAGGGATGGTCGAGATCGTGCAAGGTGAGGCATTTGGTACTGTATGGGGGATGTTCGATACAGTCACATCGGCTATGGTGGGCGTTTTTAGATCACTCGCTTTGATCCTCGTGGGAGTGCCTGGAGTCGTTGTGCATTGTGCATCAGGGGATTGGTCCTCATTGTGACCCTAAATGTCTGGTAATCATCCCCGCTCGTTAGTGTCACATTGTGTGTGCCCCGTCCTGCTCGTTTTCATGTCAGTGTACCCGCGAACTATATTATCTCCCTTTTCTGATGGTGGTTGCTAGTAAGATACCTCCTTTTCGTCCTCCTCCTTAGTCTCCTTTCAGTGCTGTTGCTGCCCCTGCCGCTGCTGTTGCTACTGCTGCTGCTGCTGCTGCTGCCGGTGCTGCCACTGATGCTGCTGCCGCCGCCGCCGCCGCTGCTGTTCTTGTAGCTTGATTGGCTACTTATCAGCAGCTGAGCTCGAGCCAATCATGGCTGATTCCCGTTCTCCGTGCTGTCCAACTTTACGAATCATACTTCAGACCAACTTCAGGCCTATCCTTCGCACGCAGCACTCCTTCTCCTCTCCCCTCCCCTCTCCCCTCTCTCCTCTTCCGTCTTCCCTCTCCCACCTTCCCCTCCCCGTTCTCCTCTCGCCACCCTTCCCATCTCCCACTCTCCCCCCTTCTCCTCCAGGGATCGGACTCGACATCTGCAGGACGCCCTATCACGTCTCGACACGTGGCTCAACGGTGTGAGCATGAGAAGGCGCGCGGGCAGGGGCGACGGGGCCAACGCCGTTGCTGGCGGTGCTGCCAGCGCTGGTGGCGCTATTGGGGCTGCTGGGACGCCGGGGGATAACAGCCGAAGCAGTGGGAGCGCTGGTGATGGTGGTGGTGCTGTGGGAGTAGGGGCAGGAGGGGTTGCTGCTGGTGGTGGTGGGGGTGGAGGAGGAGGAGGGGGGCGGACAGGTGCGGGGCACTCGAAAGCTGGGGGTGGGGCGAGCCGGCATGCGCGCACATTGGTGCGTTGACTCCCGTTGACCCCGGTTGACCCCGTTGACTCCCGTTGACTCTCGTTGACCCCTTCTAAGCTCATTTCTGTGTCAGCTTTTCATCCGTTCCGACGGTGCGACTTGTTGCCCCTCTTGCTGCCTTATTTTTTCTTCATGCCTCTTTCATTCGTTTCTTGTCAAACACATGCCTTCCAGTATGGGTTTCGTCCAATCTATCCCCTAGTCTCCAATCCACATCACTTGTCCAATTCTGTTTTCTGCTTCTTTGCCCCTCTGTTAATATCCTCTCCTCGCTTCTCTGTTCCTCTCCTCTTTCCCACAACCCTCCGCCGTTGTTTGTTCGTTTTTTCGTTCAGTCAAGTCAACTGAGGATTTTACTCGAACAGTTTTGTCGTCATCCTCCAATGTTTCCTTTCTCTTCTCCCTCCTCCCATCTCTTCGCCCTACCTCCTTTCCATTCCACCAGTCGAACCACGAAAACCCCTCGGATCAAAAGCTCCTCGCAGGAGGAGTAGCAGCAGGAGGAGGAGCAGCAGGGGCAAGCGGACACGAGGGGCAGCAGCAGCACAGGAAAATGAAGGGCAAGCGATCTCGCCCAAAAGCGGATGCTGCAGGGACTGCAGCTGCACCAGGAGGGAATCTGAACGGTGTAGTGACAGATGCTGCTGCTGGTACAGGAGCTGGTAATGCCGGTGCTGCTGGCGCTTCTGCTGCAGCAACCGGCGCGGGAGGAGGGCTAAAACGGTCCCTTTCGAGCTCTTCGCACAAGCCTGGAGGCTCGGCTGCAGGTTCGGGCTCAGGCTCGGTGTTCCGAGCCGGTCCAGTGCATGGGGTGACGTCTGGAAGCAGGGCGGGAGCAGGTGATGGGGGAGGGGGAGGGGCGGGAGGTAGTGAGAACGGACCAAAGGGACATGCGGGCAAGGGGATAGGGCTGCATCAGACAAGGGATGCCAGTGGGAGGTTCGGCACCATGCGAGTGGGAGGGAGTGGCGGGGGAGCAGGGGGAGGGGGAGGTGGGGGAGGCTCTTCTGTTCCTGGAAGCCCGCTTCAAGGGGAAGAGAATGCGCCCAAGAGCAGCGGAGGGGGAGGGGGAGGGGGGGCTGGGATCACTAAAGGGCGAGCAACCCGCGGTCCTAGGACGCTGGGCGGAGGGGATAAGGCAGGCGCGGGCGGAGTGGGAAACGCAGGAGCAGGAGGGGGAGGGGGGGGAGGAGGAGCGGCGGTGAGAAAGGCGGGAGGGGGAGCAGCAGAGAGGAAAGGGGCGTTTGGCGCACGAGCTGCTTCCCCCGCTCATTCTGTGCAGTCCGAGAGGGATGGTGGAGGGGATGGGGCTGGATTGTGGGATCAGCAGCACCAACCGCATTACCAGCAGCAGCAGCAGCAGCAGCATCAGCAGGGGAATCAGTCTGGGCTCCCCCCTACTAGCAGGGGGAGAAAGCCAGGCAAGCTGCATAAAGCAGCAGCAGGAGGTGGAGGAGGAGTTGGCGGAACAGGCGGAGGAGCAGGGGGAGGGTCAGGGGGCATTGGCGCAGCAGCAGCAGGGGGAGGAGGGGGAGGGGGAGCTGGTTTAGGCATGGCTATGTCGCCGCTAGGATCAATGGGAGTGAGTGATGGGGGTGGGGAGGGGGACGAGGAGGGATATGGGGGGGAGGAGATGGATGGGGAAGGGGGAGGGGGTGGGCGGGACGGGGGGGGGCTTTGGCCGACAGAGAGTGGTAGTGTGGGTGGACATTTAGGGGGCGCGGGGGAGAGCTTAGGGGGAGCAGGGGGAGGGGCGGGGGGGGAGACAGGAGGTTTGTCGGAGGTCCAGTCTCGAGGCACGGGATTGGCTAAGGTGCGGAGAAAAGACAAGAAGGGCAAGCTGGGGAGAGTGAGAGAGAAAGCAGAGGGAGGAGGGGGGATAGTGAAGGAGGAAGGGGGAGGCGGAGGAGGGGGAGCAGCGGGAGGGGCGGATGGGGTGAGGAGGCAGGGGAGGACGGGGAGATTAGTGGCTGCTGGCGGGTTGAGATTGAAGAAAGAAGCTGTGTCTAGCGTGGGGAGCGAAGGGGGGGACGATGGGGGTGTGCTGGGCAGTGGCACTGGTGGTGCTGGTGGTGCTGCCTCTGCTGCGGGTGGAGGGGGCAGTGGCGGTGGTGGGAGTGGTGGTGGTGGTGGCGCAGGAGGAGTGGTTGGAGTGGCGAATAATGTGAAGCAGATTCGCACCTCTCGACTGGGATTGGACAAAGGAGAAAGGTGAGACTCTTATCTTATGTTGTCGTGAGGTATCTTGCAGCCAACAGGGTGCAGTGCAGTGCAGAGGCGCATGCATGCGCTTTCCCTCCCTCCCATATATCATCTCATCCCTCCTCTCTCTCACGTACACTCTCCCGTTATTCCTTCTCGCCAATCCCAACCAACCAACCAGGGGCGGTAGGGTAGACAGGCGCAATGCAGGCAACAGGGTGCAGAGGCGCATGCATGCAGACAGCCCAATGGAGGAATCCGGTAAGTTTTACTCTTAGGTGAGGGCGATGCTGATATCTTGTTATTGTTGTCATTGTTTCTGATAATAACCACTTGTATGCTCCCTTGTTCTGCTCCCTTCAGGTGATTCGGACGATGATGCGGAGGAGCTATCGAATGCCATTCAGGCAGCCATGAACACAGGAGGTGAGGCTCCTGGCTATTCAGACTCCTGGCTATTCAGACTCTTGGCTATGCAGACTCTTGGCTATTCAGACTCTTGGCTATTCAGACTCTTGGCTATTCAGACTCTTGGCTATTCAGACTCTTGGCTATTCAGACTCTTGGCTATTCAGACTCTTGGCTATTCAGACTCTTGGCTATTCAGACTCTTGGCTATTCAGACTCTTGGCTATTCAGACTCTTGGCTATTCAGACTCTTGGCTATTCAGACTCTTGGCTATTCAGACTCTTGGCTATTCAGACTCTTGGCTATTCAGACTCTTGGCTATTCAGACTCTTGGCTATTCAGACTCTTGGCTATTCAGACTCTTGGCTATTCAGACTCTTGGCTATTCAGGCTTGTGAGGCTCTTTCCGAGGCTATTCGCTTGGCAAATCACCTGGCCTGGCGTCTGGTGCATGTATGCGTGCATGTCACACATGCTTACCACACCACATGCTCACACATGCGTGCATGTCACACATGCTTACCACACCAGACCATTCTTTAAGCCTTTAGTGTAGAGCTGAGCTGACTCTTGAGGCGCCTCAGAAGAGTCGCGTGAGTACCACACCAGTCTTTAGGGCCATTTTTCAGTGCTGCTGAATCGTTTCCGAGCTGCAGCTGCCGTGCAGCCCATTCATTCCCCATGAATGAAAAATACAGCACTCACTGGCTGCCTCGTCGATACCCTCCTTCTCCTCCCCTTCCCCCTCAATTTTTCCCAACTTATGCTGCTGCTTCTAGTCAAACAACTGCAACACCGCTGACTCATCACCCTCCTCCCTCCCCCCTTCAGCGCTCCCCACGCCTGCAGCTGCAGCAGCATCCAGCCCCTTCTAAAAGGCCGTGGAGCCATTCTTCCCCGTCCCTCGAATGAATATGACGACACAACTTAGCTTAGCCTCATCACCCATTTCCAAACTACCCTGCCCACCACCCTCGTCCCTGTTTCTGCAGCTGCAGCAGCGTCCAGCCCCTTCTGGAAGGCCGTGGAACCATTCTTCCACTTCCCTTATGTGGAATACAGCAATGCTAACTCACCCTCCTCCCTTACCCCCCCCCCCCCCCCCCCATCCTTGCCGTGCCTGCACAGCTGCAGCGGCGTCCAGCCCCTTCTGGAAGGCTGTGGAGCCATGCTTCCACCGCTGAGACTTACCATTTCTTGCCCAACTTCCCTCCCTTCCCACCACCACCCTCTTCCCCACACGTGCTGCAGCTGCAGCAGCGTCCAGCCCGTTCTGGAAGGCAGTGGAGCCATTCTTCCACTTCCCTGCTCCAGAGGACCTCGCGAGACTGAGGCAGATGGTGAGTGAATTGATGAACTCAGAGCTTGATGAAGGTTCGATAGGGGTTTCTCCCTTCGAGCCCCATTTGGAGGCCATTGTTCAATACGTGGCAGCAATTTACTTGTGTATGACACCAGGGTAGGTGAAAATGTGTTTACGTAGGGAACGCTTGTGTAAAGGGTGATGGTCCGGTTTCGGCGCTAGACGCCTTCTTCAGACCACAAGCAAGTCTACGTGGAAAGGCACTACTTATAGGCCTAGAAAGTGTCACCTCGCGAGACTGAGGCAGATGGTGAGTGAATTGATGAACTCAGAGCTTGATGAAGGTTCGATAGGGGTTTCTCCCTTCGCTACTGCTGCTCCCTGAGAATTATGTCTGAAGATCGCGAGACTGAGGCAGATGGTGAGTGAATTGATGAACTCAGAGCTTGATGAAGGTTCGATAGGGGTTTCTCCCTTCGCTACTGCTGCTCCCTGAGAATTATGTCTGAAGATCGCGAGACTGAGGCAGATGGTGAGTGAATTGATGAACTCAGAGCTTGATGAAGGTTCGATAGGGGTTTCTCCCTTCGCTACTGCTGCTCCCTGAGAATTATGTCTGAAGATCGCGAGACTGAGGCAGATGGTGAGTGAATTGATGAACTCAGAGCTTGATGAAGGTTCGATAGGGGTTTCTCCCTTCGCTACTGCTGCTCCCTGAGAATTATGTCTGAAGATCGCGAGACTGAGGCAGATGGTGAGTGAATTGATGAACTCAGAGCTTGATGAAGGTTCGATAGGGGTTTCTCCCTTCGCTACTGCTGCTCCCTGAGAATTATGTCTGAAGATCGCGAGACTGAGGCAGATGGTGAGTGAATTGATGAACTCAGAGCTTGATGAAGGTTCGATAGGGGTTTCTCCCTTCGCTACTGCTGCTCCCTGAGAATTATGTCTGAAGATCGCGAGACTGAGGCAGATGGTGAGTGAATTGATGAACTCAGAGCTTGATGAAGGTTCGATAGGGGTTTCTCCCTTCGCTACTGCTGCTCCCTGAGAATTATGTCTGAAGATCGCGAGACTGAGGCAGATGGTGAGTGAATTGATGAACTCAGAGCTTGATGAAGGTTCGATAGGGGTTTCTCCCTTCGCTACTGCTGCTCCCTGAGAATTATGTCTGAAGATCGCGAGACTGAGGCAGATGGTGAGTGAATTGATGAACTCAGAGCTTGATGAAGGTTCGATAGGGGTTTCTCCCTTCGCTACTGCTGCTCCCTGAGAATTATGTCTGAAGATCGCGAGACTGAGGCAGATGGTGAGTGAATTGATGAACTCAGAGCTTGATGAAGGTTCGATAGGGGTTTCTCCCTTCGCTACTGCTGCTCCCTGAGAATTATGTCTGAAGATCGCGAGACTGAGGCAGATGGTGAGTGAATTGATGAACTCAGAGCTTGATGAAGGTTCGATAGGGGTTTCTCCCTTCGCTACTGCTGCTCCCTGAGAATTATGTCTGAAGATCGCGAGACTGAGGCAGATGGTGAGTGAATTGATGAACTCAGAGCTTGATGAAGGTTCGATAGGGGTTTCTCCCTTCGCTACTGCTGCTCCCTGAGAATTATGTCTGAAGATCGCGAGACTGAGGCAGATGGTGAGTGAATTGATGAACTCAGAGCTTGATGAAGGTTCGATAGGGGTTTCTCCCTTCGCTACTGCTGCTCCCTGAGAATTATGTCTGAAGATCGCGAGACTGAGGCAGATGGTGAGTGAATTGATGAACTCAGAGCTTGATGAAGGTTCGATAGGGGTTTCTCCCTTCGCTACTGCTGCTCCCTGAGAATTATGTCTGAAGATCGCGAGACTGAGGCAGATGGTGAGTGAATTGATGAACTCAGAGCTTGATGAAGGTTCGATAGGGGTTTCTCCCTTCGCTACTGCTGCTCCCTGAGAATTATGTCTGAAGATCGCGAGACTGAGGCAGATGGTGAGTGAATTGATGAACTCAGAGCTTGATGAAGGTTCGATAGGGGTTTCTCCCTTCGCTACTGCTGCTCCCTGAGAATTATGTCTGAAGATCGCGAGACTGAGGCAGATGGTGAGTGAATTGATGAACTCAGAGCTTGATGAAGGTTCGATAGGGGTTTCTCCCTTCGCTACTGCTGCTCCCTGAGAATTATGTCTGAAGATCGCGAGACTGAGGCAGATGGTGAGTGAATTGATGAACTCAGAGCTTGATGAAGGTTCGATAGGGGTTTCTCCCTTCGCTACTGCTGCTCCCTGAGAATTATGTCTGAAGATCGCGAGACTGAGGCAGATGGTGAGTGAATTGATGAACTCAGAGCTTGATGAAGGTTCGATAGGGGTTTCTCCCTTCGCTACTGCTGCTCCCTGAGAATTATGTCTGAAGATCGCGAGACTGAGGCAGATGGTGAGTGAATTGATGAACTCAGAGCTTGATGAAGGTTCGATAGGGGTTTCTCCCTTCGCTACTGCTGCTCCCTGAGAATTATGTCTGAAGATCGCGAGACTGAGGCAGATGGTGAGTGAATTGATGAACTCAGAGCTTGATGAAGGTTCGATAGGGGTTTCTCCCTTCGCTACTGCTGCTCCCTGAGAATTATGTCTGAAGATCGCGAGACTGAGGCAGATGGTGAGTGAATTGATGAACTCAGAGCTTGATGAAGGTTCGATAGGGGTTTCTCCCTTCGCTACTGCTGCTCCCTGAGAATTATGTCTGAAGATCGCGAGACTGAGGCAGATGGTGAGTGAATTGATGAACTCAGAGCTTGATGAAGGTTCGATAGGGGTTTCTCCCTTCGCTACTGCTGCTCCCTGAGAATTATGTCTGAAGATCGCGAGACTGAGGCAGATGGTGAGTGAATTGATGAACTCAGAGCTTGATGAAGGTTCGATAGGGGTTTCTCCCTTCGCTACTGCTGCTCCCTGAGAATTATGTCTGAAGATCGCGAGACTGAGGCAGATGGTGAGTGAATTGATGAACTCAGAGCTTGATGAAGGTTCGATAGGGGTTTCTCCCTTCGCTACTGCTGCTCCCTGAGAATTATGTCTGAAGATCGCGAGACTGAGGCAGATGGTGAGTGAATTGATGAACTCAGAGCTTGATGAAGGTTCGATAGGGGTTTCTCCCTTCGCTACTGCTGCTCCCTGAGAATTATGTCTGAAGATCGCGAGACTGAGGCAGATGGTGAGTGAATTGATGAACTCAGAGCTTGATGAAGGTTCGATAGGGGTTTCTCCCTTCGCTACTGCTGCTCCCTGAGAATTATGTCTGAAGATCGCGAGACTGAGGCAGATGGTGAGTGAATTGATGAACTCAGAGCTTGATGAAGGTTCGATAGGGGTTTCTCCCTTCGCTACTGCTGCTCCCTGAGAATTATGTCTGAAGATCGCGAGACTGAGGCAGATGGTGAGTGAATTGATGAACTCAGAGCTTGATGAAGGTTCGATAGGGGTTTCTCCCTTCGCTACTGCTGCTCCCTGAGAATTATGTCTGAAGATCGCGAGACTGAGGCAGATGGTGAGTGAATTGATGAACTCAGAGCTTGATGAAGGTTCGATAGGGGTTTCTCCCTTCGCTACTGCTGCTCCCTGAGAATTATGTCTGAAGATCGCGAGACTGAGGCAGATGGTGAGTGAATTGATGAACTCAGAGCTTGATGAAGGTTCGATAGGGGTTTCTCCCTTCGCTACTGCTGCTCCCTGAGAATTATGTCTGAAGATCGCGAGACTGAGGCAGATGGTGAGTGAATTGATGAACTCAGAGCTTGATGAAGGTTCGATAGGGGTTTCTCCCTTCGCTACTGCTGCTCCCTGAGAATTATGTCTGAAGATCGCGAGACTGAGGCAGATGGTGAGTGAATTGATGAACTCAGAGCTTGATGAAGGTTCGATAGGGGTTTCTCCCTTCGCTACTGCTGCTCCCTGAGAATTATGTCTGAAGATCGCGAGACTGAGGCAGATGGTGAGTGAATTGATGAACTCAGAGCTTGATGAAGGTTCGATAGGGGTTTCTCCCTTCGCTACTGCTGCTCCCTGAGAATTATGTCTGAAGATCGCGAGACTGAGGCAGATGGTGAGTGAATTGATGAACTCAGAGCTTGATGAAGGTTCGATAGGGGTTTCTCCCTTCGCTACTGCTGCTCCCTGAGAATTATGTCTGAAGATCGCGAGACTGAGGCAGATGGTGAGTGAATTGATGAACTCAGAGCTTGATGAAGGTTCGATAGGGGTTTCTCCCTTCGCTACTGCTGCTCCCTGAGAATTATGTCTGAAGATCGCGAGACTGAGGCAGATGGTGAGTGAATTGATGAACTCAGAGCTTGATGAAGGTTCGATAGGGGTTTCTCCCTTCGCTACTGCTGCTCCCTGAGAATTATGTCTGAAGATCGCGAGACTGAGGCAGATGGTGAGTGAATTGATGAACTCAGAGCTTGATGAAGGTTCGATAGGGGTTTCTCCCTTCGCTACTGCTGCTCCCTGAGAATTATGTCTGAAGATCGCGAGACTGAGGCAGATGGTGAGTGAATTGATGAACTCAGAGCTTGATGAAGGTTCGATAGGGGTTTCTCCCTTCGCTACTGCTGCTCCCTGAGAATTATGTCTGAAGATCGCGAGACTGAGGCAGATGGTGAGTGAATTGATGAACTCAGAGCTTGATGAAGGTTCGATAGGGGTTTCTCCCTTCGCTACTGCTGCTCCCTGAGAATTATGTCTGAAGATCGCGAGACTGAGGCAGATGGTGAGTGAATTGATGAACTCAGAGCTTGATGAAGGTTCGATAGGGGTTTCTCCCTTCGCTACTGCTGCTCCCTGAGAATTATGTCTGAAGATCGCGAGACTGAGGCAGATGGTGAGTGAATTGATGAACTCAGAGCTTGATGAAGGTTCGATAGGGGTTTCTCCCTTCGCTACTGCTGCTCCCTGAGAATTATGTCTGAAGATCGCGAGACTGAGGCAGATGGTGAGTGAATTGATGAACTCAGAGCTTGATGAAGGTTCGATAGGGGTTTCTCCCTTCGCTACTGCTGCTCCCTGAGAATTATGTCTGAAGATCGCGAGACTGAGGCAGATGGTGAGTGAATTGATGAACTCAGAGCTTGATGAAGGTTCGATAGGGGTTTCTCCCTTCGCTACTGCTGCTCCCTGAGAATTATGTCTGAAGATCGCGAGACTGAGGCAGATGGTGAGTGAATTGATGAACTCAGAGCTTGATGAAGGTTCGATAGGGGTTTCTCCCTTCGCTACTGCTGCTCCCTGAGAATTATGTCTGAAGATCGCGAGACTGAGGCAGATGGTGAGTGAATTGATGAACTCAGAGCTTGATGAAGGTTCGATAGGGGTTTCTCCCTTCGCTACTGCTGCTCCCTGAGAATTATGTCTGAAGATCGCGAGACTGAGGCAGATGGTGAGTGAATTGATGAACTCAGAGCTTGATGAAGGTTCGATAGGGGTTTCTCCCTTCGCTACTGCTGCTCCCTGAGAATTATGTCTGAAGATCGCGAGACTGAGGCAGATGGTGAGTGAATTGATGAACTCAGAGCTTGATGAAGGTTCGATAGGGGTTTCTCCCTTCGCTACTGCTGCTCCCTGAGAATTATGTCTGAAGATCGCGAGACTGAGGCAGATGGTGAGTGAATTGATGAACTCAGAGCTTGATGAAGGTTCGATAGGGGTTTCTCCCTTCGCTACTGCTGCTCCCTGAGAATTATGTCTGAAGATCGCGAGACTGAGGCAGATGGTGAGTGAATTGATGAACTCAGAGCTTGATGAAGGTTCGATAGGGGTTTCTCCCTTCGCTACTGCTGCTCCCTGAGAATTATGTCTGAAGATCGCGAGACTGAGGCAGATGGTGAGTGAATTGATGAACTCAGAGCTTGATGAAGGTTCGATAGGGGTTTCTCCCTTCGCTACTGCTGCTCCCTGAGAATTATGTCTGAAGATCGCGAGACTGAGGCAGATGGTGAGTGAATTGATGAACTCAGAGCTTGATGAAGGTTCGATAGGGGTTTCTCCCTTCGCTACTGCTGCTCCCTGAGAATTATGTCTGAAGATCGCGAGACTGAGGCAGATGGTGAGTGAATTGATGAACTCAGAGCTTGATGAAGGTTTCTCTAGGTGAACATGATGACTCAAAACTCCTGAGTTATGTCGGAATCTCATTGACGGGCACAGAGATCCCACCACCGGCATCCCAGCACTTGCGATTCCACTCTCATCATTCATTCCTCTCAACCCCTTTCCCGCTCCATCCCATTTTTTTTGCAGTCTGGAGCAACAGAGGGAGCAGCAGGCGCAAGAGCAGATGGGCTCACAGATCCCACCACCGGCATCTCAGCCGGTGACGCTGGTAACGGCAACGGCCACAGCAGCGGGAATGGGAACGGGAACGTGGTGGGGTTTTTTATGGGAGGCTCAGAGTCTCACCCCTCAGGCAGCGCACTGCATGCTTTCCCGTCTCTCATGGCTGTAACACCTGCTGGTGGTAACCGCTCGCCCGCAGGCGGGATAGATGGGGCGGGAGGAGGTTTGGATGGTTCGGGAGGGGGTGGAAGGGAGTGGGGAGGAGTGGTTGGAGAGTCGATGGTGAATCGGCTGCTGTCTGCGTTGATTGATTGCCCCAGGCAGGGTGGGGGGAAGGAGGGTGGGATTGACGGAAGAGAGTGTAAGGATGAGGAAGAGGAGGACGAGGAGGACGAGGAGGACGAGGAGGAGGAGGAGCAAGGGGAGGAAAAGGAGGGGGACGGTGAAAGGAGAGAGGAAGGGGAAAGAGGAAGTGTGAAGGATGAAGTAGGGGAGGAGGAGGGGTTTTTGAGGGGTATTTTGGAGAATGGGAATGAGGGGGGTGGAGGGGCAGCAGCAGGGGGGAAGAGGGAGAAGAACAGAGGAGTGGGGAAAGGAGGGGAGGAGGTAGAGTGGGTTTTACCTGCAGAAGGGGAGGTGCTATCTGATGCAGCTCTTTCTGGGAACCTGCTTCGGGGCCCTTCGTTACTGTCACACCCTTGGGGGCAGGTCGATTTCGGGCAGATTAAAAACAGCCAATTGAACAGTTGGCAACCGAACAGTGGGCAGATTTGGGGGCAGATGGAAGGGGGGAGAGGGGCGGGGGGAGGGTTGTTGGGAGGGGGAGCTGGAGACAGGGGGAGTGGGTTAGGGGGGCCGCTGAGTGCAGAGGAGTGGAGAGGGATGGGGCTGGAAGCAAGGATGCGGCTGGAGCTGGCCCATGTGGGGCTGCTGCGCGTGCATGGGGTGAGTGAGGGTGCATGGGACATGAAGGGTTGCATGTGTTACAGAGGTATCCTACCTCACCTCATCCCCATCCTCATCCCCATCCCCATGGGGCTGGAAGCAAGGGTGCGGCTGGAGCTGGCCCATGTGGGGCTGCTGCGCGTGCATGGGGTAAGAAGGGTGGATGCATGGGGTGAGTAAGGCAGAGCGCATGTGCTGTAGGGATCCCACTTCGCCCTGTGAGACGTTTGAAAAGTGTTGAGACGTCTCATAAGAAGGGTGGATGCATGGGGTAAGAAGGGTGGATGCATGGGGTAAGAAGGGTGGATGCATGGGGTAAGAAGGGTGGATGCATGGGGTAAGAAGGGTGGATGCATGGGGTAAGAAGGGTGGATGCATGGGGTAAGAAGGGTGGATGCATGGGGTAAGAAGGGTGGATGCATGGGGTAAGAAGGGTGGATGCATGGGGTAAGAAGGGTGGATGCATGGGGTAAGAAGGGTGGATGCATGGGGTAAGAAGGGTGAATGCATGGGGTAAGAAGGGTGGATGCATGGGGTGAGTAAGGCACAGTGCATGTGCTGTAGGGATCCCACTTCGCCCTGTTTCCAGCCTCATCCCCATGGGGCTGGAAGCAAGGGTGCGCCTGGAGATGGCTCATGTGGGACTGCTGCGCGTCAATGGGGTGAGTGAGGGTGCATGGGACATGAAGGGTTGCATGTGTTACAGAGGTATCCTACCTCACCTCATCCCCATCCTCATCCCCATCCCCATGGGGCTGGAAGCAAGGGTGCGGCTGGAGCTGGCCCATGTGGGGCTGCTGCGCGTGCATGGGGTAAGAAGGGTGGATGCATGGGGTGAGTAAGGCAGAGCGCATGTGCTGTAGGGATCCCACTTCGCCCTGTGAGACGTTTGAAAAGTGTTGAGACGTCTCATAAGAAGGGTGGATGCATGGGGTAAGAAGGGTGGATGCATGGGGTAAGAAGGGTGGATGCATGGGGTAAGAAGGGTGGATGCATGGGGTAAGAAGGGTGGATGCATGGGGTAAGAAGGGTGGATGCATGGGGTAAGAAGGGTGGATGCATGGGGTAAGAAGGGTGGATGCATGGGGTAAGAAGGGTGGATGCATGGGGTAAGAAGGGTGGATGCATGGGGTAAGAAGGGTGGATGCATGGGGTAAGAAGGGTGAATGCATGGGGTAAGAAGGGTGGATGCATGGGGTGAGTAAGGCACAGTGCATGTGCTGTAGGGATCCCACTTCGCCCTGTTTCCAGCCTCATCCCCATGGGGCTGGAAGCAAGGGTGCGCCTGGAGATGGCTCATGTGGGACTGCTGCGCGTCAATGGGGTGAGTGAGGGTGCATGGGACATGAAGGGTTGCATGTGTTACAGAGGTATCCTACCTCACCTCATCCCCATCCTCATCCCCATCCCCATGGGGCTGGAAGCAAGGGTGCGGCTGGAGCTGGCCCATGTGGGGCTGCTGCGCGTGCATGGGGTAAGAAGGGTGGATGCATGGGGTGAGTAAGGCAGAGCGCATGTGCTGTAGGGATCCCACTTCGCCCTGTGAGACGTTTGAAAAGTGTTGAGACGTCTCATAAGAAGGGTGGATGCATGGGGTAAGAAGGGTGGATGCATGGGGTAAGAAGGGTGGATGCATGGGGTAAGAAGGGTGGATGCATGGGGTAAGAAGGGTGGATGCATGGGGTAAGAAGGGTGGATGCATGGGGTAAGAAGGGTGGATGCATGGGGTAAGAAGGGTGGATGCATGGGGTAAGAAGGGTGGATGCATGGGGTAAGAAGGGTGAATGCATGGGGTAAGAAGGGTGGATGCATGGGGTGAGTAAGGCACAGTGCATGTGCTGTAGGGATCCCACTTCGCCCTGTTTCCAGCCTCATCCCCATGGGGCTGGAAGCAAGGGTGCGCCTGGAGATGGCTCATGTGGGACTGCTGCGCGTCAATGGGGTGAGTGAGGGTCCCTATCCCCATCCCCACCCCCATCCCCGTCCCCATCCCCATCCCCACCCCCATCCCCGTCCCCATCCCCATCCCCACCCCCATCCCCGTCCCCATCCCCATCCCCATCCCCATCCCCATCCCCATCCCCATCCCCATCCCCGTCCCCGTCCCCATCCCCATTTCCATCCCCATCCCCATCCCCATCCCCATCCCCATCCCCATCCCCTTCCCCCTTCCCCCTTCCCATACCCACCCTCCCATACCCACCTTCCCCTCCCTACTACCAGCTGCAGGAGTCGCAGCGGCAGGACGACGAAATCAGCGCCAGCCTCCGCATGTCCCACAGGCGACTGCAGGCCAAGGTGAGAGCGACGTGGGCGCATGCAAGCCGTGGTGAGAGAGAGAGAGAGAGTCAAAGTGAGTCAATGCGATGCCATGAGGGAAGCACCCTCCTTCGCACGTCCCACAGGCGACTGCAGGCCGAGGTGAGAGTGACACGGGCGCATGCAAGCCGTGGGGAGAGAGAGAGGGAGCGGAGTTGAAAGTGAGAGTCAATGTGAGTCAAGGTGAGTCAAGGTGAGTCAAGGTGAGTCAAGGTGAGTCACTGCGAGTCACTGTGAATCAAGGTGAGTCACTGTAAGTCACTGTGAGTCAATGTGAGTCAAGGTGAGTCACTGTGAGTCACTGTGAGTCAATGTGAGTCAAGGTGAGTCACTGTGAGTCACTGTGAGTCAAGGTGAGTCAAGGTGAGTCACTGTGAGTCACTGTGAGTCAAGGTGAGTCAAGGTGAGTCAAGGTGAGTCAAGGTGAGTCAAGGCAATCTGGATACAGAAATGGATTGTTCTTCTTACATCTCCTCTCCTCCTCTCCCCTGCTTGCTGCTGCCCCAATCATAGCACAAACAACCAGCGCAAGGCGTCGTACTTGATAAAATCCTCTCATCTGTCTCTCCAACCTCTCTTCCTCCCTCCTCCCTCGATCCCCAGGCGCAGTACAACCAGCACAAGGCAGCGTACTTGGAGGAGGTGGTGGCATCAAGACGACTGGAGGCATACCTGTTTCCCTGGCTCACAGCGTGTGTCTGGCTCACTGCTTTATCCCTTCCCCTCATGCTCTGCTCCTTTCCCAACTTCCCTCGATCCCCAGGAGCAGCACAACCAGCACAAGGCAGCGTATTTGGAGGAGGTGGTGGCATCAAGACGACTGGAGGAAGAAAGGTGGGTGAAGGGTGAAGAGAGGGAGGGTCTTCTGTGGGTGGGGCCATTCAGACGATGTTCAAATTGAGGTGACTTTTGAGTCGACTCAAAGGTCTTTTGAGTCGATTCAAGGGTCTTCTGTGGGTGGGACAGTTTAGACGATGTTCAAATTGAGGTGACTTTTGAGTCGACTCAAAGGTCTTTTGAGTCGATTCAAGGGTCTTCTGTGGGTGGGACAGTTTAGACGATGTTCAAATTGAGGTGACTTTTGAGTCGACTCAAAGGTCTTTTGAGTCGATTCAAGGGTCTTCTGTGGGTGGGACAGTTTAGACGATGTTCAAATTGAGGTGACTTTTGAGTCGACTCAAAGGTCTTTTGAGTCGATTCAAGGGTCTTCTGTGGGTGGGGCCATTCAGACGATGTTCAAATTGAGGTGACTTTTGAGTCGACTCAAAGGTCTTTTGAGTCGATTCAAGGGTCTTCTGTGGGTGGGGCCATTCAGACGATGTTCAAATTGAGGTGACTTTTGAGTCGACTCAAAGGTCTTTTGAGTCGATTCAAGGGTCTTCTGTGGGTGGGACAATTTAGACGATGTTCAAATTGATTGGCAATGCTGCCACACAGCATCAGCAGCATCAGCAGGCTGTGAGAAGCTGATGATGGTGTTTCAAATTAATATTTTTTTTTTCAGTGAAAGCTTGTACAAAAGGGATGTACAAGCAAAACACTCAGTTGTAACTGACTGATGATGGCTTTTGACAATCCTCAAAAGTTGCAAGGAGCTGTTGTGAAAGCACTTTCTGGCTGGCTTCTTGTGGGATGATGCCTGCCAGAAAGCAAGGATCAAGCTCCTGGTTCTATCCCTGCTCATTCTTCTTACCTGATTCGCCACCCAACTGATTCGGCTTTGTGCTGTGCTGTGCTGTGCGGTGCGGTGCTGTGCTGTGCTGGCAGGAGCTGCGAGAAGCTGGTGGTGGATAGGCTCTTGGAAATGGCCTATGCCAGAAGAACGGTACGTTCACCACACCACACCACACCCCACCACACCACACCGCACCGCACCACAGCGCACCGCACTGCACCACAGCACCACATCACATCACACCACACCACTTTCCCCGACCCCCCCTTCCACCACTCAACTCCTCTCTCTTTCTCTCCTCAGCTCCCCCACACTCCCTCCCCCCCGTTTCTCCTCCCCCATCACGTTGAAGATGGCAGGGAGGGGCGGCAGATGCAATGGAATCACCAAGGGGTCTGGCTCGTGACACAATCTCTCCCTTCCCCCCTTACCCGCTCTTCTCTTCCTCTCTTCCCACCCCCCCTCGCCAGTGCCTGAAAGTGGCAGGGGCGGCAGGCACAATCACCAGGGGGGCTGGCTCATCCTTCAAGCTTCAACTCATACAATCCCCTTCTCTCCCTCCTCTCACTTGCTCTCTTCTCCCCCCTTTTTCAGGGTCTCAAGATGGCAGGGGCGGCGGGCACCATCACCAAGGGGGTGGGTTCGTCTCTCAAGCTCGCCCGCCAGTCTGCCGTCCACTTTGTTAAACCACTCCTGCTTCCCCCCCCTGCTCCCCAGGGACTCAAGATGGCGGGAGCGGCGGGTACTATCACCAAGGGGGCGGGCTCCTCTCTCAAGCTCGCTCCTCACTTTCAGCTCTTACCCCGCCCTCCACTCCCCCTGCTCCCCAGGGTCTCAAGATGGCAGGAGCAGCAGGCACCATCACCAAGGGGGCGGGCTCCTCCCTCAAGCTCGCGCGCCAGTCTGCCGTCCACTTTGTGCGCCACGCCCTGCAGCGCGCCGACCAATGGCATGCTGGCACGCTGCTGCCGCACCTGCAGCGCGTGCACCCGGACCTGCAGCCCTCGCCGAGCCTGCTCTCCGAGCCGAGCCTGCTGCCGTGGACGCCCGGGCCTGGCGGTGTGGGTACACCTGGGTTGGGAGGGGTGGGGAGGAGTTCTGGTGTGGTGACCACACCTGGGGGCACACCAAATGCCCCTGCTGGTGCTACTGGTGCTGCTACTAGTGCTGCTGGCGCTGCTGGTGGTGCTGGTGCAGGTGGTTTGGACGGTTCTGGTGCAGGTTTATCTGGAGCAGGTGCCTCTGCCCCTAGCCTCCTCGCCCTGTTCAACCGGCAGAGACTCGCTCTCTTCCCCCCGTCCCCACCCCGCCCTTCCATCCCCCTCTCCTTCGCTCCCACCGCCACCACCACTGCAGCAGCTGCTGCTGGTGGTTGTAATGAGAACATACCGGGAGGGGAATCACCAGCACTTCAAATCGCTGGGTTGAGCCCCCTGCGAGCTGGTGGTGGTGAAGAGGATGGTGCAGGAGGAGCAGCAGGAGGTGTGCCAGAGGCGGAGACAGACAGCCTGGTGGCATCCATGCTCATTGCTGGTTCGCCGTGTGACAGCTTCAGGGAAGGTGCGTTGCTAATCCTCCGTGGAGGTGTGCTCTGACTGAGTTGACTCACATTGATGCTCATTGCTGGTCTCTGGGAAGATGAGTAGTGAATTGCAATGAGTTGTAAGTCAAGATGAGTTGTGTCTTGTGTTAAGACTCACATGACATGACACACGGATGCAAGTCATGCGAGAGAGGCCGATGCGGACAGCCTGCTGGCATTTAAGCTAAGCTCATTGCTTTGCTGGGTCGCCCTGTGACAGCTTAAGTGAAGGTGCATGGGGGATATATCTTGAGTTTAACTTGTGAGTCTCGGTAACTCCTGAACCGAGGTCAACTCGCAAGTCAGCAGGAGAGGCAGAGGGGGACATTCTGGTAGCGTCAATGCTTATTGCTGGGTCGCCGTGTGGCAACCTGAGAGAAGGTGCGTGGCAGAGTGACTCTTGGATTTACTGAAAAGAGGTGAGTTGCGAGTCGAGGTGCCTTTTGGTTTGGATTAAGGTGACTTTCGCGTCGAATCGCACATCACTGTGAGAGGCAGATGCAGACAGGCCCCCTCTCCAAGCCATCCCTCCTCCTCTCTCACTCTCCTCTCCTCCCCTTCCAGTCCCCACATGCTCCCCCTCTCTCACTCTCCCTTTCCTCTCTCCATTTATTCCCCGACCCCCCCTCCTCTCCCCTTGGCGGCTCTTTTCCACAAGATTTGCTGCAAATCATACTCTCACACCCTCTTCCACTTTTCCTCCCACTGATCCCCACCCAGAACCGCATTCCCGCACAAATTTGCGGCGAAGCGAGAGCAGGGGCGAGCGCATGGGCGCAATGGCAGGAGCAGGAGGGGAGGCTTTGGAGGGGTCGTTCAGACACAAGGAGAGGACAGCTCGACTGGAGGATGTATTTGGTGCTGGTGCTGGTAGTCCGAGTGATGCTGCTGCCGCTGGTGGTGGTGCTAGAGTTGCAGCAGGCATGGCAGCAGCAGGAGGAGGAGCAGGAGCGTCTAGAGGAGGGCTTTCAGCAGCAGGAGCAGCAGGAGCAGCAGGGGGCGGGGTTAGTGGGGGCCCGGTGCCTGTACTCCCAGGGAACATCAAGCGGAAAAGAACAGACAGGGACAATTTGGATTTCACCAAAGGGGTTTCCCCTGCCCGACGCACAGGCGAGGCGGGGACAGCAGGGGCCACCCCTACTGGTGCCCGGTCGAGCCTTGCTGGGGGAGGGGAGGGAGGGGGAGGGGGAGGGGGAGGGGAGAGGAAGAAGGGGCGGTCGCGGCAGCACCGGGTGGGGGGAGGGCAGAGAGGGGCTGGGGCGCAGGCAGGAACCCCCCCTGTGGCTACCCCGCCGGGTCATGATTCAGGGGCACTTGATCAATCTGCTGCTGCTGCTGCTGCTGCTTCTGGGTGGGAAGGGGCAGGAGATTTTGACTCGAAGCCTCCTGGGTCTTCCCCGGGGGATTTTTTCGCGCCTGGGTCGAGCCTCAGCCATGGTATTCCCCTGGGGAAACGGTCGAGAGGCTCGGGGGTTGGTCCGGGAAAGTCGGGCAAGAGGAAAGCCTCGGCGGATGAGTTCCCGGACCTGGATCCAAGCCGGAACACCATGCCCACGACGCCGCAGCCGGAGCTGGAGCAGGTGGTGGAGCTGGAGAACCTGGCGGCAGGTTCGGTGTTTGGTTCGGCGATGCCGGAGCTGGGAGTGCAAGGGGAGGACTTTGGTGGATGGCTGGCGGGATTGCCGAACGATGATCTGCTAATGGGGGAAGATCTTGGGGGCCTTGATGGGCTTGCGGTCCCAACGGATAATCTGGCCGATCTTGGGTTCTAATCCTGTTTCGCGACAGGGGGCTGAGTACTACGTCTAGATGGGCTATAGAAATCTAGCTAGATGCAGGTCGATGGGTGTGGGACCGTGGGTTGGTAATGTATTGGAACAGATTGTATGGGTAACAAACTGCCGGGCTTTGTTGGTTCTTGGTGATTGGGAGATAGTTTGAGCAATGAGTTGCTGTTTGGTTTACGGTATTAATGAAAGTGGTGTGCGTTTCCAGCTCAATGATGAAGAATGCGTTATAGGTCGGAACTGCACGAATGTGAATGTGCTTTGATACAACGGCTAGTTGAGATTGTTGGGGAGGTTTGGGTACCGGAGCGGCTCGATTGTCGAAGGGTAAAACCGTGAATGTCTAGGTTCGGCGGATTTGGCCTGGATGTCTACGAAGGACCTGTTCTCGAATTACGACATCTTCCGTGCGACGCCCGGGTCTTGTATCGAACTCTAAACGCTTTGACACTCTGAGACCCAGCCTCTCCTGCAAATCAGCAACAGATCGTGAACTGTCTCAAAGGTTCGGAGTACCAAATACCGCTTTCTGCCAAAACCATGCGAATGATCCCACTTTTGGGGAGATCAAAGCTCCTCTTCAGCCTCGCGCACGGAGACTTGTTGGCTGCTGTATCTAGGCCATGGAGACTCGTCCATTTCAAGTAAACCAACGCTCAGATTGAAGCCCGAGATTCTAGGCTCTCTCAGTTTGTCGAACCAGAGATGTCATATGTGAAGCTAGGAAGTACTGGAGGCGATAAGCACGTCCCTTCTTTGTAGGCACCTCGAGTTATCCTACACGGCTAATCGAACATGCACAGGCATGCGCCGTGATTAGTCAGTCAAATACATTAGTTTATCTGCGGTTTTCTTCCTTAAGTTACATCGGGGCGTGAGTCGCCTCGTATTTATCGGCTTCAGAGTGATCTCCATCCCGTCTCCTTGAATGTTTTCCGCTCGTTCCTCTGCTCTCTCCCGCCTGCTGCGCTGCTCCGCCTGCTTCGCAACTGCGCGCGCCTGTCTCCCCGCGTCCACTTGGCGTGCAGCCTGGCGGGCACCGTCAGCCGCCATCCTTCCCCCCTGCCCGTGCGCTCTCCCCCCCGTCATGCCCTCCTGTCCGTGCGCCGTTCAACCAGCTGCGCTTCCACGCGCGATCACCGGCGGAGGGGGAGTTTCCGCCGGCTGGCCGCTCCGCACAACATCTGCGCTCCGCGGAGCGGCTGCGCCTAGTCGATCCAATAGGCTCTACTCCATAGTCGGCGGAGTGATTAATTGCAGCGGCAAGTGTCATACCAAGTCGCCGAGCGCGCGGATCTGGGGCGATCGAGGCGCGAGGAGATTAACTACCATGTCGATCGCTCGCATAGCTTTCCCGTGCGCAAGTCACGGCGGCACGACACTTTCGGGATGCGGGAACGTGCCAGTAGGAAATGCGTCACCCGGAGGGCCAATAGGAAATCGGTCGTCTGAGCGCACAGGTTTTATTGTCGGCGGCGGAAAAAACCGCGGTAAAGGGGGCGGGAGGGCCGCTATGATCGCATGCTGGCACCAGGCTCCGCGGCGCGGGCTCCACGCGTCACGACATATTGTAGCCCGCCCATTCTCGGCGACGCGCTGTGTGACGACAGGGTGTGCGACGAGTAGTACGACTCGTCGCATGTCGCTCGGATCGTCGGCGGCAGGCGCTCCGTTCGGATCAACGGCGAGAAGTATGTCGTTCGGATCGTCCAGTCTGCTGCGCGGCGATTCGTCGCGCGACGCGCTGACGTATCACCGGCCGCCGCGAGGAGGAGTGCGAAAAGAGGTAAGATGTTACACCGAACTTTGGGTGTGTGAAAAGAGGCAGGTTGTTACACCGAACGTTGGGCCACGAGGCGTGCGTAAAGAGGTTGGAAACGAGGTGGGGACCAAACTTCGAAGCGAGGACGAGACCTAGTCGTAGCCCAATATGGTTGGGTCAAAGGCCAGAGTTCAATTCAAATCACGTGATTATACTGATGTCTTATACCTGTGTTTTGTCGCCTTTTCGTGCCCCTTCGAGATCCCCGCTTTTTCCGCGCTCTGCTTCCTGAGACGAGCGTGCAAGGGCACGCGGGTTGCGGAGAGAAGGTTGGGGCAGCGGGAAAGGGGCAACGCGGTCGCGGTTTGGTTCGAAGCAGATAGCAGCCTGTGATTGAACGATGAAACCGCATATCCCTCCTCTTGCCCTGCAATAACTGCTCTTATGAATTCCTGTATGAGAAATTCAGCTTAAACCTTGAACCCTGAATCTTGACCCCCGACCCTCCAACCCTGGCAGCTACGTGCGGTTGATTGCAAGGTGACGGGAAAGCGCGAACCGTCGGATTTGTCTAGTGCATGACCTTTCCTGCACCCTCGCCTTCCCCCTCCCTCCCCGGCTGAGGGAGTCTTGAGTGTTGGCTAAGGCACGTTTCCTTCCACTTCCTTCCCCCTCTCCTCCCACCCTCCCCCATCCCTCTCCCCACCCTCTCCCATCCCTCCCCACTCCCTCCCCAACCACTTTATCCACCAGCCCCGGCAGCGGCGAGTGGTGGAGTGCAAGGTGAAGCGGCGGCGGGAGCCAAGGCTGGATGCGGTGATTGAGAGGAACAAGAAGTTCCGCATTGTGCAGAGAATACAGGAGCTGCTGGGGAAACAGGTGGGTCAACGCCAGTCAACCGCCAGTCAAAGCCAGTTAACGCCTGTCAATGGCAGTAGATGCTGGTCGATAGAAGGAGCAGTGGCTGGATGCGGTGATTGAGAGGAACAAGAAGTTCCGCATCGTGCAGCGCATACAGGAGCTGCTGGGGAAACAGGTGGGTCAACGCCAGTCAACGGTGGTCAACGTTTGTCAATGGCTGTAGATGGTTCGATGGGAGGAGCAGTTGAGGATGGAAGCGGTGATAGAGAGGAACAAGAAGTTCTGCATCGTGCAACGCATACAGGAGCTGCAGGGGAAACAGGTAAGCAGATTGGGCAACGCTAGTCAATTGCAGTCAACGCCAGTCAATGCCATTCCCTCCTGAGGGTTTCGGGTTGATGTCTGTGGTTTCGGGTTCAAGGTTTTAGGAGAAACTGTCAAACTGGCTCCTGAAGTGCCTTCCCGGAAACAGCCCTAGCAGGGAGTGGGTAAAGCTACGGAAGCACAAAAAGAAACAAGGCGGGAGAAACATTGGAGTCATTTTTGTGAAATTATAGAAGTGACTCTAATATGGCTGGTGAATTCAAGCGACATTTGAGTCGACTCAAAAGTCGGGTAAATTATAGAAGTGACTCTAATATGGCTGGTGAATTCAAGCGACATTTGAGTCGACTCAAAAGTCAGCTTAAATAATAGAAGTGACTCTAATATGGCTGGTGAATTCAAGCGACACATTCCTTTTTCAACAGGCAGGATAGGATGGCGGGCGCTCGCGTTTCTGTAGGAGCTGGCGAAAGTAGAAGCTTGATTTGTAGCTGACTCGCGCATGAGTGAATGCTTATGTTTCACAGTATCTGGCAGGAAGGCGGGCGCATGAGTCTCTTGAGACGTCTCACAACACTTTCTTTTATCACATGTTGATGTTTCGTTGTATCTGGCAGGAGGACGGGCAGATGAGTCTCAAGGAGCTGGGGAAGCATCGGAGCCGTCTCAAAAGTCCCTTTTTGTAGCTGACTTGCTAGTCGTGATGAGTCAACAACATTTCCCCTTCTCACTGGCAGGAGGGCGGGCAGATGAGTCTCAAGGAGCTGGGGAAGCATCGGAGCAAGATTGGGCTGTCCGGGGGGCGAAGATGCGTGGCTCTCATTCGCAGGTGCGTGTGCGTTTCTGGTGTGTGTGTGTGTGTGAGTGTGTGTGTGTGTGTGTGTGTGTGTGAGTGTGTGTGTGTGTGTGTGTGTGTGAGTGTGAGAGGGAGGGAGTGTGCATGAGAGGGAGTGAGTGTGAGCGTGAGTGATAGGTGTGTGCTTGACAAAATTGGGCTGTCAAAGGGGCGAAGATGTTGGCTCTCATTCGCAGGTGAGTGTGTGTGAGAGAAAGTGAGTGCGTGAGTGAGTGAGTGAGTGCATGTGAGTGAGTGAGTGTGTGCATGTGAGTGAGTGAGTGAGTGCATGTGAGTGAGTGTGAGTGAGTGAGTGAGTGTGAGTGGGTGGGTACAGCAGCACCACCACTACTGCAACAAATTCCCCTCAATATTCAGAGTGTATAGCAGGGGTGTAGGTCGGAGCCACAGGGACTGAATGCGTGGCCCTCTCGTCCCACCCCCCCTTCCCGCACACACCCCCACCCTCTGCCCCCCACCCCGTCAGATTCCCCTCAATATTCCGAGTGTATGACAAGGGTGCGGGCAACATCTGGTTTGAGTTGACTCCTGAGGCGGCAAGGAGGGATGCGCGGGAGAGGGAGCTGCGGGCCATCATGGAACCCATCTTGGTGGATAAGGTGCGGTGTGGTGCGGTGAAATGAGATGAGGCGAGGTGAGATGAGGTGTCAAGTGGTGTGGTGCAGTGCAGTGGGGTGCGTGCATGGCACGACAGGGGCGCAGGCAACATCTTCTCGTAACTGCTTCAGCTGTGCAAGCTGCTGATAAAGTCGGCAGCACTGCTGTGCTTTGAAACACCAACTTTCTGTGCTCTTGTGCTTTCATTGCACCCCTTTTGAGACGTCTCAAAAGCTTTCTGTGCTCTTGTGCTGTCCTTGCACCCCTTGCACCCCTTTCCCCCACCCACCACCAACCCTTTTTGCTCCCTCCCCTCTTCCTTTCGCCGCCTCTGTCCAACCATTGCAGCTCTGCAAGTTGCTCATGATGTCCGCAACGCAGTCCATGTGTGTTGGCTCACTAAGTGGCTCACTAATCTTGCATGCTTTGTGTTTTCGTGATGCCCCTCCTCCCTCTCTCCCCCGCCTGCAGCTGTGCAAGTTGCTCATGATGTCCGCAACGCAGTCCCTGAGTGTGGAGAGCATAGGGCATGTGAGGAGGGAGCTTGGCCTCCCAGAGGACTTCAAAACGGTGAGTGCTGTTCACGCGGCAAGCTAGAGCACGCTGGTTATCTCTCAGCAGTGCCACCCCTCCCGGTCAGTCCCTGAGTGTGGAGAGCATAGGGCATGTGAGGAGGGAGCTGGGTTTGCCAGAGGACTTCACAAACGGTGAGATCCCTCAGCCTTGCTCTGCTGGTTTTGTCAGTGCCATAGGCTTTCTGCTGCTCGTAGGGCTGCTAGTACTGCTATTGTGGATCGGTGCTGGTGCTGCAGTGCTGGTGCTGCAGCAGTGGGTCGAGCGCCTGGCACGGTCAGTAGCAGAGGATTTCCGCTGCTTGTAGGGCTGGTAATGCTGCTTGTAGGGCTGGTAATGCTGCTTTTGAGAATTCTCAAAAGTAATGCTGCTGGTGGTGAGGCAATGCCGGTGCTGGTTCTGCACAAGTGGGACGATCGCCTGGCGCTGTCTGTGGCAGAGGCTTTCCCTTCCCAACTCATTCCCCTTACCCGGGTCCCTTCTCTCCCTTTTCTCCCTTCTCTCTTTGCCACTTACTTTCTTTGTCCACTGCCAGTCCTTCCTCCCACGCTTCTCCAATCGCTTCAGAGTAGCCACTCCCCCAGCAGCCCCTCCGGGTACCCCTGCCGCCGCTGCTGCTGCTGCTGCTGCTGCTGCTGGTGGAGGCCCGGTGCTGGTGCTGCAGCAGTGGGACGATCGCCTGGCTCTGTCTGTAGCAGAGGCTGTTTCTTCTCAGCCTAAACCCCTCTTTCTACTTCCCATGCTCTCTCCCCTCCCTCTGTGCTCTCCCCTGCTCCACGCCAGTCCTTCCTCCCGCGCTTCTGTGATCGCTTCACAGTAGCCACCCCTCCAGCAGCCCCTCTTGGTACCCCTGGTGATGCTGCTGGCCCGGTGCTGGTGCTGCAGCAGTGGGCCAATACCCTGTCGCTGTCAGTGGCCGAGGCTTTCCCTTCCCATCTCACAGCCCCTCTCCTCTCTCCCTTCACTACCCCCTCTCTTTGCTCCTCACCCCCCTGTCCATGCCCAGTCCTTCCTCCCGCGCTTCTCCGATCGCTTCAGAGTAGCCACTCCTCCGGCAGCCCCTCCGGGTACCCCTGCTGGTGGGGGGCCGGTGCTGGTGCTGCAGCAGTGGGATGAGTGACAGAAGAATTCCCCTTCCCAGCTCAACCCCCTCTTTCTTCTCTCCCCTCTCCCCTGCTCCACGCCAGTCCTTCCTCCCGCGCTTCGCCGATCGCTTCAGAGTAGCCACCCCTCCAGCAGCCCCTCCGGGTACCCCTGCTGCTGCTGCTGCTGGTGGGCCGGTGCTCGTGCTGCAGCAGTGGGACGATCGCCTGGCACTGTCTGTAGCAGAGGCGAACGAAGCAGCAGCAATGGCTCGGGAAGAGGCTCTGGACGAGGCTCGGAGAGAGGCTCGGGAAGAGGCACGGGAAGAGGGTGGTGAGGCTGTGGCGGGTGGGGCGGGAGGGAACGGTATTAAGAGTGGTGCTGCTGCTGGTGCTGCCTCCCGTGTTGCTTCTGCTGCTGCTGCTAGTGGTGCTGCTGGTAGTGCTGGTGCTGGAGGTGTCAGTTTCGTTGATGGTACTGGTGCTCGTGGTGGTTCTGCTGCTGACAGTGGTGGTGGTGGGAGGAGTGGGGGGGATGGGGAATCTGCTGCTGGTGGGTGGGGAGGTGGTGGGGCTGGTGGTGCAGCAGCAGCAGCGGGAGGGAGGGCGCAGGGAGGGATGGTGAGGAGAGAAGGTGTGGGAGGGGTGTTGGGGGATGGGGATAGGGGGAGGGGGAGGGGGGAGAGTGGAGAGGAGGAGGAGGAGAGGAGGAGGAGAAGAGAGGAGGAGGTGGAAGAAGAGGGGGATGAGAAGGAGGAGGAGAAGGAGAAGGAGAAGGAGAAGGATGAAGAGGAGGAGGTGGAGGCAGAGAAAGGGAAAGAGGAGAAGGAGGAGGAGAAGGAGGAGGAGGAGGGAGAGGGGAAAGAGGGTAGGGAGGGATTCGAAATGTCTGGTGTGGGCAGCAGTAAAGGTGAAGGGGGCGGGCATGAGGGGCAGGGAGCAGGATGGGGAGAGGGGTGGGACGAGGGATGGGAAGAGGGATGGGGAGAAGGAGGGGGAGAAGGAGAGGGAGGAGGGGGAGATGGGAAACAAGGGCAGAGAGAACGCAAGGACAGCAAGTACCAGTCACAGAAGAGTGAGAAAGAACAGGAGATGGAGAGTCAGGGAGGAGGAGAGACATGCGGCGAGGAGAGATGGGAAGAGGAGGAGCAAGAGGAAGAAGGGACAGAAGGAACGGCAGCATTCAGAAAGCCTCATCTGGGTCCCGTTCTGGCCTGCGACCCAGCGCCATCCGATTCCCCCCAACAAACCCAAGCCACCCAAGTAGCTCCTATCACCCCACTCTCTCCAGGCAATCAGCTCCCTCCCCCCAAGCCCTCCCTGACGCCTGAGCAGCTGGCAGAGGCAGCGATCGGGTTGGGTCGGCACAAGGCAGAGACCAGCCGCATGGCCTATATCACCGGGAAAACCAGTGCGGAGCAGGAGGAGAGAAGCAGTGGCGGCAGCGGTGGCAGCGGTGGCAGCAGCAGTCGGGAGGAGCGGTACAAGAAAGCCGTCCGGCTGAGCTTAAAGCTCAATCTACCCCCGGGTCTGAAGCTGAAGCAATCTGACCTGCTCAGGCTACAGAGGTTCCACGCATCCCCTCCTATCTCCCCTTATGCAGACCCACTCGAGCTCGGAATATCTCCGGAATCAATGGAAGCGGAACGGCGGGCAGTTGCCGTGATTCGGGAGTTTCTTTCGCTGACCGTGGAAAAGCGGTGCCTGATCGACCAGCTGACGCACTTTCGGAAAGATTTTCTTCTGCCCGCGAGGATATACGCGCTGCTGCTGCGGCATCCGGAGGTTTTTTATGTCTCGGTGAAAGGGGTGCGGGACTCGGTGTTTCTGCGGGAGGCTTATGAAGGGGAGGTGCTTATAATGAGTGATGAGCTGGCGGATGCTATAGAGGAGATGAGAGTTCTTATGGAGGATGGGAGGAGGAGGATGAGGAGGGGGAAGTGGGGAGGGGGGAGAGGGGGGGGTATGGGAGTGGAGGGAGTGAGGAGGAGAGTGAGTGGGAGAGTGAGGATGAGGAGTGGGAAGAGGATGACGAGGGGGATGAGGAAGAGGGGGAGGATGAAGAGGAGTGGGGAAGGGAGGAGGTTCGAGAAAGAAGGGCAGTGCCGAGAGTTTGGAAGCGAGCTCCTGGGCAAGCGGTGGGGAGTGGTGGTAGAGGCGATTCCAACGGTACAGATGAGGAAGGGGGGAGAAGAGGAGGAGAGAGAGGAGTTAGTAGAGGTGTGGGGAGAGGAGATGGGAAGAGGGGGAATGAGGGTGACAGGAAGCAGGTGGGGGTGGACAGGTGGGGGAGGGAGGAGAGTGGGAGTGTGGAAGGGGCTGGGTGGGTGCCTGTGGGGAGTGTTGCTGGGAAAGAGGGCGAGGGTGATAAGAGAAGGGCCCGAGAGAAGGATAGAGGGGAAGATGGGGAGCAGGAGGGAAGGGGGGAGGGTAGAGAGGGAGAGGAGGGAGTGGAGGAAAACGAAGAGGTGAGAGGGCGTGTGGCAGAAGTGAGAGGAAAGGGAGATGAGGTGAGGAGGGAGAGGGAAAGAGTGGGGGTGACAGGGGGCAAGGAGAAGGGGAAAGGGAAGGAGGCGTGGAGGAGCAAGGGCATACACAGGCAGGGGTTGATCAAAGACAGGTGGTGAGGGGTGAGGGCCGGTCCAGTGGTGAGGGGTGAGGGCCGGTCCAGTGGTGAGGGGTGAGTAGTACAGATGATGTTATGTTAGGTACAAGAAAAGAGCTAGGGTGTCCATAGAGGGATGTTACCCTATGCTCCATCCCTCCAACAAGGAGTGGGTGGGTGACGAAACGAGGGTGGAGATAAAATGCTTGTGCTTGCGACGGTGATCAAGGCATGGTGTGGGGTGGCCTGGTGGTTGTCTATCTCAGTGCAAGTGGTAGTAGCAAGGTGACATTTCATCAATTCAAGAAGCACTTAAGTCTTAACGTAGTGGCAAATGTAGGCCAGTCATTATGTGGCAGAAGCAGTATAGTGAAAGGAGGATATACCTTGTATGCTTGGTGCTGCATCATGAATTATTGTATAAAATGTAAGCATGGCTCATGACTGTATAAAGAACAATGAAAAACTGGATTCCGTACATTATACATTGTGGATAGACGTGAGATCACTGCCATGCATCTGCAATACTAAAATCATGCATGCAGCATACACCCGCTCACCCACCCAGCCACCAGCGTTCTATGTTAAGCATCTACGGCGTACTCTCCCGACACAACTTTCTTATATTCGATAAACCACAATCACATTCCAGTCACATGCCCACTATATCACTCAACTAAAAACACCTTCTCATCCTCCCCAAAATCCTCAAGCCTCACCCCATCATCTCCCTCCCACCTCCTCCCCACCCCCTTCTTCCCCCCTCTCCCCTGCCCCTTCCCCTGCCCCCCTCCTCTCCCCCCCAACCCCCCCTCCACCTGCCCTTTCTTTGGCTTTCTCTGCGCTCTCACTGCCCGCCCCAACTCCTCTTCCTCCTCGTCCTCGTCGTCATAACTGCCCGAAGCTATGGGGGACAGGTTCGGCGGAAGAGGCTCGCCGCGTTCCCGAGCCTGCTGCTCTGCTTTGAGTCGTGAGAGGATGGAGAGTACCTGCAGGGGGATAGGGAGGTGGTGGGAGGGTGGGGAGGAAGGAAGGCAAAGGGGTGGGGAGTGATTTGATGAGGTGATGGTAATCCAACAACAAGTGAGTGCTCTGAGGTGGGAGAGGATGGAGAGGACTTGCAGTGGGGTAGAAAGGGAGGTGGGGCAGAAGCAGAGGAAAGGAGGGTTGAGAGGAGGTTTAAGGAGGTATGGCAGTCCGAGGATTTTACAAATTCGGAGGTTGGGGGATTGGGAGGTTTGGGCATTTGGGCATTTGGGGGGCTTGGGGATTTGGGGAAGTGGGGGTTTTGGGGGTAGGGGACTTTAGGAGGTTCAGGGGTTTGGTGTTACAGGATTTGGTGATAATGAAGGCATGGCATGATGGTTGTTCAGTCAGATCTAACGAGCACACCTATAACTGGCTAGTTATCCAGAAAAACAGGCTATCAACTGAACTCACCCTGCTTCCCCGCTCCATAGAGTCATCTTGAATTAATCTCACTTCAGGGGCGAACCGCAATCGCATCTTCTTGCCCAGCCCTGACCGCACATATGCACCTAAACTGACTAATACCCCTGACTATAAGATGGTATAGCAGCAACTCACCCTGCTGCCTCGCTCCATGGAGTCGTCTTGAATGAACCTCACTTCAGGGGCGAACCGCAGCCGCATCTTCTTGCCCAGCCCTGACCGCACGTAGGGCGCCTTGGCTCTCAGCCCCTCCATCGCTATGGCCTGCCCCCTCTCGTCCCCATACACTGACACGTACACCTTCGCCACCTGCGGGCAGGGGGGGACGACAGGGGGTAGTAAGGGCGGGGAGTAGGGGATTGGTGGGGGATTCAAGGGGATGCTTTCACGGGTGTGCTCTCAGCCCCTCCATCGCTATCGCCTGCCCCCGCTCGTCCCCATACACTGACACGTACACCTTCGCCACCTGAGGGCGGGGGAGGATGATAGGAGGATATTGGGGGGTGTAAGGGCGGGCTTATGTCGCACCTCAAGCTCAGCCCAGCCACTGCTATCGCTTGCCCCCTCTCGTCCCGATCCACTGACACGTACACCTTCGCCACCTGAGGGCAGGGGAGGATGATAGGAGGATAATGGGGGGTGTAAGGGCGGGCTTATGTCGCACCTCAAGCTCAGCCCAGCCACTGCTATCGCTTGCCCCCTCTCGTCCCCATCCACTGACACGTACACCTTCGCCACCTGCGGGTGAGGAAGGGGAGCGGCCGTAATAAGGGCAGGGCGGGGGATTGGTGAGGATTCAAGGGGTGTGCTTTCAGCCTTCTATTGCTATCGCCTGCCCCCGCTCGTCCCCGTACACTGAAACGTACACCTCCGCCACCTGCGGATGTGAGAGTGGTGAGGGGTAGGTAAAGGAGTGAAAGGGGCAGGGTAGGGGAGTGGTGGGTGATTCAAAGGGTGATTCAAAGGGTGATTCAAAGGGTGATTCAAAGAAACGCTTTTGTCACGTCGTCATCTCCAGCCCTGACCGCACGTTTGGCGCCGTGAAAACCCGCGCATAATGCACAACCCCAAACCCGCCTGTAAGTCCGCCGAGAGCTCCACGTCGCTGATCGTGACTATGGCCGACATGACCTTATCCACGCCCAGCGCGAACTCGGGTCTTCAGACGGACACTCTAACCCAAGCCCACTCGTAGAACATACCACCAAACCCACCTGCAAGTCCGCCGATAGCTCCACGTCGCTGATCGTGGCGATGGCTGACATGACTTTGTCGGCGCCCAGCGCGTGCTCGGGTGCAAGTTGCACCGTGCAACAGGGGTTTGCTTGCTTGATACCCACACACAGTCCCCCCACACCCACCTGCAGGTCCGCCGAGAGCTCTACATCGCTGATCGTGGCTATGGCGGACATGACCTTGTCGGCGCCCAGCGCGTACTCCGGTGTTCCGGAGCAACGGTGCTACGGTCTCCATACGGACAGACACCCCAAGCCTGTGTGCAGAACAGACCGTCAAACCCACCTGCAGGTCCGCCGAGAGCTCTACATCGCTGATCGTGGCTATGGCTGACATGACTTTGTCGGCGCCCAGAGCGTGCTCTGGTTGCACGGCGGCGCGCAGCGTGGTGTCGTTGAGAAGCATCGACGCAACTTCGCGGTGGATCTGCTGCGCCACCATCTGCACGCGCCGCGGCTGCGCCATGCATCGGACCGCGAGTCTCGAGACTTCTGTGACGCGCGACTCGTTGCCAGCTCTGCTGCTGGCGTTTTGATTGTTCCAGCTGAGTTTCAGGCTCGGGCCGAGCCTGTCGCACAGGCTTGGGAGCTCCATTTTGCCATGGCTGGAGCCTTGTAGCTCAGCGGAACTGAACGACGAAAGACGAGACGGTGCGAGTGATCTCGCGAACGATGTGGTAACTGCCGGCATTATTCTGTATGTTTCTGAAAAGAACGGAGCAGTTACAAACGAGCCGGAAAAGAAATATATATCCGACTATCTGCCTTTATGACGCGTTTCTAGGGAGGTCTGTACTCGGTAAGGAAACTGAAACGGAAAGAGTCTGTGCCAAACGGAAGGTCACTGGAACTCTTGGCTCCTGCTTTTGCTCAACACTGGAGATCGCGCGATCAAGTTTGGGAGGGAGATCAAGGTCAAATTTACTTGAAATATGCTGCAGTGCTTTCTACACCGAGGAAATGCTGAACGGAAGCTTGGAGGGGAAATGGAGGGTAGGGGGCGTATGGGCCCCCATCCGGCGTTAGCGAAGCTAAACAAAATCTGCAGTTTGCGAAAGAGTGTTTCTGTTGAGTGACTCCATTCTTACTACAGCAAACACAACGAAAACCAATGTGCGACAAGTTACCATCTCCGCTTTCCCAAACCTTGAAGCCTGGCTGTCGCCGTCGTGTGCATACCCAGAACCGCCACGTCAGTTATCGATGTTACACCCTCAGCCGCCTGACGTGGCACATTACCCAAACTTCGCCGTGTTGCGAGCCTCTAACCCACCAATAGAAGTTCGTCCGATCGACAAACATTTTCGCAGAATTATTCGCCCCTTCCATCCCAAGCAGCCTCTTTGCAAATTCTGTTACCTCATCAACCCACCTACAACACCTTTTCATCACCTCAACCCAGCTTCCCCCTCCCTGCACCTAGCCTCCTTGCTGCTGCTGCAGCCTCCATGCCCTCCCGCGCGTGCTGCCTCCCCCCTTCCCATTCTTTCCTCACCCAATCCCCCTTCTTCCCCACACCTCATTCATTCTCATTTCCGCGTGTTTCTCGCTTCCTAGACGCACACCACGCAGCGTGTCGCCATGGCGGCTGTTTCGTCCATGTTCCAGAAGCTCAGCATTTCCTCTCTGAGCAGCTCCGCCGCTCTCTTCGGCGCGGCTCTCCCCGCCGCCTCCGCTAGGGTTTCGTTCGCTCCCACCACCCGCAGCGCGCCGCTGACCATCGAGGCTGCGCACAAGAAGGGGTCCGGTAGCACGAAGAACGGCCGCGACTCCAAGGCTAAGCGGCTAGGCGTCAAGGTGTACGGCGATCAGCCGGCCAAGGCAGGGAGCATTATCGTTCGCCAACGTGGCACAACGGTAAATGCGCGATAGGATGATAAGCTTGTGCATTAGGGTTTGTGAAGGTCTCATGGGTTCTCCATTCGCTTCACTGTCTCCGCGCGATTTATCGAACGGCGAGCTAGTGGGATTTTAGACAATCACGTTAGCTTCATAACGAGTAGCTAGTGCCATTTTCGCTTCGTATCATGTTCCATGTCCCGCTTTGAAAGCTAGGGTTAGCGTACCGACTTTTCAGGTTCCTATTCGAGGCCTAGTCAACGCCGGGTCAACGCTAAGTCAACGCTGAGTGAACGGGTTGTAGTGCTCTAGGGCTTATGGTGTTGACGGGTAGAGACCACTACTTTCTCCGCATTCTTGACGCAACCTCGAGCAAAAGCTTAATTTTTCGCAATTTGGTCATTAGTGACAACTGAAAGTGTCCTTTTGCACGTTCAAGAAGGTTATTGCTGACCGTCTTATCAATAGTCGCTCTCTCAGTGTCCTTCCTGAGTGCACTATTTCAGCATTTCTCCAGTCGACTCAGAAGGTGCATCCCTGGGAGCATTTGCGGCTCCCCGACATTCATCTGGCTGAGTGGATTGGGAACGTTAGACTCAGGCTGCACAACTGAAGCCATGTCTCACGGCTCTTCGGCTCTTACCATGGCTGGTCTTCGGCTCCCTCTGGTCGTGGATTTATTTATTTTCCTTTTTTTTTTTCGCAGTTCCACGCGGGCACCAACGTCGGCGTGGGCAAGGACTACACTCTGTACTCGCTAGTGGACGGCCTCGTGAAGTTCGAGCTGTATGGCCCCGACAAGAGGAAGAAAGTGAGTGAAGCAGGTTAGGTGTAGGGAAAGCAGAGACAGATGGAAAATCGGGAAGACCGTGCAGTGGAGGGAGCGCGTGAAAGGACTAACCAGAGGGATGAAATCTTGGCAAATCCCGGGAGAAAGAAAGTGATCAAGGGTGCGTGCAGGGAGCCGACAGATTGACTTCCACCAGGCTTGCTTCTCCGCGCTGACTTGGCATGCCATGACATGACCCGCCAAGCCAACGCGGAGGAACGCTTTGGTACACCTGTTTATAAAAGACGTGTTGAGAAATGGGCTTTGCGGATGATACTGAATGCTGGCGGATCTTCTGGTTTTCCAACTTGCGGATGGTGAGGAGGAGAGAGAGAGATCGCTTGCACTAGAAAGACTCTGATGGTGTGTGAAATGTATCTTGCTGGCCTCAGCCAATAAGGGCCAGTCGCATCCTTCTGCTGTTATCCTTTACTAGGCTGCCACTTCTCCCTCCCCCTCAATCCCCCTTGTATGCCTGCTCGTAAGATACTCGGACATCCGGCGGCCCAAAAACAGGGAGGGAGGAGAAGCAGGGAAACTCTGACATCCGGAGGCCCAAAAACCAGGGAGAAGATCCGCCAGCAGGGGGAGAAGCAGAATTGAAGGGGTTTTTAAGTGCCTCGAGCATTGTATGCACTGTATAAATCTCATTCGCCCACCCTTGACTCTTCCCGTTTCTCCAGGTGAGTGTGCCCCCCTCGACAGAGGAGAAGCAGGAGAACCCCGATCTTCTGATGGTCCGGAACTGGGAGATGTCCTGGCAGTAGAAGGAGAAGCAGGAACGTTTTCTAGGCGTTTCTGATTATGTACCGTACATGATCAATTTTGTACCCTTCACTCTCCCCGTCTCTCCAGGTGAGTGTGTACCCGGCAACAGAGGAGAAGCAGGAGAACCCTGATTCGCGGAAGGTGAGGAACCGGGAGAAGTTCCGGCAGCAGAGGGAGAAGAGGAGGGCGCGTCTGGCGGCAGCAGAGGAGGCGTTTATGTTTGCTGCCGGTTCGCCGCTCATCTCCATTGCCTCGGCTGCTCCCGAGGCGGCTGTGGATGGCGACAGTGCTGTGTGCTAAAAAGGGAATACTATAAAGCTTGGTGACTAAATTGTGTTATTAAAGCAGTTCTAATGAAAATGTTTCTTGAGTGTGTCTACTGGATGTTAGTCGGTGTGGACGTGGAGTGCCCAATTCAGAGACACAGCAGCACTCAATTCCAATGAAATAAAAATACCATATCGCGTACAGCCATGCGTGAACTCACCATCAACCCTTGAAAACCTAGTCCCCCTCCCCAAAGCCCTCCTTTTCTGCTGTGCTTCCCAGGCAGCTCTAGGGTTTCGTTGTGACTCACCTCTTCCCCGCCGTTCTTCGCGCTCCAGCGTCAGCTGCCTTGCATCCACACCGTCCGAACCCTCGCGTCCCACATATCCCTCGTTGCGCTCGTTTCTCTCTGCCTGCTGCGTTCTGCCTGGCATTCTTCTCCTTTCGTGCAGTTCGCGACACCGCGTCAGAAACTTTCTGGCTTCTGGTCGATTGTAGTTAACGGTCACTTCCCTCTCCCGAAAAAATATAGTCGAATCTGGTTTGACGGGCGGCTCGACTCAAATTCGTTATGGAGGTAGACGCGCCTTCGCAGAACGCAGCGAAAGCGGCGGCCCCGTCGACAAATGCGCCGGCTGCGGGAAAACTGCCGCCGAAGCCGAAATTTTCGGCGCTAACGGCGGCGGAAATGGGGGGAAGCAAGTTCGAATTCCGCAAGATCCCCGTGCCGCCGCATCGGTACACTCCGCTCAAGGAACGATGGATGGACATTTACACTCCGGTGTTCGAACAAATGAAGATCGACATTCGCATGAACCTTAAGGTGGGTGGAATGCGGTGGTGAACGGTGGATGAACATTTACATCCCCGTGCCTCCGCATATGTTCTCATAAACCTCAAAGTAGGTAGGATAGAGGCGTGTCGGAGCTACAGAACATCCGCGTTTTATCGAAATTTCGTACTTATAGGGGTCTACAGTCTCGGAGTCGAAAACACTTTCCTGGCGGCGGGACACGGCGGACCCGTCCGCCTTGCAGAGGTGCGCCGACTTCGTGACGGCTTACATGATGGGCTTCAGCCTCACCCACTCCCCCCTCGCTCCCCATCCCCTCCCCGTCCCTCCCCTTCCCTCCCTGTTGCTCCTCTCCTCCCTCTTTCCTCCCCTTACTCCCCCTGTTCTCTCCCCTCCCGTTTTCCCCAACCGCGCCCCCTCCTTGATCACCTCCCCCACCGTCCGCTCCTCCCCCGTACCTCCGCGCGCCCTACCCCAGGCGCGCAAGGTGGAGCTGAAGACGCGGAGGGACACGGTGGACCCGTCGGCGCTGCAGAAGTGTGCCGACTTCGTGACGGCGTATATGATTGGCTTCAGCCTCCCCGTCCCCTCCCCGTCCTTCCCCGTCGCTCCCCTCCCCTTCCACTTATTCTCCCCAATAAAATCACAAACCGATCCCTCCTCCCTCACTCTCCCCCCCCCCCTCCACCTCTCCCCCCGGGCCTCCGCGCGCCCCTCCGCGCGCCCTCCCCCAGGCGCGCAAGGTGGAGCTGAAGACGCGGAGGGACACGGCGGACCCGTCCGCCCTGCAGAAGTGCGCCGACTTTGTGACGGCGTATATGATGGGGTTCAGCCTCACAGACGCCATCGCTATGCTGCGTATCGATGACCTCTATATCGAGTCGTTTGAGATCAAGGTGAGATACGGGTGGAATGGGAGGAGGGTGGGAGGAGGGTGGGAGGAGGGTGGAAGGCGGTTTAGAGGGTGAAAGGCGTTTTGAGATCAAGGTGAGAGAAGCTGAAAAGGGTGAGAGAAGCTGAAAAGGGTGAGAGAGTCTTGAGAACATGATGGGGTTCGGCCTCACAGACGCCATTGCCATGCTGCGTATCGATGACCTCTATATCGAATCGTTTGAGATCAAGGTGGGAGGCGTGTGGGAATGAAGGTGGGAGGAGGGTTGAGATGTGGAGAGGTTGGGAGGAGTGAGAGGAGGTGGTGATGTGAGGGCTCCTGAGATGAAGGTAAGAGCAGGTGAAGTGGGTGAGAGGAGTTCTGGGTCATCTTGAAAGCTGAAGAAGGTGACAACAACAAGCATGTCAATGCTCTATGCATATGAATGCATAACCAGGGTAACTTTCCCTGCCTATTGTTTAAAGTACCCGTCTTAAGTGCTGAGAGTTCTGATGCGATCCATGGATTGCGGCAGCATTGATAATCATCCATTTTACTCCTATCCACGTTATCCTCTCCTCTTTCCTCTCTCCCTTTCAACAGGTCAGGGTAAAGACCAGAAGGAAAGGATTGATTCCATAAGTATTGCATCCACCCAACTGCTACACTACACTCATCAGCCATGTTTCTCCTGTGTCGTCCTCCACCCACATCCTTTTCCTCCCCCTCGGCGCCTCACAGGATGTGAAAACGCTACGAGGAGAGCACTTATCCAGAGCCATCGGGCGGCTGTCAGGTAAAAACGGCAAGACCAAATTCACCATTGAGAATGCCACGCGGACACGTATAGTGATTGCCGATTCCAAGATCCATGTTCTTGGGGCGTACGCTAACATCCGTGTGGCGCGGGACGCGCTCTGCTCGCTCATTCTTGGTTCGCCAGCTGGCAAGGTGTACTCGAAGCTGAGAACAGTTGCGGCAAGGCTGTCTGAGAGATGATAACGGATGCCTGCTGCTTGAATATTTGAAGGTGGTGTTTTGCATAATTTGTTGAGAAAAATGCAGTTGATGTTAATCTTTCCAATGATAGTGGTCAGATGGCATGGTCTGTTGTCATGTGGAAAGACTGTTACCTTTACAGTGTAAAGCAGTCTGTACAGGGTATTTGCTGGCTTACAGGCTTGTTTTTGGCACCTTTTCTTTTCTTCTCCCTAAACCATTTCCTTGAGTATTCTGCCTTCTTTTATCGGCCTCGTGGAAACGCGTTCTCTTGAAAGCTGGCCTCTGGTGTTCATGCTGCAGCAGCATTCAATCCAGGTCCAAAATGGATTGCTTGACGACAAACTTCCTCTGCGCTGCCTAGCCAGCGGTTCCTTGTGGCGGATCCGACGGTCCAAGATGCACAGAACCAGGCTGGCTTCTTTGCGTTGGACCCTTGTGTCAAGCAGGCGCCTTTGTTTTTCATGTGGCACTGTTCGGGCGCCAGGCTGGAATATCTCAATCCCCGCAGTGGGGTGGGAGTAACCATTCAAGAAAACCGTTTTTTTCTCAACAGTAAAATATCTACACTTTCTACATTCCCATATCCGCCGGGTCGGTGTTACAGAACGCGCAAAATCAGGCGTCTGGAATCCATTATAGTAATATAGTCTGGACAAGAAGTGTAAAACTTTTACGGGAGAGTAGTAGGAGGTTTTCTCAATTGCGGTTGTGTTGCGAGGCAATCAGGATGCACACTCGGTCGATCCGATTCGAGTCCTACAGTATTTTTGTGCTGATGTCGCTTTTGCTTTCACAGTAGCCACGTTCTGACCGAACTGCAGATTTGAATGGTCGTGACAAGATCTCGTCTCATTTTCTGCTTAAACTGTACGGATGGTGAACAATTTGTAAGGAAGAACAAGCAAATGAAGTGGTTTTGAAATGCCTGGGTGATTTCTGACTGCTTTAGTCCATACCCATGAAGTGTCACCATGGGTGGAAAAAATAGAATTACCAGGAACTGTGAGGTGAATGCATGAGACCAGCTCTGGGGGGGAAGCCCGGAAATTCTGGCCGAAAGAATCGAAGGCAAGATCAAACAGATTGGAGAAGGTTTGGAGGAGGATTGAAGGATAGGACGAGGGCGGGGTGACAGCACATGTGACATGGGACGGGATCATAACCTGTCTGGCAGAGACATGCACGCTGTTTGTTGAGCAAGTGAGAGTGGAGGAGAATGGAAGAGTCCATCCGAGCCCTGGTGGGCGCATTTCCACCAGGTGCCCCTCCTGGTGGAAACCCGTTTCCACCAGGACGCGGAGCCGGCGGAAGCGATCTGCCCGGGGCAAAAAAAATAAACCCCATCGCGACCGGCATGCCTTCGGGAGCCTCAACCCTAAGATTTTAGGGTTGAGGCTCCCGAGCCGCATGCCGGTCGCGATGGGGTTTAGTTTTTTTTCTGCCCGCGGGCAGATCGCTTCCGCGAGCGCGCGCAAGCGGTTGCGGATTCGCCCGTGTTTTACTGTTACTGCTCGTATGAACCTTTGAGGCTTTGGTTTGGAGTGGAGGCAGGGAGAAAGGTTGAACCTGGAGAGTTGCGATAGAACTGGGGCACAGAAGGCGAGCGAGAGTTCCGCAAGCGGTGAGAGAGCCATCACAGAGAGCATCGACAAAATCTAGGATAGGGAGAGCAAAGGTGCTTTTGATAGCTCCACCAGCTTCACTGTGAAGTGGCAGGTCCACTAGTCTAGCCATTCTAGCTAGCCTGACAGCTAAAAGTACCTTCATTTCAGTGTTCAATTCCGCTCCGCTAACCTGGAACCAGCTAGTTTAGTACTACCTCACTAACTGTGTCCTTGACCAGAACCATCCAGTCAGAATTGCCATAGGCTGGCGGACGAAAGCCGCTTTTTGCAACCTGGAAGCGGCTGTAGCGGTTGTTACCAACTTGTGGTATTTGATTTTACCTCAGCTATTGGATATTTATTCAAGATCAAGCAGTGTGATTAGAACCTAATGATGACCTAATCCCACCGTCCGCATCGGTCCAGCGCAATTGGGCAGCACGAGAGCCGAGCCCGTCGTCCCTACGCCATTTCGCAGACCTGCTTTCGCAAACCTGTTTTTTGCGAACTTTTTTCGCTCCACTAAAAGGTCAAATTGGCCTCAAATTAGGTCAACAAGCAAATTCTGAATAGTATCAGAGGCGATGGGTAGAGTCTCAAGGCGCGATAGGCTTCCTCCAAAAGAGCCTGTTATTCTTTTCACATTCGCCTCCTCCCTCACCCCTAGCGCGTGGGATGCGGCGGGAGATGCGGTGGAAAACGCGCCGGGTCAGGCGCCTGCGCATCCCGACAAAGATCGCGAAACGCAGCTCGTGTATTACATCGGCATCGCGCGAGGGCCGTCTATTCTCGTTGATTTCGGGCGGCACAGGAAGATTCTGCGAAGCGCCGTCGCTGCCGTGCTGGCAGACGCTCCTCGGCACTGTAGCACATACTCTTTGGTGAGGCGTCAGCGGGAAACGTTTTTTTCTTTCTTTCTTTCATGCTTATGCTACCCCGCAGGTTCTCCCAAAGTGATAAGCAGAATGTAGCCGTTCAGAAAGTAAAATTTGCTCTTCTTCCGTTTAGGAGTGAGCGGTGGTCATTCTCTCCCTCGTCTACATTGGTATGAGCCTCGATCCGTTACTTCTCGTGGTCTAGCGAACCACTCCAACTCAATTCAGAGTCTATAATGAGTCGACGAGCTTTTGTCATTGTATCCGCGTTTCGTCAGTCCACCACAAACCCTAGTTTGGTCTGCGTAAAGGAAAGGAAAGTGTATTCTTGGTCATAACCCTAATCAGGGTTCTCTCCCTCTCTCCCTCCTCCCTCCTTCAATCTCGGTCACTCTCTACCGCTCATTCCTCCCCTTCAACATCCCATCAGGGCTACGGCCGCACCAACCTCTTCCTCTCCTTCGGTCAGGGCTTGATCGCCTTCGCCGTTGCGGACGACTCTCTAGACCGCTACAGAGCCTTCTAGTTCCTTCACCAACTGTCTTTAAACTGCCGATGATCCTTTTTCGATTCCAACCTCCCCCTTCCCCCCTCCCCCCCCCCCCCCTTCTCCCCTGTTCCTTCCCTGGTCCTGACAGGGCTACGGTCGCACCGACCTCTTCCTCTCCTTCGGTCAGGGTTTGATTGCCTTCGCCGTTGCGGTCGGACGAAGCCCTAGACCGCTGCAGGGCCTTCAAGGTCCTGACTTACCTGTCTTTAAACTGCCGATTATCCCGTTTCAACTCCCCTCTCATCCCTTCTCCTTCCCCAATCATCCCTGCTCCCAACAGGGCTACGGTCGCACCAACCTCTTCCTCTCCTTCGGTCAGGGCCTGATCGCCTTCGCCGTCGCGGACGACGCACTCGACCGCAGCAGAGCCTACCAGATTCTCTCCCAGCTGCCCTTTAACTGCCCCCCTCATCACTCCCCCCCTCTCCTCTCTCTCCCCTTCCCCCCCCCCCCCCCTGCTCCTTCCCTCTTCCCTGTTCTCAACAGGGCTACGGCCGCACCAACCTCTTCCTCTCCTTCGGTCAGGGCCTGATCGCCTTCGCCGTCGCGGACGATGCCCTAGACCGCAGCAGAGCCTTCCAGATTCTGTCCCAGCTGCGATCCACCGTCATCCACACTCTCTCCCACACGCTCACGCCGCACGCCCCCTCGCTCCCGCACCCCCGCTCGCACTCGCGTGCTCTCGCCGCCGCGAACTCGAAGGCGCTCCGCCAGCCGCCGCAAAGACCGGTGAGCGCGCCTCCGGCGAGCAAGTGTAACTGTGTAGTAACGGTCACAAATCCTTCGCCGCGTACGGACGCGCCCGTGTCAACCACGCTCCCCGCAGCAGCAGCACTGGACCGCGAGGCACCAGCCACGGCGGCAGCTATCCCCGTCGGTAGCACGACTAGCGGCGACACAGACACAGTTACCAGCAGAAGCAGTAGCAGCAGCAGCAGCAGCGGCAGTAACGCGTTTCCATCTGGCAGATCCGCCAAGATGTCTCGCTCTCTCTCCGCGCATTTCGCCCCGACCTTCCTCGCGGATTGCCTGGAAGCGACCTTCAAGGAGGTGGTTCGATCCGCTAGAGGCCGCCTCCGTAAGCGCACAGTGCTGCAACTGTACCCCGACGCGCCGCACGCGTATCTCGTGAATAAAAAGAACGTGCTCGAGCCGGATATTCTAGACCCGTCCGAGACCGGCGGTAACGGAGCCAGCAGCAGGCTTGTAACGGGTACAGGCGCGTCGGAACACAGCAGCAGCGACTCAGGCGGAAATCTCAAACGGGGGGGGAGAGAAGGAACGGGAGGAGCAGGGGGAGCGGGAGGAAGCTTCCCGGGCGGGAGGGAGAACCTTCTCAGCTCGCAAGTGAGCGCGAGAGAGTCCTTAATGAGCGAGCTTTCAGATATGATGGCGGATTTCGAAGTGGGGGATTTTGGTGAGAAGCTCGTGGTGTCGCGGACGGGGCGGGATGATGAATACGTGGACGACGATGAGTGGTACAGACAGACCCGCGGACAACCCCCCATGATGACTACCAATGCGCGCGGCCTCGGGATTGGTCCAGGGCTAGGGTTAGGGTTAGCGTCTGGTGCTGGAGGGGGCGGGGGAAGAGGAAGCGGAGGGGGAGGCGGAAGGGGAGGCGGAGGGGGAGGCGGGGGGGGAGCGGAGAACAGTCCGCTGCTGGATTTCGCGCAGCATGCGCGGGCGGCGGGGCTGTTCCCGTCGCACTCGCACTCCGCCGTGTTCGCCCCCATGGGCGGCCGCTCCGCGTCCCTTGGTGTGGGCGCAGCGCTGCCCATGGTTCCCGCGGAATACGCGGGGCTCGTCCCTATCAGGTCCGGGGGAGGGGCGGCGGGGGCGGCGGGCATTGGGTTGGGAAGGGGGAGAGGGATGGGGGGAGTAGAAGGAGGTGGGGCCGAGCGGCAGCAGCAGCAGCAGCAGCAGTGCGCGTGCTTTCCCACGGACAGCAATAGGCGGCGTGTTGAGTGAGGGATCTGCAGAAGGCGATGCTTGGGAGGAGCAGAGGGAGCGCAGAGGAGAGGGCAGCGGAGAGGGGAGCGGGGAGACCCAATCAGGAGCAGCTACAGGAGCTCGGCACAATATCTCTCTGTCCCGCACAGAACCCTCCTCAGATACCTCCGTGGTTCCAGATTTTCACCTGAACCCTCACCTGACAGGGCACCTGCCAGGGGGGGTGCAGAGAGCAGGTGTGGGGCGGAAGCTAGGGGAGGGGCACAGGCGCATGGGGGGGAGTGAGGGCGCCCTTGGCGCGCTTGACATTAGCGCCCTGGAGAGCAACGTTCGGAACAGCAGCGGTTTTGAGGGTAGTGGTTCTGGAAGAATCGGTGGGGAAGCAGGGGGGGCAGGGGTGGGTGGAAGCCGCAAAGAGGGGTTTTACCCTGGTGGTGCTGCTGCCGGGTTTCCCCCTGCAGGGTTTTCCTCGGCAGGGCTTTCCCCTTCGGGCTTTCCCCCTGCGGGGTTTTCGCCTGTAGGGTTTTCATCTGCAGGGTTTTCTCCTGTTGCTGCTGGAGGTGGCGCTGGGCATAGTGTGGGTGGTTTCTTGTTCAGCACCAGTTTCAATGCAGGCGCTGGCGGCAGCAGCAGCAGTGGTGGTGGCATTGGCAGTGTTGAGAGCAGCAGCAACCCCTTTGAAGAGGCAGCAAATCGGATTAAGAGTCAGAGGTCCGAGTTTGATAGCCTCTTCCCGCCACAATCAGCAGCAGAAGATATGGAGGAGGACGAGGAATTTGACCGGACCGCCCTCACCGGACCTGCAGGTTCGGGTGGGAAGGAGTTCGTGCGGGCGCAGGCTCGGCATCAGGCTCGGGAGTGGGGCACGATGCGCATGCGTTTGAAATCGGGGCAGATGTCACCGATGCTAAAAGGGGCTTTAAGTGTGTTTAGAAGCCCGACTGTGCAGGAGAAAACTGCAGGGGGGATGCGGCCGGCCACGGCCGCCCGGATTTCGGCTTTAACTGCAGGAGGGGGTGGGGGGATGAGAGGGGATGAGAAGTGGAGTGCAGGGCTCAAGCCTTTGTGGGCTTCGTTCAAGAAGGGGGCTAGTGGGAAGGAGAAGGAGGGGGGCAGTGGGAAGGAGCGATAAGGGAAGGTGGGAAGAAGAGGGGGGAGGGGAGTGGAAAGAAAAGGGAAATGGTGGAATGGGAAGGGAAGGGAGATGGTGGGATGGGAAGGGGGGGCATGGGGGGGAGGGATGCGAGTGGGTAAAGAGGAGTGTAACTCTTTCTTGGGAAGGAGAGTGGGGGTCGAGGCATTTGGGAAGTAGAAAAGAAACCTTTTAGGACCATTGTAAACCAGCAGATTATTATATGGAACACGCACCAAGAGCTTACTGAAAGTGGTTGCAGACTGGAGTGGTTGCATGTGCAAAGCTGTAGGTAGGGAGGGTCATAACAGTACAGTACGTAACACACGAGCTTTCCTTGCTTTGTTTGTGACGCCAAAGGACAGGGTCAGGGTGATGCAATGTGCACCTTAATTGGGATGAGGTGGCATGTGCACTTCACTTATCATACTTATCTCGCACAGGTGGATGGGACGCCCCATTTTTTACAGGACGGTATTGCACTGTGAAAGGGTTCATCAATAATAGCATAGCACATTAGATACGTGTACCTCAAGCTACGCCACCTCTCGTAAATACATGTCTCTTTGGTACGGCGGCTTATGGTGAGTGGGTGGGTTGGGCAGTGCACTCCATTATTATTGTGAACGCTACCTTTAGGGCATGAAACAGCATCACGGTGCGAGCGACCTTGAGGTATTCCAACAAATATTTACAGAATACCATCGTCTTATGAGTAAATGTTCACATCACACAGGCTTTCTCTAATATATTGACCTCATTAGTGGATTCTCATTTGCTCCTGTTCAGAAATTCTTCAAGGGCAGATTCGTATCGCGTGTCAGACATCCGGTTAGACCCTCGGAAGACACAAAGTGACTCGGTTTGTGTCTTCTGAGCCTAAATTTGCCTGCATTCCGAATCCATTTGGGGTTTCCCAACCTCAACTTTGTGTCTGGCTTCGTGTCTGACACGGGATACGAATGCGCCCTCACTGAGCGCTGGGTGGGAGGAACCGAAGAGGAACCCACCCAAGGTCCCTTTCGCAGCAAGCAGCTACACAACACGACACGTCACACGAGTTTTGTGGTTTTGGAGGGTGGGCCCCGTACAAAGGCGGATTCCGAGGGCTACTGTACAAAGTGGGCAGCCGAGTGCAGCAATTGCAATTTCTCAGGAAGGAAACTGTGCGGCTGATCCATTCTTGGGTAGGAGGGAATGCCGCCCGTTCCGCCCTGCCCTACTTTCAGCAATCGCAACAGCACTTTCCGCTTTCGTCGTGACCTTCATGGGCAATTCTTTCAGTTATGGTGCAGTATTTGCTTTGCACGGACCCATCTCTGCCCGTTATCGACCTCCAGCAAGATGCAATCGTCAACGGGGTCGATTGGATACACCTCTGGACTCTGTCGATCGGATCTTTATCAGGCCATGGGACACTCGTGTCGTTTAGTAGCGGGTTACCCGTAACGTGTGGTTGCCAGTGCGACACATTTTCGAGTCGCAGGTATGGAAGTCCCAGCTCTAGTCGCGCCTCCGAGTGACGCGGTTTTCGTAAAACTGTTTCAATTTGGCGTTTCCGCTAGGCTCAACTGTTGAACTCAGGAAACCTGTCAGGAACTTGAAAGTGTAGCCAAAATGGAGATATGATTGGTCCTACTGCGTTTTGTCATCTGCACTGCGTTTTTATCATGTCCCCCGCACAGTTAGCTTGCATTGCATATCATGCTTTGGGGCACTGGGGCACTGGAGCTTGCATTGCATATCATGATATACATGTACAGTGCAGCGACAATGGGGCACTGGGGCTTTGGAACAAGAGTAGGCATAGGGGCACTGGCACGGGTATGTACGCAGCTTGAATATTAGACAATTACTACTCCATAGATACAGAAAATAACGGGTGCTTACCCTTCTACGCCAAGCCTCCTTCCCCTTGTCGACATTCTCAATCTGTGTGATACAGCCAAGCATTGCCTCCCCCGACAGCCAAAAGCAATGCCCGCGACCCGAAGGTTGAAGGGACCAAATCATACAGAAACTTCCATGCAATCATGCAATTTGCTAGCTTTTGCAACTGCCTGCCCTGCACCGGGAAAGCTGGGTTGCTGGTGGTTTGTCTGCTGGTGTTTGGTTGGGTGGGGTTGGGTGGTGGTGGAATGGACGATGATACGGGCAACCGTTGGGCCATCCGACGCCGCTATCGCCTTCATCATCTCTCCTGTCCACCACCATCCCACGTCTTCCTTATCTCATCCTGCACTCACAAAATTCAAATGCATCACACATGTACTTCCTCTGACATCAAAATCTGGAGCATACAATACACACTCGTGCAACAAATCCTTCCCTCATTCTTCCTTCTCCCTTTTAGGCGAAGCTTTTTCCCTTCACACTCACACTGCCACCAAGCCGTGACCCGTTTCCCCTCCCTCTAGAAACTTGCAGCCGATCATTTCAGAACCTCAATCACGGATTGTACTTCACATTCCAGTAAAACAGCTCCTCCCAGCTGACAGCCATGGAGGTCGCGTATGAGCGCCACAGATCGCTGAGCATCAGCGATGCTCCCATCACGTCAGAGGCCATGCGCGCCTCGCCTTTACTACCGCCGGCTTCCGGGCCCTACAATCCTGCGGCTTCTGCCGGATCCTTCGGCGCGGCTCGCACACGGTCGCGCTCCGCCTCTTTCTCCACCTACTGCCCTCCGCCTATCGTCGTCCCTAGCAACAACTTATCAGATCCCGCCTTCCCTGGTTCCACTTCCCCTTCCCCTTCCGGCTATCGAGATCCCGCCTTCCCCGCTTCGTCCTGCTCCCCCTCCACGCAAGATTTCGGCCTTAGCAGCTGCGAGAACTCCCCCGCGTTTCCCGGCCACTCCCCAACTGAGTTTTTCCAGGCTCGGACGGTGGTTCGGAGCCCGAACCAGGAGCTGGTTCGGCAGCGGGCGGCGGAATCCGCGGATATGGACAGCCAATGGGAGCTGCCGCCCAGCCCCGGCTTGCGCACGCCTTGCACGTGCCGGCGCAATCCTTGCGCGTGTGCGGTTCTTGCGAAGCGGGCAGCGCGGACGGGGCCCCCGCTTTCGTCATCAAATTGGGGCCGTCGATTGCGGCGCTCCTTAAGCGGAGGCACATCCGCCGGCGCCTCCGACGGGGAAGGCGGCGCGGAACCGAGGCGCTCGCGATCCCTCCTACTGCGCCGCAGCAAGACGAGCGCCAGTTCCAACGCCACGTCGGATACGGAAGACATGGGATACAGCTCCGGCACGGGCGGCGCCGCCAACGGCGAGTCGGGGCGGTCGACGACGGGTCGGCGCGCGCAGTTCGCGCGGCTGTTCACGCGAACCGGCACGGCGCCGCCACGACCGTCAACTGCCAACGGCTTCCACTCGGAATCTCTCGAAGGAATTTTGAGCCCAAATCATGCGGCTCCCTACGCCGCCGCCAATCATGTTAGCCCTCCAGTGGCGAACCGCGGGTTTGTAGCGCGGTGCGTGTCGGTTGATGCGGCAGCGGCCGGGATGTCCGGCGGCAAAGGCGGGGTTAGCAACGCCGAGCGGTCTGGTCGCCCGTCGTCTGCGACGTCGCAGAAGTACAGCCGTTCCCCTTCGCCGACGTCGTCAGGATCGCGTGGAGCAGCGGCGAAGGGCGAAGGGGGATCAGGCTGGCGAATAACAGGTTCGCGAGTAACAGCATCGGGCATTACGTCGCCGCCTCCTGCTGACCTCTCGCCGGAGAGTCTTCCGACGGTACCGAACCATCCGAACCGCGGCGGCGCGCCTGTGCCACGTGTCATCTCCATCGATAATGCCGTGGCGTGGCTAAACAGCACGCGGAAGGGAAGCAGCCATAGCCGAGGGAGCGTCGATGGTGCCGCAATTGACGGCGGCAGTCCCGCTTCTAGGGTACCCGGGAGACGCGCGTCGTTCGGGGGTGGGTCTTCGCGATCAACAAATGCTTCTATCGGATCGGCCACTAGCGCGAACGAGGACGACTTGAGCCGCGCGTGGGACGAGTTCACCGCGTCTGCGGCGGCGGCGGCAACGGGAATAGTTCCCGGCTGTAGCGGCGGTGCCGGTGACAGCTGCGTTAGCAGCAGCGGCGCCTCCAACGCGCGCCGAGCGGAGCAGCAGGCGGCAGTCGCGCGGAAGCGACAGCCGCAGTCGCAGCAGAAGGCGAGCGAAGCATCGAAGCAGAACGCGTTTCGACCCTCTGCGAGCTGCGGTTCGCTCGTGGATCTTGTTCCGGATGATTACAGAGCGGTTGAGTACGGCGGGGGTGGTTATGGAGGCGGGGGTAGTTCCGGGGGTGGTTACGGAAGCGATTTCTCAAAACCCTCGAAATCGAAGGATAACTTGAATCTCGGCTCCACGCATCCTCCGTCGAGGAGGGGTTTATCCCGCCCAACCGCTCCCCCTCCGCGTCCTTTTTCCCCCAACGCCGCTCCGCGCGCCACTCACTCGCGCTCGCCTTCCGCGTCCAGCGCAGTAGGCACGTCCCCACCGGGGCAGAGTCGGGGCGGAGAATCGACGGAGCCGATTCGATTCCGCGTAAACACCAACGGCAGGATCTACCGTTCACACACCACCCCCGCAACTCTTGCTCCCTCCGCTTCCGCTTCCGCCTCCCCTTCGTCCGCCTCCGCCGGCGGCGCCGCCGCCGCCGCCTCTGCTTCCTCTCGTACGCTTCATTGCGTGATTCCAAACTCGCTATCGTTACAGGATCCCTGCGAGCCAACGGATCTCTTAAACAGCCCCACCATTGGCCGATCGATTCCTGATGCTGGCAATGACACGTCAGCGCCGCCGCCAGCGACATCATCATCGTCCGGCGTCAGCCCGCCGAACCGCGGCGAACGGCGGCCGACGCGCCAGGTGTCGTTTAACGAGCTCGTGCGCGTGCGCCGCATCCCGCGGCACTTCTTCTCCGCCGATATGACGGCCGCGGCCATGGAAATCGCGAGCGGGAATGATCCGAGGAGCGCGAGTCAAGGAACGGCCGGATGGCAATCGATCAACGGGGTCTATGCATCTTCCCCCGAATCCCTTGCTTCCGCCGCTTCCGCCGCTTCCGCGCAAGGGCCGATGGGGGCAGAGTCCCCGCCTGCGCCCGCGCGTTCTTCCGCTCACGCCGCTGCTTCCGCCCCTCCATCGCAGCTCCCCAGATCCACCGCGAGCTCGCTCCCCGCGCCTGCGACTTCACCCGCGCCCGCTCCCGCTCCCGCTCCCGCCCCTGCGCCTGCGCCCGCGCTCGTGCCTGCGCCTCCCCCTGGGTCTTCCGCCGCACGGGCGGGAGGCGCGCGGAGGGTGACCAGGAGCGGAAGCTGGTCGTCGACCGGCGGCTCGGCTGCTGCGCGAAACGCGCTGCCGAGCAGAGCGAGTGACGGGAGTGGCCGCGACGGCAGCAGCGGTGGACATCGTGCTGTTAACAGTAACGGGGTCAACAATAACGGGGTTTCTCCGACTGCCGCTGTCACTCTTGCTAATCGGGTTGGCGGAACTGGCGGAACTGGTAGGGGAAGCGGCGGAACGGACGGCGAGGCCAGAGTGGGCGGCAGTGGCAGCTCTCCGGGCGGCAATGGCGGTTATGCGGGCGGCAGCACTAGCACGGGCGGCAGTGGTATGGGCGGCAGGAATGTGCCTGCTTTCGGGGAAACAGGTGGCAGGGGTGCGGCTGGGTCGGGTGCTGCTGGTTTGGGTGCGCCGGTCCGGCACGCCAGGAGCCGTAGCTTCGTGGAACGTTCTGGCAACGATGTTGCACGCATGGCCGCGTTGGCAGCAGCAGCAGGAGCAGTAGCAGGCGGAGGAGGGGGAAGCGGGCGGGGAGCAGCGGGGGGAGGGGGGAGTGGGCGGGGAGCAGCGGGGGGGGGAATGGTTGCCAGGTGCAGCAGCGTCAGTATCTCGGATCGCCCGACTGCTGACGTCAGCAGTCGTAGCTGCGACAGCAGCAGCAGCAGCGGCAGCAGCAGTCCCCCTGCGCAGGAACTCCGACCGCCCGGAACGCGCGAACCAATCAGAGCGCTTCGAACTATCAGAGCGCGCCGAGCCAGCAACTCGCCCCAGCAGCGTACGGAACCTGTCAGTGTGTCCGCCTTCCCCCGGCACCCGCCGCGATGCCTTCCTGGGGAAGCCTGAGATCAATGGCTGTAGCAGCGCTGGCAGCACCGCCAGCAGCAGCAGTGCAGGCAGCGGTATTGGCACGGGTGGTAGCAGCAGCAGCAGCAGTGGCGGCAGCAGCAGCAGCAGCAGCGGCGGCGCCAGCGCCGGCGGCGGTGGCAGCAGTGGTGGTAACCGCGTGCCGGGTTCTTTGGTTACCTCGCCGCCCGCTCCGCGCTTCTCCCCACATCCGCCGAGTCACGCCGCTCGAAGCCCCGCCACGTCAGCCCGAGCAGCAGCAGCAGCAGCAGCAGCCGTAGCGCGCGGGGCCCCATCGCATACACTATCAGCGGACCGTCTGCCCCTACAAGGGACAGGGACCTTTCAGGGGGGCCTATCGCAGGGGCCAGTTCAGGGGCCAGTTCAGGGTTCACTTCAGGGTTCACTTCAGGGTTCACTTCAGGGACCACAGGGGCCACTGCAGCACCCCCCTCAAAGCCCCCACCAAAAGCTGTCGTCACAGGGCCTTCCCCTGCGCTCTCCCCGGCACACTCGCCACCACAGCATGGGCAGCGCTGCTGCTCTTGCCTCCCACCCTTCCCCTCGCGCTACAGCCCACGCTACAGCTGCCACCCCTCTTGCTACAGCCGCTACAGCAGCCGGACTGGTGATGAAAACCGCGGGTGATTCTGTCCCTCGTCCTTTTGCCACGGGGCCGAGAAGGCCGCCCAGCGTGCTGATTGGGATCTCTCAGTCGCTTCGCTCGCACTCGGTTCAGTCAGTTCAGTCGCCATCCACTCCCCGCTCCCCGGGCCATCACTCTCCACCTCCGCACTCCCCTCGCTCTGCCGCTCCTCTCTCCCCTCGCTCGTCTGCTCCTGCCCCCCTCTCCCCTCGCGCTTCTGCTCCTCTTCCCCCTCGCTCTTTCGCTGCTGCTCCTCTCTCTCCTCGATCTTCTGCTCCTGCTCCTCTCTCCCCTCGCTCATTCCCCACTCCTCTCTCCCCTCGCTCTTCTGCCCCTCTTTCCCCTCGCTCTTTCTCTGCTGCCCCTCTTTCCCCGCGCTCTTCTGCTCCTCTCTCCCCTCGCTCATTCGCCACCCCTCTCTCCCCTCACGCTTCTGCTCTCCTCTCCCCTCGCGCCTCTGCTCCCCTTTCCCCTCGCTCATCTGCTCCTTTCTCCCCCCGCTCTCCTGCTCCACGCTCCCAAATCCCTCGCTCCAACACCACTACTCGCACTCCTCTCCCTCCCTCTGCTGCAGCTGGGTTTAAAGCCCCAGCAGCGCTGGACCAAGCACGTGCAAGAAATGCGCCGGCCCCCCGTCGACATGTGCGCTCCGCGAGTGTAGCAGAAGTCACATCCAAGATTGGGGTGACAATTTAGCGTTGTGTTTAGTGCCCTTCTGTCTCAGACTTCGTTACCTCCAATAATGGTTGGAGGGCCTCTATGTCCCCAACTTGCTTTTCCAGTGTATTCTTTTGTTGGGAATAATTGTTCACAGGTGTTTCGTGCAGGAGGCTGGTTGTTTGTACGGTAGGTGTTTTCAGGTGGCAAAAAATGTAGGATAGGTAGGATACAGGAGCAGGCTACCGTATAAATGGCTGTTTATTGAAGGGCTATTACAATTTCTCTGGGGTTTTGCATGGGTCATGGAGAATATAAGTTTTAGCAAACGCATCTCTTTTATAGCACAAGAACCTCATAACATATCTAAAGCACCACCTGTAGAGTACGTGGGACTTGAGGGTTCAATGGACCGCTGTGCTTTGTGCTTTGAGCATCGCCCTCGTGACATGGCGTGACTAGGCGAATCGCTTCAGGGGGGTGCTGCGTCACCCAGCAGAAATTGCAATCACTGCCAATGGTTTACAGTACGAGGGAATTTCTGCAACCAATCGAAGCGTGAGATGTGAGACGTGAGGTGAGAGATTGCTCACAGGTGGCAGTTCTTACCTCTCACATCCGATTCGAGGGCCAATCGGACGACATATGGGCAACTCTCATTGGCTTGCCGGGTAAGAAAATGGCAACTCTCTTGTCGGTTCTGCAAATGGCAAATAAGACCCGCAAATCCAAGGAAGAGACCCACCCCACCTTGTGCCACCCACGCATTGTTGCAAGCTGGATCTGCGGGGTTACCCCTGGTGCGACAACATGGAGCTGAGAAAAAAACGGTTTTGGTGAAGCAGCTGAGCCCTAGCTATACAACTACTTGTTTGAACGAAGTGCTCTCACATGAACGAAAACCCGTTCAACAACAATGTCATCTCACTACACGTTTGTTTATGTGTACGAAGGGTATCTACTCTCAGACTTACTGGCGACACAGTTTGTCGTTATCGAACAGATGTGCCAATACTGTACATTGTGCCCGTTTTCTCGCTTTGGTGACCCTTGAAACCTGGGACATCCTTGGAATTGAACACCCTTTTGTTGAACCATTGTTGTGTCGGTTCGTCTAGAATGTGGTTTGCTGGGTTGGTGAGGTTAAAGTTATATTTCTGTTCGTAACCAGTTTAGGGGTATCCATTCCTAGATGAGCACGTGCTAACCCCTACTTGGGGCTGGCAGAACACGCCTGCACGGGGGTGGGTTCGATCCCAGGACCTCAAATATCGGAAGTGCCACTTTCTACTGACTAGGCCACTTCTGGATTTGCTGGGTTGGTGAGGATGATTAGAATTTAAAAATAGCCAGGAGAAACATCACTCGGAGAAACACAGGACAAAAACTAATCTTCCATTGCTCCGCTCTGCACTATGGATCTTCGGTCCGCGTCGCGCGTCCTCCTCACCTCTCCTGGTGTTCACCAACCCATCAGGACAGGCGTGCATGCTATGGGGCTTGCTGCTCTTCTGTCTAGCTGCTGTGCCTATTCGTGTAACCAACGGCGACCAGAAGTCCGTTTTGAACAGATTTCAAACATCCTTGCTGTAACGCCCAGCCTTTTGCGGCCGCATTTTAGCCGTCAACCTTATCTGAGATGGCGCGTTCCTGAAGTTTGCCCACCATTCAAGACTTGGACGTCCCGTATCCGTGCATCCACCATTGATTTTTTCCGAGAAGCGCAAGTTACGGGAAGTGAGTGCAGGGAAAGCACTAGCCTCCCAGATTTTCTCGCCACATCAGCCATGTTTAGCTTACTTTCAAGTAACGAGAAGTGAAACACGATGGCAGCAGACGATCGGATTACCAGCTCTTATTCTCAACGATCCGTTCATACTGGCTCAACCGTGCGACCATTGTCATTGCTCCAAGACGGCATCGCGTGATCGTCGCTTGGTTACCTATCATCGTAACGCAGAGGGACGTAATTTAATTATTTCGATGTTACCATAAACAATGCGCGTAGCTTGTATGGTTTCGCCAAATGCCGTAGTGCCGTGCGACGCTAGTTCGACTCGTGGAAGTAATAAGTACTAGTTAGTATCGTTAGAGAGCTAAAAAAAGAAACGGCGCGTCGCTCAACACGGGCACAGTGACTTGTACGATCGTGGGAACAGCTCTCGCTAAGCACCTTTGCCTCAGTCGCATCAGTCGCAGCTCTCCCTTCAGCCGCAGGGCCGCGCACTGGCTCGTCGCGGAGCGGCGTCGCAGAAGGGAGTCGACCAGGGATTTTTAGAGGGGAATCGCAGGCGTCGCAGAGTGGGGTCACAGGCGATCGTCGCGCGGCGATCGTCGCGACGATGGAGCAGGAGCTAGTGAGCTACGCGGGCGTGGCGTGGCGCGGCCGCGTCGTCGCGGACTATGGCCGCGAGACGGCCGCGCTCGCACCGGCTGTCGCGGAGGCGATTAAAGACCTCCCTCCTTTCGCCACTCAGCTGTCGCTCGTAAGATCGTGTCGCCACTTTCCCCCTCCTTCCCCCGTTCCCTTATTTCGGGCATTGTACGGCGGAAACCGAGGCCCTTATTTCGGGTATTGTCCCCTTATCCCCAACCCCTCCGAATCGGTCTTCCCTCGCCGAGCCGCGGGGCCGCACGCTTCCGCCGAGGCCGATGGGACGCGCGCCCGCAACGACAATGTCACCCGCCTTTCCAGCCTTTGAGAATTCTCAAAAGTAATACCAACACAGCTTCCAAACCCCCACAACTCCACACCCAACCCCCCTATCCTGCCTCCCCCCCTCCCCTCCCCTCCCCTCCCCTCCCCTCCAACCACCCTTCCCGCCTCCCCTTCCCCCCCTCCTCTCTCCGCAGGGCTGCGGGCGAGTCTTTGCGCTCATCCAGCGCGCGCGCGCCGAGCCCTCAGACTCCGCTGCTGCGGTGACGGCGGAAGCGCAGTGTGCGAGCGGCGCGGGTGGCGAAAATGGCGCGGGCGAACCGTCTGAACGCGCCGCGGGCGAAGCGACCGAATCGCAGCGAGGGAGTGACTATACCGGGGCGGTCTTTTTTCTGATTGGCTACGAGCCGCTAAGTAAAGACCAAGCGCGCGCACTTCTCGGGCGGATCCGTTGCGCGTTTCAAGACGCCGTGATTGCCGCTGGCACAGCCGAACCAGCTACTGCTCTTTACGAACCAGCTTTTAACGAAACTAATCATTACGACGACCACGCGCTTCGCGCCTCCATTCGCCAATCGCTTGCCGCCACGTTTCGCTGCTTTCGCGGGCGGATCGCCGACGAGCCTTCGGCGCTGATCGTGTACGACGACGCTCCTAACGCGTACAAAACCCGCGTGGAAGAACGCCCTTCTAACGAACACGGTGAGAGCGATGGGAGTGACAGTAGCGATAGTGACAGTAGCGACTCGGGGAGCGGAAGCGAAGGTGAGGGGGAGGACGGAGGAAGAAAAACGAAGAAAAAAAAGGTAGATCGAAAAAGAAGGGGAAAAAGGAAGGAAAATGGGACTGGGTGAAAAAACAGGAGGTCGCTGACAACAGAAAGGCGCAGCGGGCAGCCGAAAGAACTAGGGCCCAACAACGGGCAGCAGAAATGATTGAGATTGAAAAGCGGGAAGGCGGTTCGGAAAATGGGGAAGGAAAATCTGGGGCATGCGACGCGGGAGAAGCCGGCGCGGGGAAAGGCGTGGGGGGAAGCGAAGGGGAAACGGGGGAAGAGGGAGGGGGAGGGGACGCGGACACGCAGCTTTTGGCGCTGAAGCGGGAGATAGAGGAGGCGCAGGCGCAGCTGGAAAGGCTGCAACGGGGGGAGGTATTACCTGCCGCGCAGGGTGTGGTGGAACAGGGCGAAGCGCATCAAATGAGTATCTCCCATCAACGACAAGAGCAGGAGGGGAAGGAGCAGCAGGAGGATCAGCAGCAGCAGGCGCAAAAGCAGCCGCAGGAAGGGAAGGAGCAGCAGGAACAGGAGCAGTTGTCAAAAGGAGAGTCGTCGCAGCACAACAGTCAGCAGCAGCAGGTGCAGGTGGGAACAGAAGGAAAGGACCAGCAGCAGCAGCAGCAGCAGCAGCAGCAGCAGCAGCAGCAGCAACAGGGGGAGGTGGGAACGGAGGGTTTGCGCTTGGCCGGCAGAAATTTGTCCGTTTCCATCTCCCTGGACCAATACGACGAGAGCGCTGACGTCAGCAAGCACCTGCAAGCGTGGCACAAGGAGAATGCGGCTGAGCAGGCATCAGCTGATGCGTCGCCACGAGCAAGTGCTGACGTGGCAGCAGCTGCTGCCAACGATCAAGTGCCAGCTGGCAGTTCCGGCCCGCCTTCCCGAGAGGCTGCGGCGCCAGAGGAGAAGCTTCCAGGAAGCTTCACTCCCACTTTAGACCCTTCTTCATGGGGTATACCATTAATTACCCCTCCCGCAGCAGCAGGAGCAGCAGCAGCAGCAGCAGCAGATTAACCTCCCATCGCTCCATAGTGGTATCGAGTTGTACCAGAGTTACACAAACGGGGATACTGCAGCAGCCATGGGAACCGACATCGCGGCTGACTTGGCGGCAACGTCAGCAGCGAGCCGCGTTAGAGCTGTCTACGGCGATTCCGCTGACGTCATCAACAGGCGGCCACCGAGCTTCTCGCTGGAAGAGCAAGGAGACAAAAAGGCGGAGGGGCATAAATCTGATTTCGGGGCGGCACAAACCGTCTTTAGCGCAGCAGAACAGACGAATGTTTTTGAGGCGGCAGAGAGGACCGGTTTCCCCGCCACTCTTGGTTCGCGGTCACTCAAACCCGCTCTCTCCAGCAGCAGCGTTGGCTGTAGCGGCGGCAGCAGTAGCAGCAGCAGCAGCAGCAGTAGCAGCAATAGCACTAGCCTGCCGGCCAGACTCCTCTCTGAGGTCCCAACGCCGATACAGCCGGCACCGCCGCTACATCCGGGTTTTGAGTCGCCTCAAAATCAGCAGGGAAGGGGAGGAGGAGGAAAGGGAGGGGCTATGGCAAGTGGGGAAGGCGGGGAAGAAACGCTTGACCTGGAGGACCTCTGCAGGGATTCAGGAGATTTTCCAGGTGAATTTTCAGGTGAATTTCCGCGCGATTCTTCGCAGGGGAGTTCCCGAGGTAAGAAGGGGTTGGCTTCTCTGTTCAGGTTCAAGACTGCCACGTCAGCATCTGCTGGTAGGTCACCCAAGGGGGGTTGGGGAGGGCTAGGAGGAGACAAGGTGAAGACTCCAAAAGGGGAGGAGGGAGAGGCAGAGTGTGACTGTAACGAGAGTGGTGGTAAAGGTGGTGATTCTAGCGGAAGAAGGCTGACGATATGGGGGAAGGGGAGCAGCAAGGAGGGGAGTAGCAAGGAGGGGAGTGGGAAGGAGAAAGGTGGGAAGAAGGTTAGTGGGAAGGATAGGAGTGGGAAGAAGGGTGTTCGCAGCAACAGCAGCTCGAATCTCGCCGCACAGGGCAGTGAGAGTGACGTACTCGCTATAGAGAGCTCCACCAGCAATATAAGCAGCCCGTTAACAGGAACACCGAATTCCGGCACGCCTCAAGCCGGCACGCCCCTTGCCGGTACCCCGCAAGCCGGCACGCCCAAGTCTCTCACTCCGCGCTCCGCCACGCTGCCTTCCTTCCAACTGCCTGTGGATAGCAGTCCCCTGCACCACGTCAGCAGTCCCAAAATCCACGTCAGCAGCCCCAAAGTACACGTCAGCAGTCCCAGGCACGGAATCAGCGTCAGTGGTGGGAGAGTGAACGGCAGGGCGAGAGCACCAGCAGCAGGAGCAGCTACGGCGGCGGCGGCGGCGGCAGCAGCGGCAGCAACGGCAGCTTTTAACGAGTCGCGCTGTAACGAGGATGACTCGGAGGTGCTATTCTCGCCTTGCTCTGTTGCCTCTTCGTCAGGCACCGGTCTCTCGGCTTCTAGTGTTGGCTTCTCAGCAGCTTCCTCCTCCTCCTCCTTCCTCCCTCTCCGCCTGCCCTCTCCAAGCCGACGCGCCCTTGGAAGCTCCTCCCTTTCCTCCTCCGGCCCCTCCCCCCATCCTCCTCTCCTCCCCCCCTCCTCCTCTTCCTCCTCCTCTACCTCCGCTTCTATTCACTCTTATTTCCCGTCGCTCTCCTCCCTTGCGTCTCACCCCATCCCCCATTCCTCCTCCTCCTCCGCTTCTTCCTCGTCCAACCGGCGCCTCTCATTGGACAATGCAGCGGCCCGTATCGACCTATCAGCTTCCCTTATCTCCTCCTCTCACTCCCTCTCGTCCCGCGGACTCCCACACTCGCCCTCCCCATCCCACTCCCCCTCACCGTTCCCCATCCCTCACTCCTCTTCATGTTCCTCCGCCCCTCTCAACTCCTCTTCTTCACCCCGCGTGCATTCTGAACTCGTTACGCAATTTCCAGGCGGTGTCACCCGGCCTTCGGAGGTAATTACCCGGCCGCGGTCGCCTTTTCCGGACTACGAGCCAGAGCCAGAGCAAGATAAAGTCCAAGGACGAGAGAAGCAGCAGCAGCAGCACCATCGCCAGCAGCAGCAGCAGCAGCAGCAGCAGCAGCAGCAGCAGCAGCAGCAGCCATGGGGCTCCCATCCCAATGCATCCCCACCAAACCACCCATCCGCACCCCCCTCCTCCCTCCTCACCTCCTCTCGCCCTCCCTACGCGCCCATGCAACCCCCCATGCACCCTGCTGCCACCACCACAGTCTTTGCTCGTAGCTCGTTGAGTCGGACCGGTAGCAGTGTTGGAGGGGTGGTGGTGAGTGGTAAGCAGGGCCGCAGCGGGGTTGAGAGCGGTGGTAGCAGTGGCAGCGGCAGCAGTAGAGAGAGCAGCCCTGCTCGGCCGTTTGGTGCTGGGGGAAGGAGTGCGAGTGTGGGGGCTTTAAGTGCAATGCTAGGAAGGGCGAGAGAGGAAGGGAGGATGAGGGGAGGAGGGGGGATGGAGGGTAAGGGGGAGAGGGCAGGAGAGGGGAGGGGCAGTGGGGAAAATGGTGGCAGTGCTGCTGTTGCTGCTGCTGCTGCTGCTGCTGCCGGTGCTGCTGCCGGCGCTGTTGGGGGTGGGTTGATGGGAATATGGGCGGCAGCAGCAGGAAGCAACACTCTTGGCAGACAGCCCAGCCGTAGCAACTTCTCAACTGGTAACCACTCGAGCAGCAACCGCATGCACGCTGGTTTGGATGTTGGTTCGGATGATGGTACGGGCGATGGTATGCACGATGCATGGAACAATGCTCCTATAAGCCAGTCCCAGCACCTGCCCCGCGTCTCCTCCCGAGACTCTTGGAACGCCTTCGTGGCTCCGCACTCGCAGAGGCTGCCGAACGCCCAGGAGATTCCTCAGGAGAAAATGCAACAGAAGCTTCAGATGCAACTGCAGATGCAACAGCAGATGCAACAGCAGATGCAGCAGGTACGTAGGGGAGGAAAGGAGGAGGAAGGGGAATTCCAGCCATCGTTAATAAAGAGTAACACTGGTGGCATTGCCATTAAGGCTGGCTCTACTGCTGCTGCTGCTGGTGCTGCTGGTGCTGCTGCTGGTGCTGCTGCTGGTGCTGCTGCTGGTGCTGCTGGTGGTGCTGCTGGTGGTGCTGCTGGTGGTGCTGCTGGTGCTGGGAGTAGCTTCCACCCCGCCTGGCTCCCACCACCTCTTCTCCCCCACTGGCTCTCTCTTCTCCCCGGGTAAGCTTCAGCGCCGAGCCTCGCTCTCAGGCTGGGCAAGGCTGGGAGGTATGGGCAAGAGCAACAGCGCCAGCAACCTGGCTGGAACGGCTGCTGCTGCTGCTGCTGCTGCTGCTGCTGCTGCTGGTGCTGGTGCTGCTGGTGCTGGTGCTGGTGCTGGTGCTGCTGGTGCTGCTGCTGGTGCTGCTGGTGCTGCTGGTGCTGCTGGTGCTGCTGCTGGTGCTGGTGCTGCTGCTGGTGCTGGTGCTGCTGCTGGTGCTGGTGCTGCTGGTGCTGGTGCTGGTGCTGCTGCTGCTGCTGCTGCTGGTGCTGCTGCTGCTGGTGCTGCTGCTGGTGCTGCTGCTGGTGCTGCTGGTGCTGCTGCTGGTGCTGCTGCTGGTGGTGCTGGTGGTGCTGCTGCTGGTGCTGCTGGTGCTGCAGGTGATGGTTTGAATGATTCCAATCCTCCTGCTGCTGCTGCTGCTGTTGCTGCAGCTGCTGCTGCTGCTGCTACTACCTCTGCTAAACCCCACGCCCTTACCACCTTGGACCTTCATTTCGTGTCAAGCAAGCATCGTGCCAAGACCGCACTGAGCAACACCATCGGCAGCAGCACCAGCAGTGGCAGAGGTGGAGGCAGGGACCCATGGAGCATGGCAGTGAGGAAGCTGTGGAAGGCAGCTAGAAGGAACAAGGGCGACGGGAAGGGGCAGACGGGAAAGCAGGCGAAGACGACGGGTGGGGCGGCGGCGGGTGGGGCGGCGGCGGTCGGACCGGGCAAGGGTGCGCAGGGAGAATCAACAGAGGAGGAGGAAGAGTGGGACGATGACGAGGAGGATGAGGAGGAGGAGGAAGAGGAGGAGGAGGAGAGAGGGGATCGATGCGTGGAAGCTTCTGGAAGTGGGGAAGGGAGGGGAGGGAGGAGGGAGGAGCGACCGTCGGGTGTCTCTATCGGGGTGGCCAGGTGGGGGTGCGTTTGGTGTGAAGAGCAAGAGTGTGGGGAACAGCGGTGGGAGCGGGGGTAGACGCAGGATGAGCATGAGTGGGGTGGTGCGTGGGGCGGTAGGAGAGGGGGGGCATGGCAGGGGGGAAGGGAACAGCGGGCAGAAGCATGGTGGGTTGGGGGTTGGGAAGGATGGTGAGGGTGTGGGGGGGGTTGTAGGTACACAAGCAGCAGTTTCTGCTACTGTTGCATCTCAAGTTGCTGCTACAGCTGGGAATGCAGGGGGTGGTGAGGAGGAGGAGGATGATGGGGGATGGGCACAGGTGCTGGGTCAAAGGGCGGGGGTGAAATCCAAGGGGAGGGTAAGCTGCTCTGTGTGAGAGACTGATAGTAATGAAGTGACCTTTTGAGTCGACTCAGAAGTCTCCTCGATCAAGATTTCACTGCAGTGAGGGGTGAAGGCTCCTCCCCAGCTTCTCATTCCCAGCTTCTCCCCTGCAGAAGGCTCGCAGGGGGCTGCAGCAAGAAGGGACAACATTCAGACCTTTTTTATGCGCCTCATTTTGTGACAGCTGGAGGCACACATTGTGCTTGTTTTAACTCTCCCTTTCTCTCGCTCTCGGTCTGGGTATTAGATTCGAGCGAGTACAGACATGCCCGAGGGCATATATCTAAAACATGCATTTGAGACATGCATTTCTCGCACTCTCTGTCACACTCTTTCTTCCTTTCTTTCCTGGTCTTTGCTTTGTGCACTCGGTCAAAGAACACTAGGAGGTGAATTTGGATATACCAAATCGTGACTAACTGCTCTAGGACCAAGGCGGGTGGTCGTTCCCAATGTGTCCTAGAGAACGCAGCGAATATCTAAAACGGGGCACCACATGGAGCACAAACCATCAGATACCATATCTTAAAACCCGAGTCTAGAATGGTAAATTTTCATAATTACTGAACTTGGAATTAGGTTTGCGAATTGTGACGAGTGCTCAATTCGCCTAACTAGGGTGGCGAAAGATGACGAGTGTAGAATGAACCGAGCGAGCTGTTTCAGCACCTTCTAGTTCAAGATTCTTGAACTAGACAAAAGGGCTACAAGACGAGAGGGTTTGACGCGCCACACTTCTAAGCTTCGGTGGTACACAATAATGTTACAAAATATTATGCAACACTTCTACAAATGAAGAGACATGTTCTTTTTTGCACAAGTTCCACTCTAAATAATGCATTCCAGTGCAGCCGTATGTGTGGGTGCTTGATTGACAGCAATAATCATTGCTAAATGTTTTAGAAATTCAACGCTAAACTCATCAATGGCACAAAAGAAGCACACTAGACAGTGTCGGGTCAATGGTTCCGAAACCAGCTCGCCTAATCCATCTTGTGCCCATTATCATTCTTCCTGCTCACACTTGTGAAAGATGAGTAATGGTGCTGCATCTGTGAGTCGCGAGTCAGGGGCGCAGTTTAGAAAATCCCTGGAATGAGAAACGCGGGAGAGGACATGGGCATCGAGGGAAGGGATGAGAAGACAAGGGAGGGAAGGGAAGGTAGTAGACGACAGTGGGGAGGAAGGGAGGAGAAGAGAGGAAGGGAAGGGAGCGAAGGGGCAGGGTTCATCAAGAAGGGGGAGTGAGAGGGGGGTAGTGAGGTAGTGGCGCGGTGGTAAGTGGGAGCAGCACAGGGGAAGTGGGGTAGCTGCCGCGGCTGCATCGCCTCGCGCAGGTCCACGATCATCAGCGCGAGCCGGATCTGCACGCACCGTTACGCGCGGCAGGCACGCGGAGTTTGGTTGTGGAGAATCACTCTACAACGGTAGTGAGCTAGACTACAGGGGTTGGCACGAACCACGAGGAGTGAATCGTAGCTTTGCTTGGTTCCTTAGCACTTGCGCATTCACGGGAGAGATTGGCAAGAGTTTCCACTAGCAAAGATTGAGAATACAGAATGATAGGACAAGCAATGACAGAAAATGACTACATCAGGCACCTAGCAACCCTGCAGCTAGCCTGGTCGACCGCCAGCACAGCTCGGTCGACCGCCTGCCAGCGTTGCGTAGAGGAGCCGCGCCAGCACTGCAGGTCGGCGGCGTGCCAACGCTGTAGTAGAGCGGCTGTCTAGCGTCGCCCCGTAGAAGACAGCAATGCGCATGCTCACAGGTGCGCGCAGACGATTGGCCCGACTTGCATTGCTGTGCATCCGTCGGCTGTTGTCTGCGCCTGACGAGCCACATCGACTTCGGGATACCATCCCGAAGTCGCCTTCGCCATCGCGACCTCGACGACGTTCGCGTGCCTCCGCAGAACGCGTTGAGCAGGTTACCAGGTCGGCCTGGTCGACCCCCAGATGCCCTGGTCGACCCCCAGGGGCCTCTGGTCGACCACTCGGTCCCTCTGGTCGACCACCAGGTGCCTTCGGTTGACCACAACTCCCGTCGAGCTACCCCCTGGTCGACGGAAGGGGTCCGTCGACCAGAACCCTCAGCAGTTGTCGCCGAGCTCCTCTCGTTGACCGCTGCTCACTTGTCAGGTCGACGGGATGGACCGGAGACCTCCCGGTCGAGCTGCAGGTCGACGGGATGCTCCCTAGACCTCCCCGTCGAACTGTAGGTCGACGGATTGCTCCATCGACCTTCCGGTCGAGTTGCAGGTGGACGGACTGCTCCATCGACCTCCCGGACAGCCCACCCGTCGCCCAGGCCAATCAAATGCAGCTGTCGAGCTCCCTGGTCGACAGCAACACCACAGCGGTCCCCTGCAGCTCGACGAAGCCTGTCGAGCAGCTCTCCCACTGTGAACGGTCGGCTGCTACTCCCGTACATCCGACCAAGGCGTCATCGTTACCCAAGCGAGGGCGGGGCCAACACTCCATTCCCGTTAACACTCCCCTGCCGCGCTCACGCTTGGGCCTCCAGCCCACACGGCAGTACTCCACGGAGAAAACTCGTCCTCGGCGTGCACCCCACACACAGCACGTCGTCAGCGCACCAGCCGTGCAGAAGGGCACGGCACCTACTGCTGCACCTCATCGTCGCCGTCGCCGACGTCGGCCAGACGAACTTGGCCGATGGCGACAGAGCACCGGTTGAAAGCCGGAAAATGCAGCGCCTTCGTCAGGAAATCCGCCGGCTGCTCGGTGGTCGGGATGTACTTCAGCACGAACTTCCCGCGCCTCACCATGTGCTGCAGCCAGGCATAGCGTCGCTCCATGTGCTTGAGGTTGCCCGTCAGCCCCAAGCCCTCAGCGACCGTGATTGCCGACTTGTTGTCGACGCGGAGGATGGTCGGCTTCCCAGCGTCGAGCAGCTTGAATTCCGCCAGAAGGAAACGAAGTCGGCGTCCCTCCTTGCCAGCATCCGTGGCCGCGACGTACTCCGACTCGGTCGAGGAGAGCGTCGCGCACTTGATGCGCGAGCTCGACCAGGAGACGGCGGCCCCTCCGAAGACGAACACGTAGCCGCCCGTGCTCGTCCGGTTCTGCTTGTCGCCCGCGTCGTCGGCATCCACGTAGCCGATCAGCTCCAGCGACTCTGGTCCACCGCCGAACTCCAAGGCGGTGTCGCGGGTGTCAGCGAGGTAGGCGAGGCAGCGGTCGACCTCGCGCCAATGCTGGTCGCTCCTCACCATGAGGCCGCTCCTCACCGTGAGGCCGCTCCCCAGCTTGCCTCATGCGAACGCAATGTCCGGCCTCGTCGTCGTCGCTGCGAACTGCAGCGAGCCGACCTTCTGCCGGTATTCCTCCTCCTCGCGCTCCTGCGCCTCCTCGTCGTCGAATGTCAGCTCGGCGTAGGCGTCGACCGAGACCGGCGTCTTCGGGATTCGACCGCCCTGCTCCTCGTCGATGAAGCGCCTGCGCAGCTTGTCGGCGTAGTTCTGTTGGTGCAGCCACAGCTTCCCCACCGGCCTGTCGCGGACGATCTCCAGCCCAAGGTACTTCACCACCAGCAAGATCTCCCGCAGCTCGAAGGCGGACTCCAGCAGCTCCTTCAGCTCCTTCAGCATCGCGGTGCTGCTGCTGGCGGCGAGCAGATCGTCGACGTAGACCAGCACCCAGCAGGTCACTCCGTCGTCGCCGGACTTGAAGTAGAGCGCCTCGTCGACCTGGCTTTTCCTCCAGCCAGCGCCCAGCAGCACACCGTCGAGAGCCCTGTACCACAGCAGCGGCGACTGCTTTAGCCCGTAGAGGCTCTTCAACAGCTTACACACCCGGCCGGTCCCATCGTCGAAGTAGTCCGGCTGGTACATGTAGAGCACCCTGTCGAGCTTGCTCTGCAGGAAAGCGTTCTTCATGTCGAGCTGCATCAGGTTGAGGTCGAGGACGGCGACAATGCTGAGGAAGATCCTCAGCGTGACGTAGCTGCTCACCGGCGAGTACGTCTCGTCGTAGTCGGCGCCGTACACCTGTGTGAAGCCCTTCACGACCAGCCTCGCCTTCTCGCGCTCGACGGTGTTGTCGATGCGGTACTTGGTCGTCAGCACCCACCGGTTCTTCATGATGTTCACTCCGCGTGGGCGTTCGACCAGCTCCCAAGTGCCCATGCCGACAAGGCTGCGGATCTCCTCTTTCATTGCGGCCTTCACCGCATCGCCCTTCCAGCTCGCCAGCGCCTCCTTCACCGTCATCGTGGCGATGTCCCAGCGGTGTTCGGGGTCGGCATGCACGTCGGGGTCGAGCTCCGGCAGTTCTTCATCCTCCTCAGCGTCGTCGTACAACAGGTCGTCGTCGACCTCGTCGTACACCGTGGTGAAGGCAGCTGGTGGTAGGCAGGCGTGGAAGCTCAGCCGCTCCGGCGGCCGTCGAGCTCGACCAGAACGTCGCAGCTCCGGCGCAGGCTTCTCGACCGGAACCTCCACCACATCATTGTCAGTGGACTCCTTTCCCGCCGACAGCTCCCGTTCCTCGTCGACGCGCACATCGTCGACCAGCTGCTTCGACCCGTCGACCAGCTCCCCTGTCAACCGCCCCGGCTGCTGCTCAACTGTCGATTGCTCCCCTGCTGCTATCTCCTGGTCGACCGGCTCCCCTGTCTGCTGCTCCCCTGTCGTCGACGGCTTCCCATCCTCGTCGACGAGCGTGGCACCTTGTCGATGGCGGCGATGCCACTGGCCGGCGCCACAGGCGACGCCTCAAGGCTCCCCTCATCGCTGGTGGCTGACACAGGTGTCGATGTAGACCGATCTGCGACGGGGGAGGGAGGAGCAAGAACAGGGGGAGGTGGAGGAACCTCCACAACATCCTCATGAGCGGACTCTTCGACTTCGGCGAGCAGTGGGACCGTCGCCGTCGAGGTGTCCGTCGGCGGGTGTGCCTGCGTCCTCCCCGATGCCGGCCCATACTTCGCCTTCCACACCTCCAGCGACAGCGTCTCGTAGATGACCACCTCGACCGACATGACCACCTTGTTGTCGGGCAGGTCGAGCACCTTCCAGCCCTTGCTCTCCTGCGACACACCCAGGTGAAGCCCCCAGCGAGCCTTCGGTGCCAGCTTCCCACCGCGCTGCTGCTCGGGAACCATGAACTGCACCATGCAGCCCCACACCCACGCCAGCGTGAGGTCGGGCTTCTTCCCGGTTAGCAGCTGGTACGGAGTCGTCCCCGGCGGTGTCGTCGACCGCTCCAAGCAGTTGCGCACCCAGACGGCCTGTCGAAGAGCGAGGTGCCACCAGTGGTGCTGCACGCCCATGTGCAGCAGCATCGTCCGCACGGACTCGACGACCGTGCGCATCTCCCGCTCAGCCATGCCATTCTGCTGCGGAGTGTAGGGGCATGTCAGGTCGTGGACGATGCCCTTCCCGTCGATGAAGGCGGTGAAATCCTTGCCGAGGAACTCCCCTCCCCGGTCAGAGCGAAGCGACAGCACCGACTTCCTCGTCTGCCATTCCACCAGCACCAGCCACTTCTCGAACTCCCGCAGCACGTCGCTCTTCTTAGCGACCGGCATCGCCCACACGAATCGAGTGTGGCGATCCTTCAGCAGCAGGAAGTACAGGCTGCCATCCTTGGCAGCCACCCGAAATGGCCCGCACAAGTCAATGTGCACGACAGCCAGTGCCTCCTCGGCGTCCGAGCCCTTGTCGGGGAAGGTGTGTCGCGCCAGCTTTCCTCCGACGCACGAAACACACGGCGGGTCTGCTCCGGTCGACGGCGTGATGTCGAGCCCAGTAGCAACTTCATGCTTCGCCGACCGCTTGATCGTGTCGACGCTGACATGGGCAAGCCGCGCGTGCAGCCTGTCAGGGGTCATCTCCGTCGCCGAGGCGATCGTCTGCAGAGCCACCACGTCGGTCAACGGCGATCGCGTCGAGCAGGGGCAAAGGTCGGTGCAGAGGACTCGGCCGGTGTAGCGTGCTCGACCGAGCACCTCGCCAGTCGCGGCGACGAGCAGCATCTCGTCGCCATTGCCCTGCAGCTGCACCTCGCTCTCCTTCAGCTGGCCAGAAGACAGCAGGTTCGCCTGTACGCCCGGAACGTAGAGCACGTCGGGGATGAGGACCCGCTTCCCGGCCTCCCCTTGCAGAGCGACGGTTCCACGACCCTCGACAGGCTGCAACGCCCCATTGAAGCCATGCATGTGCTTCACGCCAACGCTCGGCCCCATGTCGACGAAGACCGCCTTCGTCCCCATCAGGTGGTGGGAGCATCCGCTGTCGAGCAGCACCGCCATCGGGTTGGCCTGCACAGCTGCTGCCACCGCTTGGAAGTCCTCGCCAGCCTCCGGCGCCAGTGAGACTGTCGGCTCCACCACGCCGACCATCGAGCACGACGCCTCCCCGTCGCCTCGGCCCTTGCCGCTGGAGTTGTCGACGTCCTTCGTCGACGACGTCTTCTTCGACGTCTGCTTCTCCTTCCGCGACTTTCCATCTCGACGGGGGCGACAACTGGCCGATCGACCGCGGCCTCCCTTGTTGTCGTCCTCGTCGCTGTGCCTCGTTGCGATCGGGGCACTCGAAAGAGAGATGGTCGGGGTCGCCGCAGACCCAGCACTCCCGCCGTCGACCACCACCTCCACGACCCTTGCCCCGCGTCGACTTCTTCTCGTCGACGTCCTTCGTCGACCGCCCACCTCCGCTACCACCTCCGCCCGGCTTCCTGCGCTGACCTTGCTGCTGATTCAGCTTCGTCGGTGCAGCGTAGTTTGCCTGCGGAAGGAGCTCCGTGGGCTGTTCGGCCTCCTGCATCGCCTCATCTTGGAGAATGTAGCTGGTGATGGAGTCCTCGTCGAGGGACTCACGCGTGCCGGGCACCATCATCATCCTCTTCATGAGGTTGTAGCTGCGCGGCAGGCCCTTGACGACGTGGGAGATAAAGGACGCCGTCGAGTACTCGGCGCCCGCCATCCGCATCTCAGCTAGGATTCGTCGAGCACGGCTGCAGTAGTCCGTTGCCGACTCCTGCTCGCCCATCCGAATGTGAGTCATCTTCTCCTCTAGCTGTCCGATGTACAGGTCGTCCTTCACCTGGTACGTCGACAGGATGAAGTGCCATGCTTGGTGACCAGCATCCAGTCGCTCTCGACAGCTCCTGAGCGCTAGCTGCACCACCGGCGAGCAGCACCTCGAGATGACCATGAAGGTGAGCAGGTGAGCAGCACGAAATTCCCTGCACAGCTCGACATCCTCCTCGGGCGGAGTGGGCACAATGCCGTCGGCGAAGCCCTTCAGCCCGGCAACCTCCAGCTGAGGTTCGATCGACTCCCTCCAGGTGATGAGGTCACGTCGACCTTGCAGCGGTGCGACAGTGATTCGGTCTGGCGAGAACTTGAAGTAGCCATACGCCGGTGCAATCCCGCCCGCCGTCACGTGCGTGGTCGCCGAGAACCCTCCACCGCTTCATAGAGGAGAGCGACGTCGACCATCAGCTTCGACCCGCGAGCTGCCTGCGGCTGCCATCGGCCGCTGCAACCCGCGCCTGTGTCCCGTCGACGCCACCGTCGACCTTGATCACCCCTCTCTGCCTCGTGCCTTCGCTGCCGCTGACTCGTGCACCACCGTCGACCTCGTCGTCGACGCCACCTTCGTTCCGCACTGGTCGAGGAGATGAAGGACGGGAAGGGTGATCCGTTGCCCACTGCGCCCGGACGCCCAACTCGACGATCGTCAAGGGGATCGTCCCGTACTCGCCATCCGCATGGCGTCTCCTCGCATCAGCCAAGCGTGTCTCCAAGGTGTCCGCTACGCCCGCTTCTACAACAGGGTCAACCATGGCGACTAACGCTGCTGCCGGCCTACGAACGACTTAGTAGGTGCAAAGGTCGGTTCCTATCTGAAGGCCGCGTGCTAGTTCCACGCTCACCGCACCATGTGGAGAGTCACTCTACAACGGTAGTGAGCTAGACTACAGGGGTTGGCACGAACCACGAGGAGTGAATCGTAGCTTTGCTTGGTTCCTTAGCACTTGCGCATTCACGGGAGAGATTGGCAAGAGTTTCCACTAGCAAAAAATTGAGAATACAGAATGATAGGACAAGCAATGACAGAAAATGACTACATCATGCACCTAGCAACCCTGCAGCTAGCCTGGTCGACCGCCAGCACAGCTCGGTCGACCGCCTGCCAGCGTTGCGTAGAGGAGCCGCGCCAGCACTGCAGGTCGGCGGCGTGCCAACTCTGTAGCAGAGCGGCTGTCCAGCGTCGCCCCGTAGAAGACAGCAATGCGCATGCTTGGATGTGCGCGCAGACGATTGGCCCCACTTGCATTGCTGTGCATCCGTCGGCTGTTGTCTGCGCCTGACGAGCCACATCGACCACGGGATACCATCCCGAAGTCGCCTTCGCCATCGCGACCTCGACGACGTTCGCGTGCCTCCGCAGAACGCGTTGAGCAGGTTACCCGGTCGGCCTGGTCGACCCCCAGATGCCCTGGTCGACCCCCAGGGGCCTCTGGTCGACCACTCGGTCCCTCTGGTCGACCACCAGGTGCCTCTGGTCGACCACAACTCCCGTCGAGCTACCCCCTGGTCGACGGAAGGGGTCCGTCGACCAGAACCCTCAGCAGTTGTCGCCGAGCTCCCCTCGTCGACCGCTGCTCACTTGTCAGGTCGATGGGATGGACAGGAGACCTCCCGGTCGAACTCCAGGTTGACGGGATGCTCCCTAGACCTCCTCGTCGAACTGTAGGTCGACGGATTGCTCCATCGACCTTCCGGTCGAACTGCAGGTGGACGGACTGCTCCGTCGACCTCCCGGACGGCCCACCCGTCGCCCAGGCCAATCAGATGCAGCTGTCGAGCTCCCTGGTCAACAGCAACACCACAGTGGTCCCCTGCAGCTCAACGAAGCCTGTCGAGCAGCTCTCCCACTGTGAACGGTCGGCTGCTACTCCCGTACATCCGACCAAGGCGTCAGCGTTACCCAAGCGAGGTCGGGGCCAACATTCTATTCCCGTTAACATTGGTGCGGAAAGGTTGGCGCATGGCAGGGTATGGAGGGGAAGGAGGGAGGGAGAAGGGAGGGGGGTGAAGCGCGCGAGCGACGAAGACGGGCAATGGACGACCAAGGACGGACGACAACGGGTAACGAGAGCGACGGGAGTAATTTAGGGACGGGAGTTCTTGAGTGACGGGAGTGAGTGCGCGACGGCGGAGTGCGCGGAACGGGTGTGCCACATGAGAGTGTGTGAGTGACGGGATCAATGAGGCGTTTGCCCTGTGTGAGCGGTGGGTTTGAGTGAGCGACAGGAGGGAGTGCGCGACGGGATCGAGTGAGCGATGCGTATGAGGGGCGGGAGGGAAGAGAAACACGAGAGGAAATGAGGGACGGATGCGACTGGAGTGACGGGAGGTACGGAAGCGACGAGAGGGACGGGAGCGACGGAAGCGACGAGAGGGACGGAAGGATTGGAAGCGACGGGGAGGAAGGGAGGGACGGAAGCGACGCGGAGGACGGGAGGGATTGCGGGAGGGACGGAAGTGACGGGACAGGGGTGACGGGAGCGGCGGGAAGGACGGAAGTGGGAGCTACTAGAGCCTCTAGTGATATGGTTTTGCACATACCGCATGGGAGCGATCGGATCGGGAGTGACGTGAGGCATGAGAGTGACCTACACCGTGTGGTCAGACAAAACTATAAGCTTAGTCCTGGGTGATGAGCGTAACCTCGACATAATGACGAAAGGATGGGCTAAGGAGCATACTACTGCACGAGTCTAGAATGGTAGCTTGGACTTTCAAGTTTCCGTGAGTGTTGGAAGCAACAGTTGTTTTCTCTGGCGATGGTTGTCACTGTTTTGTCAGCGTTGTTGTTGGCCAATCACCTTCTTGCTCCTCAATCCCCTTCTCCGTGAGTCGCGAGAGAGCACCATCCCAAATCGGGTTACCTTGTTTTTTGGCGAAGTCAAGTTCAAGAATCTTGAACTTGAATTTTGCCATTCTAGACTTGGGTTTTAACCTCTAGCTGAACTTGTCTGCTCCCAACCTAGTTGGGGATTCGTGCTCTATTACTGTATGTCCGTACCGTACGTGCATTCTTGCAGTCATTCTTTTGAAATTTATTCTCGACTGCACTCTTATTGGCTTCGTGTTGCAAATCATATCGGATTTATTTTCACACGTCAATTTAGGGGATTTGTATCTCTATATACTTTAGGGTTTCCCTACAGTTTCCCTAAGGCCGGACACAGAAGATGTATAATAAGCTAGCATCGACGTAGAAGTGTATCGAGCTCATTCATAGGGAGGACAGCGGTTGCAGAGGCGACAAACTGGTGGCAACCACCAGCTGCAGGCAGGGCTCCCATCGCTCCCCTTTCCCAGCTTCTCCCCTCCTCCCGCTTCCCAACCCCCAATTCCCTAGCTTCTCTCCGCCTTGCGTTTCCCCGAATCCCCGTGGACCCATCCCCCATGCAGCAGGCACAACCCTGCCCCTCAAATCCTGCTCGTTACCTATCTCTGGCTCTTTTCCTCCCCGTTAGTCTCCACACACTTGCCACACCGCTTCAGCCGCCATGGTGAGTGCCCTTTAGTAGCCAGCTACGTCGTCGGTGGGGTGAATCGCGCGTGGTTAGGGCGTGTAGAGGAGGGGCTAGTATCATAGAGGGTCGGTACTTAGGGCTTAATGCGGTGACGGGAGCGAGAGTGATTGGATGAAGCAGGATTAGGGTTGCGCGGATCTGGCTGTGATGCGGCGTTCGCCAGAAAAGGCTCGACGTAGAAACGATTTGCTGCCGCCGTCACTCGTACCCGCGTCGCGGTTGGATCGAATAAATTGTTGGCCGCTGATTGCAGAAAAACCTGTCGGAAACGCAGGAAGGGGCCGTTACGACGCCGTTAGCTTTTCTTTAGTTGGCATTGTTCCGACTTGAAGAATTTATAGAAGGAGCTGTTAGGGTGCATTTTCTGACACCGATTTCCGTTAGCAGGGACCTTGAATGTTTCCGAACGCCGGACGCTTCGGGAAAGTCTGTTATAGCTCTTGTCGGAAGCCTGATTGCAGTCTTGTCGGGCCTGATTGCAGGGTAGTTACGAATGTGAACGTGAGCCGAACTCAGGTTTCTGTTCGCTGGGAGATACGAATATGATCGCAGGGGTTGCAGTTTTGGGATCATATTCACCCTGTACAAGGGGCTGCAGTTCAGGGTTGTAGTTTCTGTCCAGTGAACAGGATGGCCCATTCACTCGAGATAGCCCTCAGGACGAACAGGTGCTGTTGACGGGTAGGTTCCATATCGTGCGGTATGCCGTTTTCTTTTGGAGGCACTCATTTTTAGGTTCAACGACAAATTTGTCGTTGACGTCGCCGTTAACGCGTGGAAGATATCGTAAACGTGCTCTCGACGGCAACGGTAGTCGCTCAAAGGCATAGAGCACGTCGGAGCGTTTGGAGGGAGCATTAGGGTTTCGAGTCCTGTGTTCAGGTCTTACACACGATTCTTAAAGTCGAAGGCGCTAGCTGCGGCTTGATTCGTGGTCCGCGGGGCAAGGCGTAGCGCAGGAATCGTCAGGCGCTGTGTAAATTGCGTCGGTGTACCTTTTTCGAGGCGCCTCAAACTTTGTCTGTATATCTTGCATCGTCCCAATCCATGGTGCTCTGTGCGTCGTGACCGTCCGATCCTTTTCTTGCTAAATCATCTCCTCCCCTCCCCTATTCCAACGATTCTGACTGCAGGGAAAGGGAACGGGTAGTTTCGGTAAGCGCCGCAACAAGACGCACACGCTGTGCCGGCGCTGCGGTCGCCGCTCATACCACATTCAGAAGAGCCGATGCGGTGCCTGCGGCTACCCCGCCGCGCGCGTGCGCAAGTGTAAGTTCTTATGGATCTCTCAGAATGCGTGTGCATGTGATTGTGGTCAACTCAAAGGCTTTCGCAACCCGCTGCGCGGGTGCGCAAGTGTGAGTCCTGATGGATCAGATAGAATGTGTCGACTACCTACCGATCCCCTCACCTTTCATTTCTCCCCTCCACCTTTCTTCCCTTTCAACCCTTTTTTCCCTGCATCTTGCGTGTCACTTCTGTTCCCCTCCCATAGTTCTCTACCTCGTGTTTATAACTATCCATCCCCCCTCCCCCCCCCTCTCCCACTCTTCCCAGTTTTGCTTCCTTCCAGCTTCGCCCCTTTCCCCTCACGGCCCCACACTTCCTCTCTCTCTCTCTCCTC